ATACCGGAAGCACACATACTTTTATAAAGTTAGACTCGCTTAGAGCTAAATTAAATATAAACAAAATAAACAAAAATATTAGTGGTTTCTTTAATTGCTTGTCTAAAGACAATAAAATTTCTCGTATTGGTATTACAGATCCTTTGACTGTAAAATATACAAATGGAATCATTTTTAAGCACCAATTTGAAGTCATAGATTTCAATGATAGCTTTGACTTTGACATTCTTCTTGGTACGGACATTATGAGTAAACTGGGTATTGCACTTACAGGTGTTGCATACAATTTAGAAAATGATAGTGTTGATCCAAATGATAAAGACTCTATTTTTTCTAATGCAAACATCGTAACAACTGATACACCTGAACCTGATAATTCACCTGCTGGATCTGCTGAGGAGGTTGCACAGTTTATGGCTTCCATCCAAGATGCTATTGATGAAAATCAAAAGATACCAGTAGAGTCATTTTGTCCTATTCCAGAATCCATTATCAAGTTGCCCACACCTGAAGGAGCAACCGCTTATCGTCGTCAGTACAGCATCCCGCATACATTGAGGCCTGTCCTAGATGAACAGATAAATGAATGGCTTAGAACAAAAACAATAGAGAAGTGTGGTGTCAATACTTCTTTTAATAGCCCGGTGTTACTTGTACCTAAAAAGAACAAACAGGGTGAAATTGTCAGCCATCGAGCTTGTTTGGATGTTAGACTTTTAAATAAGATCTTACCACCAACATATAACTTTGAAGTGCCACTGGTGAGAAACATTTTTGAAAACTTAAGAGGCAAGAAGATTTTCTCAACCTTGATCTCTCTAATGCATATCATCGCTTTAAAATCCATCCTCCAGATGCGCATAAATTAACATTTTCTCATAATGGACAACAATACTGCTTCATCAAGGGATGCTTTGGACTAAAGAGCCTAACTTCTCAATTCTGTAAGGTTATGGCCATTTTGTTTGAGGGTATGGATTGCGTTCAATCTTTTGTTGATGATTGTATCGTGGCCAGTGAAACACCCGAGCAACATGCCAAAGATGTCAAAATGGTGATAGACAGATTGATACAAGCCAAATTGATTTTGAATCCAAAGAAATGTGTTTGGTTTCAGCAGTCAGTTAGGATGCTTGGATTTGTGGTCAATGCAGATGGGATTATGGTTGATAAAGCCAAACTCACTAACGTTGAATCATGGCCAGTACCAAAGACAGCGAAACACATTCAACAGTTCATGGGGTTAATCAATTATTTTAGAGAATTTGTACCGATGATCTCTACTGTTGCTGAGCCTTTGACTAGATTAAGCCATGCAAAGAACGTAGAAGAGCTGTGGTCTGATGAGCAAACTAAGAGCTTTAATGCCTTGAAAGCCATCTTGCACTCAATATGCTTTTGCATTATCCTGATTTCACCAAAGAATTCTTTGTTGCCTCTGATGCTTCTCAGTATGGTATATCGCTGTATTATTTCAGAGAGATGATAAGGGTAGAGACAAATATATTAGTTTTGTGTCCAATGCTCTATCACCCTCACAACGCAGATGGAGTGCTACTCGTCGTGAGTTATATGTGTTCTGATGGCTTTTCGTCGCTTCCATCAATATATTTGGGGACGCAGATTTACATTGCACACAGATCACAAAGCATTGATTTATATGCATACTCAACGAGATTGCAACAATATGATGTTGAATTGGTACGAAGAAATTCTGACTTATGACTTTGATGCTGTGCATATTCCTGGTATCCTTCTTAAATTGCCAGATTTGTTGAGTCGTTTGTATTCCCCTCTCGACCAATTCGAAGGTGATCACAAACTGGTAGGGGGTAGCACTGGCAATCGAAAGCGAAATGTACAAGCTGCCAAAATAAAAAGAGTTGCTATTTGCAGGAAGAAATATAGCAGAGATAAAAACCTGCATGTTCTTACCACGCAGCTGGTTGAGCAGACTAAAGAACCACTTGATTATTTTACACCGCCTGAGACTGAAAGAGAAAAGCTCTTGCGTGATGCACATACTTTTGGACACTTTGGCAGCCATGCTATTGTGCGTGAACTACACTCTCAAGGACTTCATTGGACAAATATGTATCAAGAAGCCAAGGAACTAGTAAGTTCATGTCCTGAGTGCCAAAAGCATAATATAGCAAAAAGAGGTTACCATCCACTGACAAGCATTATTGCATTGCGACCCTTTGATCATGTATCTGTTGATTCTGCAGGTCCTTTTCCTGTAACTGAAAATGGGAATACTGAAATCTTGGTCTTGACTGATATTTGTTCAAAATATATTATTGTCAGAGCACTTAAGAACCAACAATCAGATACCATTGCTCATACATTGATGCAGATCTTTGGAGACTATGGATTTCCTCGTATCCTACAATCCGACAATGGCAGAGCATACCATAACTTGTTACTTGAATCTATTTCGAAAAAGCTCGACATTGATCGAAGGTACTCCACTCCCTACCATCCTAGAGGAAATGGAAGTGCTGAATCCAGTGTAAAAATTGTTGAAAACACACTGAGAAAGATGTGTCAATCGAATAGCAAAGACTGGGATTACTACTTACCAGTAGTCCAGCTTTCTATCAACAACGCTATCAAGAATAAGACGTTGAGTTCACCCTTCTCATTGATGTTTGCACGCAGAGTCGGCTTACCTAAAAATTATGAAGAAAAGAACAAATATCCACTTCCTAGAGATATGATGACGCGTGATGATCTTGAGCAGCGCATTGATCACATGGAGAAGATTGTCTTTCCCGCTATCTTTGAAAGAACTCAAAAGATAAATGAGGAATATAATAAGAGGTTCAATACAAAGAACATACTTGTTGATATTGAACCCGGAACACATGTTATGGTAAGACTGCAAAAGAGACCGAGTAAACTGTCTCCATTATATGAAGGCCCCTATACTGTTGTAAGAAGAAACAAAGGTGGCTCATATGAATTAAAAGACGAGCAAAATGAATTATTGCATCGTAATTATACACCATCAGAACTGAAGATTGTGACCATTGACGAATCAACCATTGAAGAAGAATACTTTGAAGTAGAAGATATTCGTGATCATCGTGGCAAGCCAGGAAGACGAGAGTACTTGGTTAAATGGACTGGTTTTGGTGAAAGAGCTAACACTTGGGAGCCTGCATCTAGTTTCCAAGATCCTACAATCATCAATCGCTACTGGGATAAAGTTGAAAAACTAAAAAGATTAGAGCATGAACGCATTGAATCAAAATCAAGCGATAGATCTGCATCTAACAAAGAGAATAAGAATGGTGTACTACACAAGACAGGAACAAAGAGAAGAAACCATCCTACTAGACAAAGTAGAGAGGAATTATCCACAAATGGAAGAGCTAGCAAAAGAATTAAATGCTAAGTGACATGAAAGAGAAGAAGACTATTTTCCTTTTGAAGAACACAAATTGCATAGACTCTAAACCATTTTTATGTCAAGTAAAGTTATATCAAGCCTAGATGTTCACATTGTAAGAAGCCGTTTACAACTATCAAAGATGAGTTGACTCTGGAGGAGGGTAATGTTGTGAACATATATGAACTCATATGCATAGATCAATAAATGATGATCATGGCAAAAGACCAGATCACATCTATGGCAATTGCAATGGATCTATAGTCACTGACATTCACTCATTCTACTAGAAGTACTACATCATCCTCATAGTCAGAGATTATGAACCTAGTGACTCTGTTATTATTAATGGCCCTCATAAAGTGACAGTTAGAGCTGACAAATACATTAGCATTGGCATTTGACAAATATGTAATAGTTTATTCAAGTTCAGGTCAGATCATGTACTATTGGCTGAGCTAACAACTTCCTCTAAAGGCATTTCTCTTAATTACTCCTGATCTAACAAATCAATCCGTAGTCAAGAAGCTAACCCAAAACAATATTTTGACCGAGAAGAAAAAGTATAAATACCTTGACATTTTATAGCAATTGAAGGACAACATTTTTCTTGGAGAAATAAAAACCTATACAAGTTCTAACGGACTTTCTCTGTGTTCTTACCTTTTCTCTTATTGAATATCTACTCTCTCTTCATCTCACAACAACAACAGTCCACAAATTACATGTATAAATACCTAGAGAATGAAGAGCTAGAAAATATATATATTTTTGGATAATAAACCTATACAAGTTCTAATCGACTTCTTTGTTTTTTATCTTCTCTCTTACATCACAATACTCGGGATTTCCAGACCTAAAGAGAATATACAATTGCTTTTCTTATTACCAATGGTTAAAGTGTTGTTTATCTAGATCGATGACTTATATTTTTGAGGCAACACGGTGCGTTTGCTCCAGAGGTAATCACTATTAATTGCTGTATGATAGAACACATTACCATTCGCAACGCATTGGAAGGAGCCTATGTCTGTTATCATAAATTTTATGTCCTTAAAGTTCCAAGAAATGCATTAGATCGCAAGCTAATTAGTGCTCACACCCAAAAAGAAATGGGTACATACAAAAAGCAGCTGAAACAGCTAACCACTCAGCTTCATGGAGAAGCTGAGGTAGTTCTAACGAGCTGATCGCTCAAATTGAAAACAAGTTGGAAGAAGATAGGCAAGCAAGTTTTTCGGACTACTTTCGAAGCCGATGGTCATAAACTGAGGAGCTGAAAGGTCGGTGGAGTTAAGCATACATGGCTGAGACACATAGAAATATGCTCGCTAACAATTATATTGAGTTGTGGCATAATCTGCTTAGGATCATGTACTTAAGTAGACACAAAATTAATTGTCTTGCTCAATGACTGGATTCTATTTTACAGAGGAAAGAGAACGTATCTTGTCCAATAATGGCAAATAAGGTCGGAGCAAAACAAACAAGCTAAATGTTTGTTTTTTCCTAGCGAGGCCTCTACTGATCGGCTACCTTCTCTTGTTAAGAGCCCATTAGGAAAGAATAGCAGTGATGTCGTTATTGTCAATGAGAATTGTTTTATGGGTTCTTTGACTTCTTTATCTGTCAAGTATCCTGTCAGTGTCTATTATAGCTTTGTACTTTTCGAAAATTTTTAACTAATCTAATAGTAGATTTAATATTGTTTTGCAAGTATTCGTGTTTAATTATTCGGTTTATTTTACGAAGTAATGAAGTATATACAAAAAGCTTTAATGAAAAAAAATGCTGTACAAAAAATTACTGGAAGAAATCAGGTCCAGTTGGAGCTTGATAGCCCGAAGTAGCCTCTAATTCAGGTATTGCTTCTAAAGACAGGTATATAATAATTACTGGTACCTTCTTATTCACTTGAACACTAATAAATAATGTTTAGCAAGAATAATCAATATTCATTATCTCACCTATCTAACTCTTTATCTTCAATTGCATCCCATTGCTCTACAACAGATACGCTTCCCAATTGTGTATATTGATGTAATGTGCCTTGCATTTTTCTCTTGACCAATTCTACCACAGTCACCGTCTTGTTTACGTTTTGCCCTTTACCAATCAACACAATGTGTTTCTTTTGCTTTTCCTGTCATACACGGATCAATATCTCTTCAAAAGTTTGAATGATGGTAGCATTTACCTGAAGCAATTTTAAACTAACATCGACATAGGTATTTATCTTACTATGACTAATTCGCACTTCGTTGTCAGCTGGAGGCTTTTCATTTTCATTTGTTGGCGCAATGTTTTTTTTACTTCTTCTATAATCTTCCACTATAAAACAAACATGATTAATATATATATATATATATATATATATTCAACAACAAAAGAAAGTAAAGAAAGAACAAAAACTATATCAGAACAATTAAGTTTGTCTCAGGTTATTTTAGTCATTCTATTGCTCTCGGTTGTTGGTCTACCATTCACTGATACTACTGTTTATGTGTGCCAAACTCCTCGCAAAGCATGTATATTACTACTTACAAGTTGCATTAAATGATTTGGCGTTTACTATCACTTTTGTTAATCCACCCAAAAAGATTCATATCGAGCGAATACTTGGGTTCAGGTCAAAAGTAAGAAAATATATACGTGTTGTTGAGCCATCCTTTACCAACAGTATGCATTCTGCGACATAGTTGGTCTAACAATGGCTGCAAATAACATCAAATGCATTTAACAAGCAAATACATTATCCATTACTCCCTTTTTTGTTCTGTGTTCGGCCTTACGCTGCATTATCCACTACTAAAGATAACGAACAAGATTTCGAACAGTATATGATATCGGATTTGTATTTATCATTGTAGTAGAATGAAAGAAATAGACCACCAACACAAGAGCTTGGCTAAAATATACTCGAACCTTTTACGTACTCATCATATATATATATATATGTTCATCCTTCCCTTTCTCTTAAATAATGTACTTACTATTAACCAAGTCGCGTTCAAAAGAGAGAAAAAAATAGTTGTGCCGTCACGTAGCACTTCATTTTTTTTTGAGCGGGTATTGAATATGTTTGACAGTCAATTGATTCAAGCATAAAGAACAAGTATTTTGTCTCCTTAAATCGCTACAAGCTTCGTTTTTGGTTTATTAATTGCAATACGTAATTAAAGGAGAAGCATTGTCAATCCCTTTAATGACAAAGTTGCTCTCTGTGCTGCTTGTATTCAACAGAGAATGCACGTCCACTTAATTCCAACTTTATTTGTATATATAAGGAGAATGACATTTAGCCACGTGGCATGACTGATGAACACGTCAACTATAGTATAAAAGAGATTAAATAAAGCTTTAAAAAATGAGGGTTGATTTCATTTAAGTTTGTCGATTTCCTTGAAATAGCTCCATCGTCGTATGTGCAATGACATTTAAAGTACGCCAGATAAAACTACGAGATACTCGTGACATAATAAACCTGTTTGTACAATACAAAACAAGCCATTTAAGGTAAAGATAGTGTGTGTGTGTGTGTGTGTGTGTGTGTGTGTGCTAAAAAAAAGACCAATTGCTTGCACTCTTTTTAATTTTTCTGGAAAAACATTCACAAAAGAAAAGTGTAATTTGTTGTGGATCTTTCCCCTGAAAACAATTGTTTATTTTAGATGAATAATAATAAAGTTCTTTTTTTTTCTCACTTTCCCTCTCTCTCTTTTTTTTTTTTTTTTTTTTTTTTGTATACTTCTTTTTTCCTTTTTGTATTTTATTGTATTATTAGAAATGGGTCAAATAACTAGCAGTTATGAAGAAACATCTGTATTTGCATATTTGACAAATCCACTTGTGGATAAAAGCGACACTATGAAGAAAGATTGTATCGTTCTACACCCAGAGTTTTATGGATTAAAGCCAAGTGCATCTATACACTCTATCAAGAGAATAGAAGGCGAAAGGCCAGATTCTGGATTTGTATCCACATCTCTTGATGGAAACTTGCAATTATTAAAAGATTTGGCCTATATTGACCAGACTTATTACGACTCCAACTCAACATCTTCAGTAAAAGAATACACCATAACAAACATACCAAAAGAAGACAATGGCGCCTATATCTCGTTTGCCGATGCAAAGCTCACCTCACCAGATAAAATGCTTCGAGAAGTATATCTGTCGAGTAGAAGCATCTACAGTTTAAGTTCCAATATAGGCATGCTATCGATGATTAAAAAGCTAGATTTGTAAGTATAAGAGAAGGGAGAAAAAAAAATAAAAGGATTGTATAAGGAGAGTGAGCAGATTGCATCGATGAAAACAGCTATCATGCAGGAGAAAAGGAGAGAATAATAAGTGTGTCTGTGGCGACAAAGAAAGGCTGACGTCTTTGTGCGTAGGTCTAACAATCACTTGACTGAATTACCTGAATCCATTGGATACATGCAGAATCTAGAGCATTTGACTGTATCTAAAAATCGAATCACACATTTACCTCATACCATTGGATACCTGTCAAATTTATTTGAACTCGATGTTTCTTACAATCAAATACAAGAATTAACGCCGTTTATCATTTACCTTGAGAAATTAAAGTCACTATCACTCGCACACAACTTGCTCGATTCACTACCGACAGAAATAAGTGGTCTAAAGAACCTTATTGCACTTGATTTATCTCGGAATCCACTCCGAATTTTGCCAGCTGAAGTTTCCCAGTTACCATTTTTACGCCGCATGAAACTTGAAGACTGTCCACTCGACACCGAGCTAGTGTACCCACTCCAACACAACCCAGTCAGCCTTTTTGAAACTTGTGCTCGTACAATTGTACGAAAGCAAGTCAAGATCGATCCTACTTTACCTGGTCATGTAGTCCAATATATTCAATCAGCAAAATTTTGTACGTCATGCAGAGGACCTTATTTTGATTCCTATGTTCTACGTGGACGATGGATAGAAAAAGCAGATGTGCAAATCCCATTACAATATACACTTTGCTCTGCTCATTGGTCAGATGCGGAAGATCGTCTTCTTAGCATATTTAGCATGCAGCCAGAAACAGCATGTCAAAACACACAATTACTTTGCAGACCCAGATTACCATCCAAGCCAACAACAACAACAACAGCAGAAAGACTAGGCTCCATTACACGGCAAACTCGTCACTCTGCTCTTTCTCCTCCTTCCACTATTGATAGCAGTGTCATGGCTGATACTTTGGAAGATATGATTGGAGATCAATCTACTTCCAAACAACCTATTCGCCACCGTTTCGGTAAATCAAATCTGGTTGATTGGGCATCCAAACTTAGAAGACATTAACTTAAAATGTCATGTATTATCATTTCTATAAAAAAACTTGTATTGTTGTATACCCCTTTTTTCTTCTGAAATAGACATAACCACTGAATCGGGGTTTACAGCTCCTTTTTGCATGATTTTAAACTAGCGTTGTGATGAGACATGGTCAGCTCTATATTTAGTCAAAACCCGATGTGAAATTCTTCAAGTCCCTTCATTAGCTTGACGTAAAGAACAAAAGCATCCGATTAAAGATATCGTAATTAGTTTGCTGAGTTTACTGATTGCAATCATGAAAATTAATTGTTAGAAGGTGGGGTGAGAATTATAGTAAAGAAATAATCAAGACAAGACAGATTCCCGAGATTTTCCGACTTTATTGATCTATACGTACATAAACAAATAACTACGAAAAAAAACAAAACAAAAAATGAGATGATAATATGCCGCAGGCAAAGAATGTGTATTTCATTATCATCCTTCATGATATGTATGTGTAACTTTTTATTAGGTAATCTTTAAGAGTGACGTCGTAGTCAGAAAAGTTCCTGAAATTATCTAGTAATGGTGATCGTGCTATAGTTGGCGTGGCATTATACTTTAAGGGTATATATATATATATATAGATTTGTCAAATATAGACATGCTCCAATAACAACAAGAGAACAAGCAAAAAATGGCAATTTCCCCCATTTTATGTTTGTACATGGCTTGGTTAGATTACCATATTTAACAAGTGTCTCCCGCAGTTTATACAATCACACCCGAGAAATACCAGTTTGATATCAAAATGAGGTCTTTTTTTTTTTTTTAGGATCGTTCTCTCATCGCTACTTTACCTAATTAGCCACAACAACAATCAGAAGGTGGCGGACGCTTAAGTCTATATCAAAAACATATCGAGGTTTGAAATGATTGGCTAAGATTGGATGTGAGTGACCAAGATTCCCTAGAATGCCCGAGACCTGAGATTAAAAGCAGATCAAAAATTTTTCTAGGTGTGGTAGTATATAAAAAGGAGTTTATTACCCCATATTATCAATTGAGAATTTTATACCCTACAGCTATCATATAAAATGGAATCAAATAACAACTTTGAAGATTGTATTCCTGGCTTTCAAATTATGTGCCTTACACCTGAAGAAGATGAATACCAATACGATGATGACTGTGAACAACAAGACGTATGCTGGTTAGATGACTGTGAATGCCAAGAGAACCTTGCTACTATCTTGCCTTTGATCCCTGAAGCATGTGTTGTCGATAAAGACAACCATATCCAGAATGTGGATGGTACCCATATGTTCTTTGAAGAATTAGGCTATTTCACAGAAGAACCTGAGCCCATTGATCCAACACGGGATTATGAAGCAGAAGCACAACAATTGATTGAAGAACGAAATAAGACAAGAAAACAACATATTGATTTGTCTCCCATGCCATCACTGGATAATACAGACTCTAGTGTCTCATCTACGTCTTCTTCATTTCATGAACATCCTACACTTACTCAGATTCGTTCACCATTAAATCAACAGCAACAACAACAACAACAACAACAACAAAAGATGGCAAACTCTTATGTTTATGCACACTGTGTTTCTGCAAACCCATTGTAAATTACTTCATTCCTATTATTATCACTGCATTTAATCAAATCATTATTTATTCTGCATTTTATATTAAACAAAACCACCCAATTCTCTTTTATTTTTGGTTAATAATTCTCCTTAGCTTCTTTTGGTAAGCTTTCGTTCTTTTTCTTAATCACACCCAAGTGAACAATACGGTCGCCTGACATGGCAACAGGATTTGAACTACGGCCAATGACCTAATATAAATATGTGAATTTTGTTCTATTTCGTTCTAAATAGACTTACTATGCCACTACAAGGAGCATAATACTCATCAACCACATTACCAAAGATGTTCTTTATACGAGCAATTAAGTCACCCTTCTTAATAATGGTATTCACACCAGGATAGACTTCTAAAACACCTCCTGTTTTGGTATATATCTTTTTATGGGTGAGATACTGAAATTATGTAGATGTACTTACCCAAAATCCTTTTGAACAAAGAATTGTGTTTGGAGGACCTAAAGCAGCCATATCTTCTGCAGTAGGTTGGTATGTTAGTGTATACATATCCAAATGATCCAAAATACGCATCACGCCAATATAAGACCACTATAAACAAACATGATCAATATTGTCTCTTTCTTTTCTGGTATGTTACCTGAACATATTGATTTTGGAATAACTGAGGATTACCAATTTCAACTGTGATAGCACGAATACCTCTTGCTGAAGCAGCAGATCGTAAAGTGCCGTCTTGGCCTGAATTATGCAATACAACCTGAGGTGTCTGTAATCTTGCCATAATAGCTGAAATAGGATCATTCATGTCAGCACGCACATAATACGAATTAACCCGACCAAAGCTTGCTGTATGCAGATCAATTAGGTAATTGAATTGAGAAATGACCTTATTCATCAACTGGTAACAATACACTTGCGAAGCAAAACCATCTTCCCTACCGGGAAACAGACGGTTCAGATCTCGACCATCTGCGAATTCTCTGGTAAACTTCAAATAACCAGACACATTCACACAGGGCACTGCAACTACTGTGCCGTGTAACTTGTTGACATCGATTTCAGAAATAACACGATGGATACAAGGTACACCATTTAATTCGTTGCCATGAACAGCAGCCGTGATGCCTACGACAGGTCCATCTTCTGTACCTCGACACACAATCACGGGTAATCTAAGCCATTCACTTAGACCTTGTTTGACCATCTTGATCCAAGCTGTACTGATGGTATGTTTTGGAAAGTCTTCTACCACAAGACGGTCGCGAACCACAGGAGGAGGAACATCTGTATCTTGATTCAAGAGTGCGAATGTAGGAGGTTCATAGATCTGTGTGGCTTCTAATTGGCCTCGAAGCATGGCTAGACTGTTGCGTCTTTCTCGTTTGTTTTGTGATTCTTCCATTTTGAGTGTGGTTGTCAATTCACCACCGATATTATCGGACGAAACAGGAATAGCAGATGCAGATGCACTTGCTTCTTGAGCAGCCATACGTTGAGCTACATTTTGAGGCAAGTTCCAGAAGGGCTGATCATCATAGACAACAAGTGATCCTTTACGACGGGGTTCTCTGCGACGGCTAGGGACATCTTCCTCCTTAGCACCCGCGGTCGCTAAGCCTGCAGCTTGTGTTGCACCGGGTGTAGGAACGGCAGGCGTATTTCCAACCGAGTAACTGTTTGTTTGTAAAGCAAAATAATCAGAGAGTGTACCAATCGTGGAAGGAGCTCCTTTAGGCTTGCTCTCCGTGATTTGAACAATCATGATGGTTGCATCTTCTATGTTTATCAGATAGATTCATGATGACAGAACGCCTACCTTGATCACGATTACCAACACCACCCGAAGCATCGGATGCCTGAATGACCATACTCGTAGGAGAAGCGTCTTCATCGCGCTCAACATATAGAGTTTGGCCAGCTGAGAGGACGCCATGGTAGCCCTGTGGGCTATTTTCATCCAAACCAATACAGACATGGCCTTCAACCACATACACTAAAGCAAATGCGCTTAGGATCAATTTCCTGCCTGTTTCACCATTCTCGTTTGAGATAGGTTGACCAATTTTATCAATCGAGAATTGCGCTGTACCCAATTCACGTTTGATCAAGAACTGTAAGCAACAGACAGGCGCATTGGACACTTTACAGCTTGTAGCCCTGAAAAGGATGTGTGAGAAGCATAGATAAGTAAATGTACTTGCCATTCACCATTCCAAGTATAAGGAAAGAGAGGTTTGATAGTAGTAGAAGCTTCTTCACCACGATGATTTAGATGAATAGTACTCTTTTTATTTTGATGGTGACTTGGAAGGATAACACAGGTATAATCATAACCCAAAGAAATAGGGAAATTAAAATCTGCATCAATTTCGTGCTCGCTTAAGCGCCAGAAGAAAGAGTCTTTTCGGTAGTCTTTCTCAGGAGGATAGATGCATATCTCAGATGTCTTTCCAAGGCCATTTTTCCAGTTTTTTGTTCGATAATCCTCTCTATGATAGGTTGGTACCTTTTCTTCAAGGACACTACTTACCTAGGATCAAGTGTTTCTACTTTTAATAAAGTAGGCTCAGGGGAATCCACTTGAAGCATTGAACCATTGGGTGCGTCCTCTCTATTGATTGACATTTGATAAATTAAAAGAAGAGAAAAGAGAGGGGAGAGAAAAAAAAAAGGGGGAGCTTATACAAATACTATCATGAAACAACGTGACCTATTTGAGCCTTTATACTTGCTTGATCTATATGGAATATATACACAACAAATAGAAATGACATCATATTAACCAATCATGTTGGACAAAGATGATGATTGGAAAGTGGGTTTTGAATTGTCACTGCATTTTTTTTGTGTGTTTTTTTTCTCTCGTTTTTTTTTTTCTTTTTTCTTTTTTTTTTTTTTTTTTTAAAGAAGCATTGATTCAATGAACACTTCTTAACTAAAATGCAAACAATGAACAAAGACAACCTCATGAACTTTAAAGTTCTTTCAAGATACGATGATTTGTTTACTGATATCTTTTTGGATAACCTCTATCTTTGGTTCTCTACCATCAAAATGAATCATGATCACCGTAGGCCAAGAGTGCCTAATACAAAAATACTAGACATTATTCAAAGAGATATTCTAGAGAACAAAAAACCACTGGACGCTGTCAATGAGTTATTAGCGTAAGTATTTTATATCTTGTTTCACAAACACACACACACACATATATATATATATCCCCTTTATAACATCATATTCACATCATCATCATCATTTTTTTCTTTTAGTTTAGATTATTTTAAACATTATGTTGCTCTCAAGAATCAAAAGCAATTACAAGAGTTTATTCAACACATGAAACGTTACTTGTACATGTAAGTAAATCCATAACAAACTTGCAATAACACATCGTGTGACTATCAGGTACATGCCTAATGCAGGTTATGAGATTGGGGATACAAGACGGTACGGTGGTAACGGACGTCGTGTAGAAGCATGTTTAGTAGCTACCAAAGACTGGCATGTAGGCGATGAAATGCGATTGTTGACTGGCATGATTGCCTGTCTAGATCCAAAGGACGATGCAGAACTCAAGAAGGGAAATCGCGACTTTAGTGTCATGTGGTCTACTCGCAAAAACTGCAGTTGTCTCTTTCTTGGCCCTGCTCGCTTTGCAAACCATGATTGTGACTCGAATTGCAAGTTTATCTCATTAGGGCAGAACTCCATTACAGTCAAAGCCATCAAAGAAATCCAATCAGGAGAAGAAATCACAGTGTATTACGGTAAACATTATTTTGGAGAAAACAACTGCGAATGTAAATGTTCCACTTGCGAAAAGTAAAGTATACATAGTATGCTGTATATAGATATTTATTTATTTTATATTTGTAGGTTAAACATGGGTTACTTTGCATCGCTTTTGCCTCATTCACAAGAAGACAACAGTTATCATAGTAGTAGTAGCAGTAGTACTAGTAGTAGTAGTAGTAGCAGTGGGAGTACTAGGCGTAGTACACGGAAAAGAAAATCGGTCTTACAGGAAGGTAATTGTGGGACAAAAATTATCAAACGATGTACACACACACACACTCTAACTTTCTTTTAGAGCAAAGGAAACCTAAACGAGCATCTTTAGAACCACCTCCACACACAAAAACACATTCATCCGACTCACTTGAGGAAATAATTGGTCAAGTAGAATCACCTATCATTAGACAGGAAGAACTACCGCCTATGCCCGTCTCACCCACAACAGCCACAACAGCAAGGTTAAAAGTCATGAGTATCGACTTCTTGTGCAATACAGATAAAAAAGAACCAATCAGCGAAAGAAGGACATCCGATTGTCCCTTGTTGGATTTACTTGTGGATGCAGCAATGGATGCAGAATACCTGTCTTCCAACAAACCCAAGACGGTAGTTGTAGTCAATCCTGAAATTCATCGAGATGCTACTCAGCGTGTCTTGTTGCAACAACAGCGCCAGCATGACTCATCCTCTTCAATTGACTCTAAGGCAGATTCAGCAGTCAGTTTATCACCTCCTTCTCGCCCAGTTAAGGAAGAAGAAGATCGTTGCTGGCGACGAGCGATGGATGACGGACTCTTCAATCAAAGTGATATGGATGCACTCAGTGATTTCTTTGACGACGTATCGGATCTGTCTTCTGTGAGTAGTACAGAGCTTTCCAATTGGACATCCGATGAAGAAGACGAAGACATTGAATCAGAGAAATCTTCACGCAAAAAGAAGACACAGGAAGAAGATTTGACTTGTATTGCTTGTGGACGACTACTGAGAAGACAAGACATTTCAGAGCAATTGGGTGCAGATGTATCAGTCACAAACGAGTTAGCTACCTGGACTTGGACACCTAGTGCTATATTTACTGATTGGAAGCCAAAACGTTGTCCTCGCTGTGAACGACATTACACTATTTTTAGACAAGAATGGCCAAACCGTAAGGCTAAAAATAATGTAAAAAAGTCAAGAAAGAAGAAGATCAAGAAGAAGAGCATAAAAAAGCCATCTCCTTTGACAGAATCCATCCAAGACGAACTCGACGACCAAAGCTATATTCCACCTTCACCTTTGTCTGAGATTTCTACTACTTTTGATGAAGAAGAAATTGCAGCGTTTTAATATGTAATATGAACTTATTCTTGTATATATGCTATTCAAAAAAAACAAGTATTCCCCTCCCCTATTCTGATTGTATAAAGTTTATATGTTTGTTATTTGTTTGTTCTTTGTTTGTTATTTATTTAAATCACTGCCCACTTTTTAACAGAAGAAGTAACGTAATCCAAGATTTTACAATCTTTCTTTTCCTTGACAGTCACCTTGTCGGAAATCATATCTTCCAACTTTTGATAAGCACTGAATTGAAGCACAAAAAAGTCCAATTGACAACCACCAAAACTCCACCCTTCATCATCGACTCGTACACAGCCATTGTGTGTCTTGCCATCAGGTAATTTGAGACCATCCAGTTCTTTTATATACAGTTTTGTGCCTTTCTTAAGATCATTGGATGCAACACTCACCCAGGGTACTAAATGGTTGTCTTCATCATTACCAAGGCCATAAGGACTTTCTTTACGATTGACTTTCATAAATTCATCTTTGCCTGAATCCAAATTGACCATGATGCCATTCTTGAGCAAACCAGTGCCTTCCATTTGAAATTTCTATGAAGTGTGAGTACCACTCTTGATGTTATTTAGATAATTACCTCAAAAGTTGTTTTGGAAACTTTGGCAATGGTAGAACCAGAGCTTGTCTTGAGTGCCTTTGTTTTACTGCCATTCAAAGTGACAACCTTGCCATCGTTCAGCATATCCTTTTCGCCTTCTTTAGGTATCCAGTACATTGTTAAAGCGGCTTTAGAATAGCAGCTCTTGAGTGATCGTTTGGTAGCAAGAGAATGCTTGGCTCGATCATTCTTGCTTGAATGGTGTCTGGTAATCTCTTTCTTGCCAGAAGAAAATGCTGCCTGAGCGATAGAGATCAATGAAAAAAGAGTAATGTAGAATGCAAACTTCATGTTTATATGTATATGTATCTAGTGAAGGGTTTGTATATATAGAGTTTTAAAGACCAGCTTTAGAGAGAAAAATATATAATTGTTAATGAAAAAAAAAAAGAAAGAGATGTCTTTTCATGCTTCTTTTTATATACAAAAAGAAAAAGAAAAGTAAACTTATTATGGCAAATACTAATCACTGACAACCTTCAAGTGTCAAAAGGACATGCATTTAAACTGTGTGTATGACAAGTCATTGAGTTGCATAAGATCACATTTTGCGCTTAGACTTTCGTGGACCACATTTAGTTACCAATTAAAAAATCGTGACTAGCCTTTCAAGGGATAATGATGGCACCATTTCAGGCACAATTAACTCTATATACCATTTGATGATTTACAAATGAGGAATTCTTGTCATTTATAACCGTTTATTTTCTGGGTGCATTTCTATCTAACCAAGCTTGAGCTCTATCTAAATCTTCTTGTTCTGCCTCAATGGCTTTCACACACCAGCCTAATTCATAATGCTGTGTTGTTTCCATTAAAAATTCAGCTAGAAATTTTTTCCGAGTGGTGGTCTCATCTACACAAAGATGCAGTTCGGGATTGGGTTGAGGTAAGCTTAATTCACGGGGCAATGGCTTAATCATTGGAATTAATAAACTTGCAGCTGTTGTAGCGTCCTTGGGTTCTTTGTTACAAGAAGCACAATACTATTCATCATAAATTAGATTTGTATTACACATAAAAGAGGAGGAGAGGAGAGGAAGGTTACCTTATTTCTACACCAATCATGACCACATCCGACTGTTAATTGGGAATGTAATTTGCGAGCAATACGCTGTATTAATTTAGTATTTTTTGGGTCATCTTCCGTGATCCAGAACGGACCGAAACAATATTGGCAGAAACCCAGTCGATTCTTATTGGTTGCTCGTGGACGAATACAGTTTCGATTAGCGCAAAAAGGGGGTAAGGTTTGTTGTTGTCTCTTGATTTCATGAATCTTTGCATGGACTTGAACGTCTTTGATGGGTATAGGTTTATTGCATTTCTGACAGACAATGGTGCGTGATCCACAATAGCTCTCATGCGAATGTAGTCCAAGCAATCTATCTCTTGAATCTAATGATTGTACACCTTGAGCTGTAAGGATCTACCGTTTGTTATCAATATACCATCTCTCCTTTCAATCGTTTCACTTACATGACAATACCGACACATAATTAGCTTTTCTGGACAAATTGTCCGTCTATGCTCCGCTAGTGTTTCATAAGAAGGAGTTGCAAACTGAGTACAGACACATGTTTTCAGCGTATGACAGTAGTCAAAATGCTTTTCTTGTTCTTGCTGCGAATTCGAAATAAATTCGCACTGATCACAATGGCCGTGTTCTTGCAATTCTTGACTGCCTTTTTTGAATACTTGGCCGCATCCCCAAGGACAGAGCACATTGTTGCGTAAACAAAAGGTTTCGTGCAGTGTCAGGGATGAAGGAGGAATCCAAGCATGACAATTCTTGCATTGTACCTTACCTGAGGTGTCTTCCTCTTGTCTGGGTATCCAAGATTGATCTTTTGGTAGACTGGCTTGCCAAGATAAACTTGTCGTTTCGCTGTATCCATGAATGCCTATATAGAGTGTAGTAGGCGCTAATATATTGTCGAGTGGTAGTTGCTTTTCTTCTTTTGAGCTCAATTCAGACCATGTATGGTTATCAAGAGTAGGCCTTTTCTCTGTATCACTTGCCACAATATCTATGCACATCAGTATGCCATCACTCACGACCAATCGTGCTTACCTGCATTGCCTTGGTTGATATGCATATGGAGTACAACGGACTGACATGGTTCGGCAATGTCTAATTTCCAATAGTTGTATTCACCCTTTGATACGGCTGTCTGTACAACTTGGTTTAAACCAATGGGCTCATTTGCTGATGTATGGGTGTGTTCAATATCAACTTCTAAATCTGTGTCTGTAATCGAGACAGCTTCTTGTGGCTTCAAGTCCGTCACTTGAAATTCATAAGTACGTGCTCCATATGGACAAGACAAGATTTGTCCTTTTGTCAATGTCTGATAATGCGATCTTAGATGTGCTTCTAAGGCTGCTCGATAGTCTGTAATATCACGATAATCATGCGAGATAGGTAATAAACGTGCCCAAGTGCCTTTGGGTAGTTCCTGTAAACGGATCAAGACACGATCGCCGTTGTCAAGGCCCAGTGTCTTTTGCATCCAGTCGGGCACAAGTGCTGTATGATCCTCAGACGAGAATTCCTTGACACCACAGTGAAGGGTGGCACTTGTATGAGGGTGGCGTAGTTCGAAAGTGAGAGGAGAAGGCAGTTCGGAACTGTCTCGTTGTAGAAGCTGTTCAAGTGCAGAAGGTGGTAATACAATCTTATCTCCTTGGTCTAATTCTTTTGCTGCTTTAATTGTAAAATGTGAATTCCATTGAACTGTAGACATCTTTAAGAACAAGAAAAGAAAGAAAGAAAAAAGAGACAAAAATAAACAGACGCGTATTCTATTAATCAGCTTAGAATACTCTAGAAGATGATATTTGATTGGCCTTGAAAGAAGGCCTGTTTGGTTGGTTCTTTTTGCATTCTTACAAAAAAAGAAAGTCCTATTTTAGTCAGACGGGACCCAGTTCTTTATTGGGAGTGTTCCGTTTTTTTTTAAAAAAAAAAAAATTTATGCTGTATGGGTGTATCGCCCAGAATTTAAGCTTAAAAAGACAATTATTTTTAAACTTGTTCTTTCTTTCTTTCTTTCTTTATTATGGATTATTTTGCATATAATAAAAGAAGGTCAATTTCAGTTGAAATTACATTGCCAGATGAATTCCAGGCAACAACAAATGATTATAGCAGTAATTCAATGCCTTCTACACCTACTATGTTTATTCATGACACTGGTAAATCACCTTCAAGGCCAACATGTATTCGTTATTCTGCTTCATTTTTTGCGCCAGAGAGTTCTACACACCACAAACACCATGACAGTGTAGATGCAACTACCAATAAACTACTTCATTTGTCTCTCTTGTCTAGTTCTTTACCATCACCACCAACCACGCCTCAACAACATACGGTTATACCATATATGTCTCTCTCATTGCCTCCTCAGCCAACCAAACTCAAACGAAGGTTCAGTAATCCACCTCATACAGTTCATTCTCCACGTCTTCATATCCTACTGGTAGATGATAACAGTATCAATCTCCAAGTCTTATCTCGATTACTCAATATGCATTTAAACGATGTGATTGAACATTTAGAACTTGTCAAGAGTGGCATTAGAGCACTAGAGATACTGAAATGCAGACCCTTTGATCTTGTGTTGATGGATATTGATATGCCTATCATGAATGGCATTGAAACAACAAAGCATATTCGATCATCTACAGAATTTGATATCCTGCCACAGAATCGCAAGACACCAATTGTGGCTGTAACTACAAATGACTCAGCAAAATGGCGTCAACTTTATACCGATATTGGCATGGTAAGGAATACATATATATATATATGTCTTGTACTTATTTTTCTATTATTTAGAATGGTTGTATCAGCAAACCTATTTCACCTCTTGACCTCAAAAAGACATTAACAGGAGTACTTGATCTTCCTTTACCTGTTCCACCTTATACACCAGAATAATAATAATACTGTTGATAAACATATACCCTAATTTATTTATATATATCTACACCCCCTTCATTTTGTGTGAAATAAGTATTTGTTGTTGTTTTAATATCAAATGGAACACGGGGCTTGCAGGTGTAACAGTTTCTTCCCTTGTACGCACGTGCATTGCTTGGCCTATTTCTCGGTCCGATTATTTTAAATAAAATAAAATAAAAAAAGTTTATGCATGTGATGGATTTTTGTTTCATCCACGGAAAATCTAAATCGATGGAAAATAGTAATATAACATTTTATATATATATATATGTGTGTGTGTGTGTGTATATTTGAATGTGAGTTTCAGTTGGTGGGCATATTTTATTTTGAATAACTGATAGAAAAGAACTCCTTCCTTTATCTCATCTGACACACTTGGTATATTATAATAACTTTTCTAACAACTCATTGTTGAGCGTAATAGTACCAAAAGTGTATTGACAGTCCGCAATAGGCTCAAGAGCTGATTGAAGAAAAGAAAATCCCCTTGGTAAAAGCTTATATGGTTATGGAGACTAGGCCCTATAGGGTAAATGTCTAACCATCAGTTCAGAGAAAGGCCTTATGATCCCTTTTACGGAATTTTCATTTTTCATTGTTTTGCGATTGGTGGTCGATAGAGTTCATTTTAACATGCCTTTGTACGAATTATTTTTCCAAGTCTATAAAATACACTCAAAGTGTTAGATTTGTAAAAATGTACGCTACAGCTCAAAAACAGAAAACAGGTTTCTGAAGGATAACCCTCTATCTTGCTATTTAACATGCTACTTTTTTATATCATTCAATGCGCCGTATTTATATCTACCAGCTTTGCTAATACACTCTTTTGATAGCTTTCCTTTCAGTCCATCATTTCTCTATTGAAAAAAAAAAAAAAAAACTCCATCAGTGGCGGTGACCGTGACCGGTTTTCTATTTAGGGTCACCACCATAAAAAAAAATAGTAGCCCCGAAGGTAGGAGGGCCTGTCTAAAGAAAACTTATTTTTTTTTTCGTATTTACTCTTGAGATCATGTTTCGCTTAGGAAGAGTCCTTCAACAAATCAGTAGTAAATCACCTGCTACTGCTTTGGTCTTCAAGCCTCAGACTTCAGTCAACCAACTCACCACTCGTTTCAGTCAATTACGTACCTATAGCACAGGAAGTCCTAGTTTTTTAACAGGTTTCAACACACAAGGCAATGCTGTGACCAGCATCAAGTCTTCAGCTACCCCTAGCACTCAGTTTAAAACCAAAAAGCCCACTACACCTGGTAAACGTTGGTTGAAGCGTGTGCCTCGTGATCACCTCTACAAGGGTAAAGCTGTTCGTAGCTTGACGGTAGCCAAACGCAGCACAGGTGGTCGTAACAACACAGGTCGCATCACCATTCGTCATCGTGGTGGTGGACATAAACGTCGTATTCGTATCATTGATTGGTACCGCCAAACAGAAGGCACTCAGACTGTTCAACGCTTAGAACACGACCCTGGACGTACTGCTTGGATCGCATTACTCAAGCATGACAAGACAGGCGAACTTTCATACATTGTTGCTCCTCATGGTCTCAAGACAGGCGATAAAGTCACTTCTTATCGATCTGAACAAACAACCGAAAGTGATATCACACGTACAGTAGCTATTGATGTAGGCAACTGCATGCCTCTTAAGATGATTCCTGTCGGTACTGTGTTGCATAATATTGGATTAAAACGTCAGGGTCCTGCTGTGATGGCTCGATCTGCTGGTGCTTATGCTCAGTTGATCCAAACAGGCGAGAAGGGATATGCACAAGTCCGTTTATCGAGTGGTGAAGTGCGTCTTGTTCCTGTTGATGCTTGTGCTACTATTGGTGCTGTCAGTAATCCTGACCATCAACACGAAATGCTTGGTAAGGCTGGTCGTTCTCGATGGCTTGGTATTCGTCCTACTGTGCGTGGTATGGCCATGAATGCCTGTGACCACCCTCACGGTGGTGGTAGAGGTAAATCAAAGGGTAACAAAGACCCTAGATCACCTTGGGGTGTATTGGCTAAGGGTGGTAAGACCAGAAAGACACCTAATCAATTCGTTGTCAAACCCAGACCAAGACGATAAACAACATTTTCTCTTTTTTTTTTATATATATGTATACACAGTTTAGACATGCGTCCATTTTTTCTCTCTCTCTCTTTTTGTATTATTTGTTAATAAAAAGGAAATCTAAACAAGATGGATCAACAGAGTGAAGAAGCGTCTATTTCTTATGGATCATCACCTCATTCGTTTGCAGAGGATGATAATCTAGATGAAAATGAACCTACTCTACCGCCCATTGCAGGACCACCTTCGGATGCAAGCTATAGTTCTTCTTTTATTGAGATGGTCAAGGCGTGTGTTGAAAGAGCGCATGAAAATCATCGTGTGACGACAATGGCCAATACTGAGAAAAACGAACAAGTGGACTCATTTGCCTCGATTCTTAATTTCTATAGCAGTCAAGAAAGCGATCTTCCTTTCTCTGTTCTCTCGAGCGCAAGTGAAAAGCAAGTAGAGAAAGGCAGAAGACAGGCTCAGGAAAATGAATTGCCTGTTCGATTACACTCTCAAGACTCTGTGGGTTCTTTACCTGAATTTGCAGTGATTCGAAGTGATCCACTCTCTGTCAATCATGTCCGATACACAACCAACAAGAAAAAGGACCAAGAACAACAAGTGAAAGAAGCATTGGATTCAGTAGGGACTAAATTCTTATTCGATGGGCCAGAAAAAGAACTGTGTTGGTCTCATTCACCAGAACCTAAGCCAGATTCACCCTTGTTGTCATCTCAAGAATTCTCTTCTTGGTTATGCTTTGATAGTCAAGGATCCTATGCCAATTTTAAGGTATTAAAGGACATATATACTGGTTTTAATGATCTTTAGCATGATATTGAAGAAAAAGTGTCTGCAGTAAAAGAGCAACCAACAAATGTACTTGTCCTAATCATGCATCTTGTCTCTAATTTTCTGTCTTTTATAGATCAAAGGAAAACAAAAAGAATCACCTACAAGACCAGAACCCCTAGAAAAAGACAGTCATCTGTTTGCTGACCTTGAGAGTAAGATTATCATGACAAGTACACCTAAAAGAGTATTTGATTTGAGCAAAAAGCGAGTCTAAATAAATGTTACACAGACATAGCAGAATTTAGTGCTATGTTTTCATGATGACAGAAGGCATCTAGACCCTTTTTTTTTTTATAAATAAAAATTTTCATTTTACTTTTTTCTTTCTTTTTCTTTATACACAATCATGTCAATTACAAATCAAATAAAGCGAAAAAGAAAAAGTACACCTGTGTTATCCACTTTGAGTCTTACACTGGAACATCTAAAAAGATCTGTTTCATTAAAACATAACAAAAAAGACAATGAAGGTAAGGAAATCTCTCTAAAGGAAAAAAAAAAAAAAGGAAATACTAAACTACTATTTCTAGACTTGAGCTGGTCTCAAGAGACTTCTACAGCCTTATTATACCCTTCATACAACAATCAAAAGAAAAAATACACACAGCCTGCTGAAACCTGGTGGACCAGTTCACCGCCTTTGAAGACCATCAGTATTTATTGACAAGTTACACAAAGCACATTTATATGATATCATGGCACCTAAAAAAAAAAAAAGAGTGTAGAGAAACATCAGTCCTTATTCAAGTACTCTCTTGTGGAGAATATCAACGTGTATATGCAATTCACTTATAAATATTTCCCTCTATCTATGTAACTTTGTTAAATAACAATAAACTTATGCTTTATTTAGGATAAAATAGTTTTGTATGTGTGTTGTATACACAGGATTGGATCAATTAACTGTATGACGCAGTTATTTGCTCAGTAATAACTTCTAGTTTCTATACATCCAAGACTCACGGCACTATGCTTTCAATCATGAAACACTGGGCTCAAATGGAACTTCCTTTTGTGGTGTAACCAATGTGAAGTGATGGCAGCTGTCATATCTGAGTTTTTCTGATAATAAAAAAAAAGTGTAGTTCATTTTCTTTATCCAAACTAGAAGATTATTAGACTCAATATAGCTATTTTCTCTTGCAGGATGAGCCTAGATTTTAATGTTATTGTCCTCGCATTGATGATGCCAGTTCCTGAATTGAATTTCAGGCACAAGGTTTTATTTTTTGACGAATAGCATGATAGAAGTTTCAATGACTTGTTCCTGCATTTCAATCTATCGAACCAAAAGCATGGAGTGATATAGATAGAAACAAAGAGCATTTGCGACTCATGCACTGCAAGACATTCATCTGTGGAGATTGAAATAGAAGCCACCAAATTATGTAAAAAAAAATTTTGTTCAGCAAATTTGGAGCTCATTTTTTTTTTCTTTATAAAAGTTCAAAATAAACTTTTTTCTTTTTGGCTTATGAATAAAAGTGTCGGATATTTATTTTGCACATCAAATGGTGTAGAGAATGTAGAATATGCACTATTAAATTTCTGAGAGAGAAAGAGAGAGAGAGAGGGATACAGCTACTCTTCAAGGGTTTTTTGACACACAAATGACTTTTTAGTAATTCAATGTTTAATTCAAAACAATCTATAGAAATTTTAGCTTTCAACGGCCAATTCAAGTATTTAAAGACGCTAGTGGGTTCATTTTTCAGCTTATAAAGCTTGAAAGAAGCACCAAGTTCGGAGATTAAAAGCGACTCATGGACACTGATTCAGGAGAAATTGATCAAAATCGCCATTTTTACGATGATATTTTTTTAAACGTAAATTGAGTCCAAAGGTACCACGTACACTAATAGACATAATTACTTTAGGTTTCGTGCATGTCATGGTATCAAGGAACAAGGATTGCACTGCCATAGGCTTTTTTTTCTTTTTTTTTTTTTTTTACAGAAATACAACGTACTATCATCTTTCAATATTAGGTCTAAACGTAACACATACACAAACTGATAGCTTAATTTTGACAAACAAGGCTTTGCATTATCAATCATAGTAAAAGTAACTCTGTCTCTCACCTGAAATGATATGAGAGATATAAGCCTTAACTCTTCTTTTTGAGCAGTCAAGCCACCCTGAATCGATAGTTATTACTCAAGAATGAGCACATCATACAAGTGACGAAAAACTTTACTTTAAATGAGCGAATGAACCTTTTCCATTAAAGAGAATAGACTATATAGCTTTTCTCTCTCTTTTTTTTTTTTTTTACCTTTATGTTATGACGAAATAATATTTATCTCAATAAAGTGCTACTAGTATATATATATATATATATATATATATAAACGAAGCAAGATGATTGTCATTGTTTCTCATTCATTCTAAGCCGGTATTGACTCCGATTTTTGAATGGGGTTGACTGCTGCATGTGATAATGACTATAAAGTATCTTATTTTCCACTTTATCATTTCGTTGTTCTTTTTCCACTCCTAATATAGAATGATACCCGATTCATTATTGACAAGAGGATTGATTTATACTTTGGCTGTTGTGCAGACAGCAGTGGCCCCCTTTGCATTTTTCTATTATGTTTATTATATTACGACAGAAAACAAATTGTTTACTGTGCACTCATCTGTCGACACATTTGTCCATTACTGGCTGGGCTGTGAATTGATGTTTTATGTGTTTTTCGAAATTACTAGAAATAGAATGCAACGAATTTTGCCCAGTGTAGCACCTAGTGCAAAAGAAAGAAGTGATCTTTTTGCCTTGTGTTTAGCAAATATTGAAGATCCCAAAACATGGTTACCAGACTGGTTTATGATTCATGGCAATGCATCCCAACACCCTCAATTTGAAGATATTGGCAGAGATAATATAGCTGAATGGTAAGCTATTATAGCGTCTAAGAAAAAGTGATTAACATGACCCTTAGGCTATCATGGGCATTTTTTGCACTTCCTTTAGAAGATGTTCTTCAAGACGATAGCCTGACAAACGAATTGAATTCGATGATAGACCGTCTTGAACAAGAATTCCATGTTAAATTTGATCATGGCTATCATGAAGATTTAGTTGCTTACCGTATCAATTTGGATCCTGTGCAAGCCTACCACCGTCCACTTGGGTTCTATAGCCTCATCTTGCTCTGCACCACCTTATTTCATTGCGTCTGTCAACATGTCTGGGGATTCAAAAAATTCGGGCCGGAGACACGATCAACTATCTGGAGTCTAATGGAACCACAACAATCGTATGATTCTGTCGTAACAACACCCCAACACCCTGAACGTGTCTCTTATTGGTTCCGTGATGGTAATCGTACCAAGAAGCCAGTTGTCTTTATTCATGGTATTGGGGCTGGTTTAATGTGCTATATACCATTTATAGCCAAGCTGTTGACATTGGATGCCCCTATTTTTTTTATTGAACTCCCTTATGTCTCTATGCATTGCATCGAGGATGTACCTACCATGCAGGAGACAGTACAAGACCTTCAGAATATGCTGCACCGTCATGAATTTCAAGGAGCTGTCTTTGTAGCGCATTCTTTAGGTACAGCTGTCACTTCTTGGGTTGTCAAGTACATGCACAAAAAAGTAGCAGGTGTCGTCTTGTTGGACCCTATCTGCTTCATGCTTCATTACAAAGATGTGTAAGTTTTGAGAAGCAAAAAATCTGGACTCACCCGTTATTAAACATAGTTGCACTAATTTCGTCTATCGCACACCCAAGACAGCTGCACAAAGTTTAGTGAAATATTTTGCTTCTACTGAATTGTACATTTCTTACTACATCTCTCGACACTTTCATTGGTTCCAAACAGCTCTCTTTGTGAAACCCAATGTAGCTCACTATCAACATTCTTATACCACTTCTGTCAAGATGCCAGAGAACACCAAGATATTCTTATCTGAAAAAGACAATATTATAGATTCTATGCGTGTCGACACCTATCTCAATCGTCATGGCATTGAGTCTACTATCATGAAAGGACTTGACCATGCTTCCTTTTTATTCTATCCTTCCTGGCAAAATCAAATTTTGGATACAATTCAACGTTTCCTATAGACCATATACCCTCCCCCCCCTTTATTTATTTATTTATTATTATACTACAGTAACACCTATTCTCTGTGCTAATTGTTGATATTGTTCATGAGCAATTTTACGTTGTCTCCAAAAGAACACAAGTAATGAAACGACAGCAACAACAGCATTCCAACCCTAACCATAAAATAAATACATTACAATCTAAACACCTATTGCTTACTTCAAATTGAATGATGCGAATCCTTTCTACACTCTTCACGCGAGGACATGCTCGAAAAGAAGGCAGAGAGATAGCATTATCATCATAAAATGAAGTCTGATTTTTCTTGTCTGCTAATTCTGGGTCATCCCATTCACATCGTACTGCTTCTTTGTTTCCGTATTCTAAACAATAGGGTTGTGTTTTCTAAATAGCCATGAGTCTAAAGAAGTGCTGTATATAGAAACATTACTTTTTCTAGAGGTGAACACACTTGGCATTCGCCTATGGCAAAACAAGAATAGGTTGATTTGTCTACTGTCTCATGAGAATGAGTGTAGTCTCCTAAGTGTCTTGAAGCACTGTTAGGCTCAACAATACCAAAAGGAGGTGTTCTTGGGTATAATTCATGTTCTGCAAATACCGAACTTATGTTATGTATAAATACAATGTTTATTGATACAAGACAACTTACATAAAAGTAAGTAATAAGACTAACAATGCTTTCATTCTCTTTTGAAAAAAGAAAAAAAGAAAAAGAGAATCATCTTGTTGTGTGACTGAATGTTTTCTTTTTCTTTTTTTCTTCTATTTTCTTGACATGCAACGTAAGTCGTTATGGGGATCTTATAAAGCTATACCTCCCAAGACAAGAATAACCCTCGGTCTCGGTAAGAAACAAGGCATAGTTTAGTATATAAAAAAAGGGTATTTATTCTATCTACTAGCTGGCATGGTATTTGCTACTGCAGGCATGTATTTCGCAGACTATATTGAACAAAAGAAACCAGCAACTGAACTCGAAAAACAAGAGCTTGAAATAATGTCTCCCATTGTGGTTGTTGACCGCCCATCAAAATAATAAAAATCATGCGTACACACACACACACACACATATATATATCATGTACAAGAATCTCTTGTCTGAATTGAAAAAGCGCTTATTTCTTATTTGCCTGAACGAAATGAATCTCGTTTTTTTTCTTCTTCTTCTTCTTCTTCTTCAACAATGGTAGAGGAGTCTAGTTTTCAACCCATCATTACATTGTATGATGCTATTACTGACTCACCTGTGTTTCGCTCGAGTCTTTCTCATTACGATCAACAACTCGATCAGTTGGAGCACTGGCTTGACTCCTTTTCTCGTCAGTTGAGAGTCTATACAGACAAATTGAACAGTAAAGAACACAATGAATAAAGAAGTTAGAGTGTTTATGTATTATGGCATATAGAATTAAATGTAGAGACAATGACTTTATGTCAAAAGGCGATCCCTGAGGGAATCGATGACACTTTGATAGGTACCATTGATTCGGGAAAACCATTTCTCCATAATAACAATGATAGATCCAAATTTCTCGGGTGCTGTCATGAAAGGCTTTGCTGATGCATTACAGACAAGTTTATCATTCAAGACAAAACTAGTACATATTTATGCATGCAGAAATATGTTTCTCATACAGCTCAATAGGTACTTCATCTTGAAGAAAGTTTGATTTCACCTCTACAACAGTTTGTCAAGACGCATTTAAAAGATTTCAAGGTAGAGTGATTCATTGAAAGAGAGGAACATGCAGTCTCATGTGTGTGTGTATACATCTAGGGATTTAGAAAGCAATATGAAAAAGTACTCGAGAAATACGACACTCAGTTAGCAAAATACAGTTCAATCAACAAAACCAAAGATCCTTCTTCTATACGAGAAGCAGCCTTTCGATTACATGAAGCGAGAAAGGAATATGTTCGCATGTCAGGACAACATGTGTTACGTATCCTCAACTTTCGTTCTATGCTTGAGCGTCTCTTGATTGAACGTTTTTCAAGAGCGACCATGGCTCAGAAACGCTTTTATGATGAAATTCAAGTATGGACTAATTTAGACGCTGCTTTATCTTACTGGAAGCAATGGCTTGTTGACGTAGGTCAATGTATGTGTGTAAATATATAAGATACTTATTCTTTACAAGGACAAACTCACTTGCTCTTATCAACTCTACGAACAACAATTGGCTCGTAAACGACTTGAAGATGAGTTTATTCAGCTCACCATACCAGATCGTGATATTGAGAAATATGTACCTATGACTACTGAAAAAAAGGGTGATCGTCTCACTTATTCTACATGGGGATACTTATTTATCAAGACCTCTCGTCATTCATGGACTCGTAAATGGTTTTATGTTCATGGCGGCTATTTTGGATCATGTCAGGCAGACAAGAAAACAATTATCAGTGAAATACGTGTTCGCTTGACGGACTGCAAGGTCCAGGCTAGTGTAGACCTTGACAGAAGATTCTGTTTTGAAGTCAAGGCAACCAACCAACCTTCTTTTATCTTGCAGGCAGAGACAGAAGAAAGCATGCAGCGTTGGATTCAAGTGTTTCATCAAAATAAGCAATCCATAGAACAAACACCCTCAGTTCAACAACATCATGTTCAAGATGTCACTTTGTTACAGGACGCATCGATGGCTATGGTGTCTACCACACCTGACATCAAAGCTACTTTAGCAAACTCGTCCTCATTGACACCCTTGTTGGTCTGGGAGGCTGCTCGAGGTGGCTCTTGTTCTATTCAGCAGTTGCCTTCAGGTTCTTGGGGTATTCCTTGGTCACTTGTGCCTACAATGGTTAATCTGACAGAAGATAATATTGTAGAGAAACAAGTAAATCTGCCTCAAGTGGTTTGGCCCGCAAAAACAGCTTCTGTCGAGGTACCTCATGTTGATATGAATGGCTATACAGACAAAATGAACGGATTAAACAGGGAGCTACGCCATCTATTTAGTGGTGTAGGAACAGACGAAGTTGTGTTGGATGGTATGTATACCATCTGTGTATATACTCTCACAACTCTCTATAGTATTTGTATGCTGCTTAAGGAAGAAACCCAAAACTTTGAGACGAGACCATATCAAAGACATTCAGCAATCAAAATCAACACTCAATTCACCTTCAGCCGATTTATATGAAAATGAGCTGGTACATCAATTAGTTCAATTAGACAACTTGAGTCCTCTTTCAAGTTATGGTTATGCCTACACAGGGCGTGGGTTTATCACTCAGGATACATTTTGGTTCTATAGCTGTATCTTAATGACTTGTATCAACTCTGTATGTATAAAAGAGCGAAAGCTATATTCATTTTTTTCTTCTTCTTCTTTTAATAGGTTGCTATTCGACTCAAAGACATTGAAGAGATCAAGGTCATTAAAGACCCATCTATTCATAGACCTATGCATGATACAACCATTGCTATGAAGACGGACATGGTGATCTCTGTCAGTTTAGTATCCAATGCACAATGTGGCATGAAAGAACCTTTGATATTTGGGTTCTTGATGGACGATATTGAAGTGATTGCATCCAATCTTACCTTAGCCGTTGAAAACGCAAAGAGCAACAAGGTAACTTACTCCATATGACAACAAGCATGATATTGACGTATTCTTAGCCTTTACCAATCAAAGATCTTTTTAGTAAGATGCAACAGCTGTCACTCCACTTGGCTTCACACAAGAGTATTGTACTCAATGTCCCAGTAACATTCAGCAGTGCTATTTCGCAAATCAAAGAAAACCATTTGACAAGAACACATGCAGCTACTGTAGGTCCTGAATCTCAGGTGAATGCATCCGAAATCCTAAAAAGCGCACGTCAACGTGGAGACTCTGAGCCATTACCTCAAGTCATACCACCAGAGATGTCAATAGAATTACCCAAGCCTGATCGTAAGTGTCATTGTGTCTTATAACAAAATTGTACTGATCTATGAATAGCTGATATGCCGCCTGCTGATATCCAGTGCCCTGAGGGACCTGTACAGTGCAATTGTGAAGATCATTTAGATAGACAGGATGTACAACTCAATTTACCTATTTCAGCTAAACGATGTTTTGAACTCTTGTTTTCTGATGAACAGACTGCGCCTCCCACAAATGGTGGTGTTTGGGAAAGCAAAACAGCAGCTATTGAAGGACATGGTAAGTTGACTGAAATGATGCATGTGTTTATCGAAAAAATGCTTTAGATCTTTCTGTTACACCTTGGTCAAAGACAAATGGTGAATTGCAACGTGTGTTAAAGTATTGGATGCCTGTATCAAACCCTATTGGTAAGTCATAGCAATAACGCATATATGTATATATCACTCTCCTGAATGCCTCTAGTACGCATGAAAGAAGCTGAAGTAGTAGAAACTCAAGTACTTATCAACAAAGAAGATTACATGTGAGCAATTGATTTTTACTTCTTGTGCCTTACTAACTGAAAACAGTCGTTATACCGTTCAGATTTCTACCAAGACAGCAGCTCTTCCCTATGCAGATGCATTCATTCCTTCTGTTCGTTACTGTATCACTTGGGTCAACAAATCTGAGTGTCAGCTTACATGTTATTTAGGTGTGCATTGGGTCAAAAGTGTTCTTGTTCGAGGTAGGCAGTGTATAAATAAGATGCGTTAATTTAATTCTCGTGTAGCTATTGTAACAAGGGCAGCACTAAAAGGCATGTCTGACAGTGTTCAGGTGTTTATGCCTATCTTAGAAGAAGCTTCTGAAAAGATCAAAGCAGCTGTTGATCAAGAGCATCAACAAGGTCTTGAACATAACAACAGTCTTTTTGCCAACCAACATGAAGCTGGTAACAAGCCAAGTATGAGTTCCTTAACAGAAGAAAAGATAGCCCCTGAACCCGTATCTACGCCTCAGCCCAATAGGATCAAATCTATTCCTTCAATCACACATTTAAATCCAACAGAAAAAACGACACCTTCACCTTCTGTCTCGCTTGTAGCAGCGAACACAGCTAAACAAGCTAGTTTGCAAAAACCAATATCATCCAAAGAGATTCAACATGAAAAGCCTACACAAACAACATTAAAGACAACACATAGGTTTTCATCTTGTCACTGGCCTGTAAAAGACATGTGTCTTTTTAGTGTTCTTTTGATACTCTCTTTATTTACCTTGTACTCTTATTCGCAATCAAGTACCATCGTGAAACAAATCTCTCGGGATAAATTCGGGTGTCCTCTACTGCCCGTTGCTCTCTCCAAATCACGTTCCGTTTACCTTCGTGATATTCACAATGGCCTACTTTCAAACAACATGCAACCTCCTTACGCTCAAACAAGAAGCTTCCAAGTATTCATGGATCTCAAATCCAATATTTCTTTTGATGAAGATTATATCACAAGTCGCTACTGGCATGATCTAGACCATTATCGACTTGCTGTGGATCTGTACAGTAGTCGAGAGAAATTAGGTGTTTTACGACACGATATATTGCTTTTATTTCAAGCGCTCAATCGTGTCGATGCTCAGCTGATTGAAAGAGAATATATCAATTGGTTACTGGATATTCGGTTGAAATGTCAACGTCTGCCCTTATTGAATGAGGCGAATCGACACCAAAAAGCACAGATATTGTGCTTGGATGCAAAAGAACAATTGCTGGTGCATTTTAAATAAATAAAAAAACTTTATTTAGGGTTGATCATATGTTCAGGTCGAACAAAACGATCATAGTCTTCAGAGTTTAAATAGTTCAGGGCAAGCACAGCTTCTTTGAGCGTGGTGCCTTCTTTATGTGCCTTTTTAGCACATTGAGCAGCCTTATCATAGCCGATATGAGGGTTCAATGAAGTGACCAACATGAGAGACTACATTTCATGAATACAAATCTTATTTTTGGTATCATTTCACTTACTCTGTTCATAATTTCCTTGATATGTTCACGATTAGCAACAATGCCAACAACACAGTTATCCTTGAAAGATCGACAAACGTCACTTAAAAGCTGAATGGATTGAATTACATTTTTGATAATCACAGGCTTAAAGACATTCAACTAATACACGATTAAAAAAAAAAAAGGAACAAAACTTCTTATACTGTACCTCAAATTGGCCAAAACTGCCAGAAACAGTAACTGTAGTATGATTGCCCATGACCTGAGCACACACCATAGTCAAGGCTTCACATTGCGTAGGGTTTACTTTGCCAGGCATGATTGAGGACCCAGGTTCGTTCTCAGGCAAACTCAATTCACCAAGACCACAACGAGGGCCTGATCCGAGGAAACGAATATCATTACCAATCTTCATCAGTGAGACAGCAATCGTGTTTAAGGCACCAGAGCATTCCACCATCGCATCATTACTAGCCAATGCTTCAAACTAAGCCAGACAGTTATTTGTTTGTTTATTCTGATGAAACTTACTTTATTGGGGGCTGTTTCAAATGCATAGCCTGTGGTTTCAGAAACAGCTTGTGCAATCTTGCAATCAAAGCCCTTTTGTGTATTTAAGCCAGTACCCACAGCAGTACCACCTTGGGCCAAACGAGATAAACGAGGTAAGGTGGACTGAATACGCTCAATACCATAAGACAATTGTTGAACATAACCACTGAATTCCTGACCAAGTGTTAAAGGAGTAGCGTCTTGGAGATGAGTACGACCAATTTTGATAATGTCTTGGAATTCTTCTGATTTGGCTTGTAATGCATCACGAAGTTCTTTTAATGCTGGAATCAGATCTTGGTTGATTTCAACCACCGCAGCGATATGCATTGCAGTAGGGAAACTAGTGTTCTGAATGAGTTTATGCCTGATCATGATGTGAATGCGTATTTGATTACTCACGTATCGTTTGATGACTGAGACATATTAACATGATCATTGGGATGGACAGGTGTTTTGCTGCCTAACTTGCCACCTAAAATCTCAATAGCTCGGTTGGAAATAACCTGTGTACAAGCTCAATGCGATGGATAAATGCAGATCTATTGGACTTACCTCATTGACATTCATGCTAAACAATAATAACCATGAGCATATATCATAATAATATACAGTAGATGACTTACTGTGTTTGAGTACCAGATCCTGTTTGCCAGACAACCAAAGGAAATTGATCATTGTGCTTTCCTTCCATCACCTTAAAAATAATAAATACATGATGTTTGCATAAAATTAAGCTTACTTCAGTAGCAGCTTGCTGAATGGCTTCTGAGATCTTGGGATCCATCCCATATTCCATGTTCACTTTAGCAGCACATTTCTTAAGAATACCAAATGCTTTGATTAAAGCAGGAGGCATACGTTCAGTAACGCCACCAATTTTAAAGTTTTCCAGAGATCTATGTATTCAAAATTAGGATATGATTCAGGAACGCGTATTTTATACCTTTGTGTTTGTGCACCCCAATAGACATTGGCAGGGACTTGAAGGTCGCCAAAAGAATCAGTTTCAATACGATATTCAGTACTCATGGTTCAGAAACAAGAAAAAAAAGAAAAGTAAACAAAAGAGATGTGACTCTTATACAAATGCATTTTGAGTTTTGTTTCTCCGCATAAACAACCAATTGTCAATCATGATCGCTTTTTCAGCAAGTGAATATCTTTAATTAAAAACAATTACAATGGACAGCTGTAAGCCTGAGTCTCTCCCCCTCTTTCAACAGATTCAGTAAGCGTTGAAAACGAGCTTGTGATGTTCTTTTGAGGTACCATATTTTCAGTATGAATGAAAGGTCTATTGTTGCATTTATATTCCCTTGTCTCATGGGTCTGGACAGCTATTTGTCGTTAGAGTATTCAACCAATGCGTTTATGGCTAGTAGGTTTAGTAGATCGAAAATGTTTATTTCTTAAAGAACATTAAATGATTGTGCATTTTAGTGTAAGTATGATTTGTTTGTTGTTAGATCTTACGAATACACAAGCCTAGATTCTTTTTTTTTTCTAGGGAGATTGGCTCCGAAAAAAGGTTGTCAAAAGAATTTGCCTACAGCTCAAGTTATTTCTTGAATGGCTAATTAGTCAACGAAAAGCACCTTCTCTCTCTCTCTCTGCTGACTCTTCTATATATATGTACTTTCTTTATCTGCTTCTTACACTTTCTTCTTCCTTAATTATCTAATAAAGTATGGTCAAGCATAGTCTTTTAGTTTCCTCAGAACCTAATTTTTTTTTTTATTAAATGTCTATTTAAACATCCGAGAGTACAAATGGGGACCCCACGTGGACATCTCCCCCCCCCCCCCATCAGACGATATTTTTTTCTTCCACGTTGTTGGCTGAACCACAAATGCGCAAATTTTCCCTTTCACCCCATTTTGATGAATAACAAGACTGCCTATCAAATATTAGGCGTTGACTCTTTTACTTCACAAAAAGAGATACGCAAAAAATACTTGACACTCTGTAAACTGCATCATCCAGATATTGCAAAGACAAAGACGATTGACTTTAGAGAAATCACCGCAGCATATGAATGGCTATCAAATAAGACACAACAACAACACTATTCTGAGCCTAGAAGGAGTCCAATCAATACTTTGCTTTGGACAAGGAGAAGTTACTTTGCTGGTTTGGGATTAGCTGCTTTTACTTTGCTATATTTCTATCAAGATACAACACCTAAAAGAACAACAACAACAAATAGTTACAAACAAATCAAAAGTGATATTCCTCCTTGGGAAGCAGCTGGTCTAAGTTTCCGTGAATGGCAAAAAAGATAATAACTGTATTTTATTCATATATTATTAAAAGATAATTTCTTGCATTAAATGAGATGGCTTTCTATGTCCACCACGAATAAAAGGGTCTTTTCTTCTAGGTAAAAAGCCTCTTGGTTTTAAAGGACTTAGAAGCTTTCTACCTCTCATCATATTGAGTTCAGCGGAAATCATACGCAGATGATCAGGGTTTGATCTTGTATCTCTTGTATATGTATTGGTATCTGGGTTAAATCTTGGTTGTGTCGTGGCTTCAGATCTTCTCTTTTGTGATAAAGGACGTCTGGGTGGTATAGGCATAGGAATCAATTTATTGATGCGTTTCTTTGTTTTGACAAGTGCATCTGTTTCCTGCTTTTTCTGAACAGGTGGTGGTGGTGAAGAAGAAGGGGAGACTAAAAGTAATGATTGTTTCAACTTTGCTAATGTCGCTTTCCATAATTCATGATCTGTATTTGATAAATGAGGTGGAGAAGAGGATATTGCATAAGAAGCCGTCGTAGTAGAAGATACGGGTGATGATTTTTGTGTAAATGATGATACGGAATGTCGACGTAACAAATCTTTATGGTGCAAAAACTTGCTAGAATTGGTCTTTTTCTTTAAATAGCTATCTTCTTCTTCGTCGTCTTCTTCGTCTTCATCATCGTCTTCTTCTTCTTCATCAGAATCATCCATCATGTCATCCAGTTGTTGTACCTGAACTTGTTCTTCTATGTATTTCTCACTCAGAGAAGGTGGTGGCATATGTAATGGCAGCACTTCTGTAAAGAAATCTGCAGATAGAAAGTTTCTAAAAGGCGATTGTACCTAAGTATGAAGATGAGTTTATTATTTTGTTCATATCTTATTAGTGTGTACTTACCAATTCTTCTTCATCAGGTAATGATTCCTTACTATCTACTTGAATCCAATCTTCTACGTGGGACATTCTTCTCATAGGCTTGCTTCTACTTTCAGCAGTAATGCCCTGCTTCTCTTTTTTTATTCTCTTTTTTTCCTTTTGCTCAGCATAGGAGGAATATCACCATATGGCTTTGTCGTTGTCTGTGCTGCTAGTTGCTTTATGATTTCTCGATAAGACAACTCTGTATCTGTTTGTCCTGGGATAGTAATTGGTTTAGAAACTGGTAACATGGTTACCATGGTAGCCGTGGTACTGATAGTAGTACTCGTACTCGTACTACTGGCTTTGGTAGTGGAAGTAGTGGCAGTAGTGATAGTCGTTGTTGGCATAAGAAAATAAAATAAAAAAAAGGAGAGAAATGAAAAAGAAAAAAAAGAAAGGTTTCAACACTACACCGTGAATTCTAATTCAAGTCTTTTTTTTTTTCAAAGGTACCTTTCCATTCAATGCCGGACAAGTCGGACATCCCCTTGTGCGGTAATTTATCCTAAAGAGTTACCAATCATTTGATGCTATCAAGAGAACATATATATTTTAAGCCCAATATCGAATAGCCTGTCCCTCAAAGCCCGTTCGTTTATGTTTTATTTATGATCCAGCTACATTTAATTCAAAGGCATAAATGAAATATAAATTATTTTGGGCTTCAAATTTAATTTGAATCTTTCTTTCTTTCTTAATATTCACTATGAATACCAACGAGATTTGGAGTCCTCTTCTAGTTGCACTCATAGCCAGTATGACACAGGCTTTTGGTATTTCACTTCAAAGAAAGTCCCATCTCGTTCAACAAGATTCTACTGTGCCACTTTATAAAAGACCTTTATGGGTTTCTGGCTTCTTGATTTACACTCTTTCGAATCTCGTTGGATCGACTTGTACAATAGGTTATTTGCCTATCGTCATATTAGCCCCCGTAGGCGCTATTGGACTTGTGTTTAATGCCGTCTTTGCTAAATGGATATTGGGTGATCCATTTACTAAACGCACTATTTTCGGTAAAATAATCATAATATATACACATAGACTAAATAGTAGATAGGCACTGCATTGATTGTGATAGGCGCAGGATTGATTGCAGGGTTTGGTACTGTGCCTGAGCCAAATCATACTTTAGAGGACTTGATCAAGCTTTACAAAAGACCTTCTTTTATTATTTATTTTTCGTTGGTTGAGGCTTTCATTTTTATTGGTTTATCTGCAACACATATCGTTGAACATCTAATGAAAATCAGACCTTATGATTGGCTTGGTGCTATCCCTGATCTGAAAATGTATTTGGGCATTAGGTATGCTTCTATATGAATAGAAAGAAATGACTGACATGTCATGTTTAGTTATGGTATTCTTGGTGCAAACATCAGTAGTCAAGCTATGTTGTTTGCTAAAAGTGGATTAGAATTATTGATGTTGAGTATTTTTCAACACGAAAATCAGTTTGTGTATCCTCTGACTTGGGCCATTGTGTTTGCTTTAGTGTTTACGGCTATTCTACAAGTAAGAAAAACATGTTGGTAACTGTGCATTAACTTGGTTTATATAGCTCTATTATTTAAACCGTGGTGTTCAATTATGTGATACTATCATTTTGGTACCGCTTAATTTCTGTTCTTTTAACGTATCTTGTCTGTTTAATGGGCTTGTTTACTATAACCAAGTGAATCGACTGTATTGGTGGCAATTACTTGTTGTGTTGATCGGGATTATTAGTCTGATATGTGGTGTCTTGGTGATTTCTTTACAACAACAACCTGCACCTATTATGCTTTCAGACGATACAGATCAGTCCTTTTGTTCGACTTCCTCAACTTATTCACAGCCATTGTTCCTCAAGTCATCTTCGCTGGACGAAGAGGCAGGTATGTCCTGGTGGACACGTATGAAGCTCATTTATAAAAAGCCTGCCAATGAACCAGACGAGTATACAGGCTTATTAAATTCCATTTGATGACAATACTATGTGTTGGTTAATTTTTTGTGGATACCCTTCTCTTATTACTATTATTATTATTAAAAAAAAGTATTGCGTTTTATTTGATGGAAAGTCTACATATAAGTTACTTTAGTTCCCATTTTGACAGTCTGCCATAACTTGTTTAAAAAGGCTTGTAAGGCAGCAGAGAATCGTCCTCGTTGTCCACGCAATAAGGCAAATAAGGCAAAGAGCAAGACCAACACAACACCTGAAGTTGTCATACCTTTTGTTGTGATCTGATGGATCCAATCTTGTATTTTTTTGGTTGTGCTTATCATCGAACGTGAAGACGACACTGCTGGCAATGGTTGTCTTTCTTGTTCTGGCTCTTGTTCTAATACAACCTCTTCCTGTTGCTCTTCTTGTTCTTTGGATGTTTTTTCTTGCTCTTGTTTCAAATAAGCAGCTTCTTCTAGTTGTCTTCTCTCTATTTCTTTTTGTTTCTCTTCTGCTGCTAATTTGGCAGCCTCTTCAAGCTTCTTTTTTTGTTGGCGTTCATTCTCAACCAATGTCTGTTGATCTTGAAGGTTTGCCAATAGTCCCTACATCATCATTTGAATAAAAAGGCTGTTTGGGATGACCTCTTTCTCTCTCTCTCTTTCTTTTTTTCTCTTACCTTTTTCTTGGCCTCATTTAGAACAGAATTGTATTGAACAAATGTCTTTGCTGATTCAAAATCTTCCATGCCAGGTAAGATACGTGTGATATATAGATCCACTACTGAGATGTAACCCAAGGCTATTTGATCCTGGTCTTGGTTTGCTGCAATATGATCTAGAAATTCATCAGATAAGGCAGCAAACCATGCTTCAGCAGCATCTCTTGCCACGCCAAGTTGATCCAATTTCAAATACATCACTAAACTAAGTATGATCAATACTTGACAGCCATCATGTATAACCTTACCAAGAAGATACAATTCTTGCATCTGTATCACTGACACTACCAAATCCTTCATGTGTCACTTTGTTCCAAATAGCACGGCATAATTCTTGTTCAGAAGGAGCATGATCAATACCGAGTGATTTGATATTGATACCTAAAAAGGGTGTATGTTCGAGTAAAGTAGAGGCGATATTCAAGTAAAGTGTCCAGATATTCACTTTTAACAAGCTTGACTGATCGTGTGGTTCAGAAGCTGCGATGGCCCTTAAACAAGTAGTGGCAGCTGGTGTGTATTTTCGAAGTAAATAAGAACGAAGTGCTTTTTCATAGAGAGTCTGTACATCCATTTTGTTAAAAAAAATAAAAAAAAAAAAAAAGGCTGTGGGGAAACCTTTTCAGCATTATTAAGGCGGTTTCTTATATGCGCCAATGGAATTTCATGTGAAGAAAAAAAAGAGATTACGTAAATTTTATTCCTACATGCTTTCTTTTTCAGTTTGATGACTTGTAAAGAAAAAGAGAAATACAGTATTAATTTGTGGACTGTTGTTTTAACTAAAAGAATAATACCAACTTTGTTTGTTTGTTAATAAGTTTGTAACTAATGATTGCAAATTATAATTAAAACTAACCAAGTGATGCTGGTAATAAAAGCGATAATTATAAAAGTAGTCTTGAGGTTGTATGTGTGTTTTTTAGAAGTTTTAGAGAGAAATGGGGAGAAATGAAAGTGAATGAAAGAGTTGTAATTAAGAATTACACTCTTGGTTGCACGTAAATTTATATAATGACAAAATAACGAATCTCAAAATAAAGGTGCATATTGCAAAAGTTCAATATTCAGGTCATCACAAATCAGTATTTTAAATCAAGCAATTAGCAGGAATCATGTTATCATATGTAACTGAAATTCACAGCCAAAGAAGGAACTTGCAGCCATCTTGGCCAAGAAATTGTAATGTCGCCTTGAGAAACTCGGAGAGTTGAAGCTAGAGAGTAACATTTTCATATCTGGTTGAATGAGTTTGCTCCATAAAACTAACCAAAGGTCTTTAGAACATGGCTTACCTTACTTTTTCTTTTTTGCTTGCTTTCTTTCCTTGTCGGCAACACAATGGTAGAAAAAAAGAAGATGGAAGAAAGTAATGTTTATTTTAAAGCAGCCATGAGCTCAATGTATGTTGTCTTTATTATCAACAAACTCTCTCTATCTACCCTCTCATTCTTTTCTTATCTAAAATACGAATGGCATTAATTTATACAAAAGCGTTCTGTTTTGACATGTAAAAAAGAAACTATCTTGATAGAGACAAGGGCACTACAAAGTCTAAATATGACAGTTGCTTGTTTAAAGTTCAGAATGAACAATTCATTTCTATATAGAAAATTTATTAATCGTTGAGCAAGGCACATCTCTCTCTTTCTCTCTCTCTCTCTCTGTACAACAGCACAAAATTAATGAAAATCATCTTTTGATACATTGCACACATAAAGCAGGGTAGGGTTACATGTTACTGTGGTAGGTTTCTTATCTGCGCGCATCATGTACAAATAGCCAAATTATGCACATTTATTTGAAAGTGACCTTTAAATGTAAGGCACAGATTAGGAACAATGAAAAGATTAGAATACAATGAACGATTTTCCCCAATTTATGATGTGGAAGAACTGGTTCGAGAAATATGAAGGTTACGAATAGGTGGTAACAAGACATTACAGAAATCATCTTTTTCGTCTTGCATTGTACAGGAATTGTTTAGATCTTCAAAGTGCTTGGGCGTCAATGAAGGTAATTGGACATTATTGTTTATGCTTGGGGAAATAGGATTCATCATTCGCAATCTCTCTAGCCAGCCTTCTGCTCGTTGAATCGTGTCTTCAAAGACGGATTGTATTGAACGCAGCATGTCGGTTGATTCTTTACCAAATGCTAGTAATCTTAAGGCAACATCTTCTTGCTTATAGGTGTCATGCTTTGTTTGTTGTTGTATCACATCGTTATTTGTCTCACCATCATACATCGAGGCCTAAAGAACAAAGAGATTAAGAATGAGAAGCCTTTTTTTTGTTTATCTTTTACCCATCGATTAGGTAAACTGAGAATAGCTCCCCGAATGCTCGCTTTTGCTTGATAAGGTAAAGCATTACCTGCATAGCACGTAATAATATCAATCACTTTTCGTAATGTAGTGACCATATTTTTTTTAATGCTAGACAAAAGCATGGGTTGTTCTTGTTTTTGGCGTGTAGCCAAAGAAACCAGAAAATCCCGAGCAAGACTCATTTGATGAGCTAGTTGTTGAATGGCATAGTGTAGCCAATTCGAGCAATATTTAAGACATTTCATGGACTCTTCACTCACAACAGCAGCCGTTGATCCTGCTGCTGATCCTGCCCCAACGACAATTTGCTGCCATGTAGAAGGTGTATACGATTCTGATAACTTGACTGTGTTCGTATCAGATCGTTTATTCGTTGTTGTTGCTGTAATTGTATAATTCATGAATAGAAAAAGTAAGTAAAATAAAGAGAAGGAAAAAGAAAGAACAAAACACAAGTTGTTTGTTTTATGGATCACAACTTTTCTTTCACATGCTTGCTTGTTTTTTTTTTTTTTTTTTTACTCAGGATTGATATTCTAGTTTGACATATGAAAAGACAGGTCTATTATGGTTTCCTTTCTGACCAAAGATATTATATAGAATAAATAGATCACTCGAATGACTTGTAAGGCAGAATATGGCCGAAAATGAGGCGAGAAAAAGCATCGTTTATTTTTGATTGCTTGGCCCATTTTTTTTTTCATCTTTTTACCCCATTCATTTTTTTTATTGAATTACATGTTCCCCCCACAATTTGTAATGACCATGGTTTAGTGGTCAATGTGGATAAATTCAAGTTTAACTCGAGTACAATTACTCGGTTATGTATTGGAGGCAACAACTCATCTACATATGCAAGAACAAAAAAAAAAAGCATATGGTAAATTTCGTATCAAGTAAATACAGAACACTGATAAACAAAGAATAAAAAAGGTGCCTGAAAAAAAGGGAGGCCATTCTTTGTCTCTTTGCTTACCACGTCTTGTTTGATAAGTCTTTTTTTTTTTTTTTGCTTTGCATAGACGCAATCGAATCACTATGCTTCTTCATATGCAACAATTCTTTTTTTTTCTTTAGTCAAAATAATGACATTATGGTCGTTGTCTGATGATCAGATAACTTAAATTTCCTCAAATTTACAATGTTATCTTGATTGGCTCTCTTTTGCCTATAATGCAAGAACGATTGACAAGCATTCATTTGTATCCATATCGGTTAGATAGTGTAACATCAAAAAGCAGTCCTCAAGATGAAAGGTCAAAAAAAAAGAAAAAAAAAAAGGCATTTTTGTAGTTTTATAGCTTTCAATGATCACACCTACATTCAAAGTAGATCAAGACGAGAATTCAGTTATTATTGTCATTGACACACCTTATGTTCGAGTAAGTTGTCCTTTTATGGGAGAAAGCAGCTGAATAACAAGATCGCAATAGGCTCAAGACGTTGATCTTTATGTTGAAAGAACAGAGTTTCGCTTCTATCTTCGTCCTTATTTCTTAAGGCAAGTCGTTCATAATCCAATCCTGCCTAACCATTTTGCTCTTAGACTTCATTTCCCCGCCAATATTGTTGAGGACGACGATTCAAAAGCATCCTACGACCCTTCCGCTGGTCAATTTACTATTCGCGTTACTAAGGAAACCAAAGGCCAACACTTTGCAGACCTTGATTTACTAACAAAGCTATTAGCCAGAACAGGCGAATCATCCGCTAAGACTAAAGAGCCAAAAAAACCATTGATTGAAGTAGTCAGTAGCAGCAATGAAGAACAACAAGCGCCTTTGGAAGATACAGAAATTCAAGATGCCATCGATTTTAATTGGGAATTGCCACAAGAACTTCCTTCAGCAGACAGTGAGTTGAATCTGAATGCACATTACGGGTTCAACAATCAATACAATGGATATTTTAAGCATGTACAAGAGACATTAAACGAAATCAATGAGATTCATGAACCTGAAAAATCAACGGCAGAAAGTCGACGTAAAGAACGCATTGAAATCGAAAATGCTTGTTTTAATGAAGATCACTACTGCATGGACTATGTGAACGATGAAGAAATCAAAGAATTGATAAAGTACAAAACAATATACTCTAAAGAACTCAAGCGTATTCAAAAGAATAGTAAGCAATATTATAACAAAGTACAATGTATATTAATCAAATACAGAACCTTTAGTTCAAGAAATAACACCTAACGATAGCGATAGAAAAGAATCTTTATTGAAATTCACGAGTAAAGAAGAGAGCATGATGCGTGATCTGCCTAACAAAGAATATCTTTTGTCCTCCGAAAAAAGCACTTATCTCGGTCTTGTGGATCTCTTGTTTGCTTATAGTTATAATCTTCGAGTGACAGAAGGAGATAATAATGTGGAATCTGTCTGGTGCACTGGTAAAATTAGTCCTACATTATCATCCTTAGAGGTTTGTTGCTGAATTTTGTTGGCGCCTTTTTTTTTTTACTTATTTATGTGTAGCAATTTTCTGTACTCAAAGATACATTGATTTCTTGTTATCGACGTGCATTGACATACCCCCTATACAGAAATTTGGTTTTATGCGAAAAAGTACTTCAAGATGTATATATTCTGTTTAAACTTGGAAAACGAGCTATTCTAAAGGCACTGTTGGAAATGAAATATCTTTTTGACCATCATGATGTATATTATATCTACAGTAAAATATTTTTGGATGATTATTGTGTATGGATTCAACATGCAAAGTAAGTCCCCCTTTTTTTTTTGTTAGGCACAGTCTATTCACTCTCTTCACAGTGACCATGTATTGAGAACATTAGCCCATGAACTTCATCATCTCAAGATAGTCAAGAATGAATTAGGATGGGATTTACAAGAATTGGAAGAGGTAATTGTATTCTGTTCTGTTTATTAGGTTTATTGATATAGTGTAGATTGCAGAACAAATGAAGAGTATGGATATGGAACAAGACAATGAAGAAGAGATGCAGAGGCCACAATTAATGCAATAAATTAAACTTAAAACTGACCTGCAGCTAAAATAGTAGATGGCCGGGTAACATGGATATTCGTACCGGGTTTTTGAGCAATATAAGAATTCCAATCAATGTAGGATGGCTGATTGTTTAATTCAATTTCCATGACTTGTGTAGTGACAGCATCAAACTTTTCTTCTGAGATCCCATTTGTATCACACACCCATCTCCTTAGACCTCGAATACGTCTCTCTATAAGATCGCGAGCAAGGTATCCTGTCTCCCTTAAACCTATAGTAATTGAGTGAGTAATCTATTGGTGAATGACTCAAAGTCAGCCTTACATTCAGTAGAACCCCATTCTCCCAAGGGTATGGCTATACTCCTTCGATCTACATCTATAAAACCAGCTGTCAGTAAATGGTTTTCTAGTTTGGTAGAAATTCTTCTGTCTACTTGAAGTTCAGCAAAGAAGTTTTCAAAATAAGTGTTGAGTAATCGGATACCACTTGATTTTGACATGAGATATAAAGCTATATATATGTCAGTATGTATATAAAAAAAAGAATAAAACTACCTACAATGCTCTTCTATTTGTATAAATCCACCGGGCTTAAGTATACGATATGCTTCCTTTAGAACATTGTCCCATTTGTATACGGGTGCATTCATCAACCAACAATCTCTCATCATAAAGTAATCAACCGAATTTGGCTCAAATGACTCTAAACCTGTTATTCTATCATGGATCACAACATATTTAAACTCCAAGTTTGGCAAACCATAGTGTGAATTCAACAAGGTCGCTTCTTTAAAATCAACCCCTATGACTCTGGTGTTTGGGAACAGTGTCGCCATCTCCATATTCCACAAACCGACTCCGCAACACCAGTTGACGATGACGGAAGGATCCTTTAGGTTAGGACGATAGATACCTTTCCAAATCAGTTTAAGTAAATAATGCTAAATATATATATTAACATTCTTCCTTATGAATTTCTCACCCTCATATTACCAGCCTTTGCTGTCTATCTTTTTCTTTTCGGCGGTCTGCTTGATTACTTGGCCTGAGATAGAGATTCATGACAAGCTGTTGACTTGTAAGGCATTTATCTTCTTTATGAAGGATAGAAGAAGGCGGTGATGCAGGATAGACGATGGTATCACCTGATTCCATGGCAGTACGCAGTTCACGATGCTGAGTTAAAATGCACGGAGGATTCGATATTTTAGATGCAATTGCATTCTGCTGCTCTCTCTCTAGCTGTGTAGATAGTTTTGTAGCTGCAATTGTCATGGGATTCTCATCTTCACTATTCTCAAAGGAGCTGTGTGCTGGCGTCATAGATGCGATTGATATGTCGGATTTGTCATTAGGGGGCTTTTTCCTCCCGAGTAACCTTGAGGATGTGCTACTTTTAGATAAGCGTCGTATATGCTTAATCTTGGTTACAAGTCGCTTTTCTTTTTGATCTGAATGTACAGCACCCATTACAAGTGAAGACGAAAAGGGAGAAAAGAGAAGAGAAGATAAAGAAATAGAACGTTTCTTTTTTTCTTTTTTCTTTTTTATTATTATGCGGGAATTTAAGATCGTCTTGACTTTGCTTTTTTTCTCGGTGAAGCTTCTACTTCTTCTTGCCATTGAACTCTTCTTTCTTCTAATATTCTTAAGACAATGTGAGTTCCTTTTCTCTAGTTCAATTTGTTACCTTGCCATCTTTGCTTCTAATTCTTGTTGAATATGAGGTAGTTTTGACATACCGTTTCGTGTGCGCATTTCATTGACTTGATCTAAAATTGACTAAGCCAATTATACTGTCTATCTAACAATGTTTACCATGCAAAGGCTCATATTTTTCATTTCTCAATTTAGTCAACGATGACTCGAGATCTTCACTTTCTTTTGTCAACGCTTGTTCAGCTTCAAGTATCTGGTTTCTTGTTAATATTTTCTTTATACATGTCAAGTTTTTTTTTTTACCGAATTCAAGTCTTGGTTGATGTTGTGCAACATTTCTCTCAATAGCTTTTTCTCTCTTTGTAAGCGTTGCTTTTCTGAATTGACTTCTTCTAAAAGACTCTTTTTTTGACTCAAGATCTCGGACTTTGACATAAAAGTTGCTTTACAGTCAAGTAGTGCTTGTGTCTTTTGTCTAAAGTACATGAATATTAGGATCAAGGTTTCAGCTGCTCAGAAATAGACCTTATTTGTTCTAGTGCTTCTAGTTGCGCTTTTGTCAAGTTGGGATCCATCGAGTCATCGGTATTCATTGTCAAGATCTTTATGCTAAAGAAAACGAAAAATGTTTTTTTTTCGCTCTTTTAAAATTTCTCGTTGAAATGAGCCAAGCGAAATGCCAAAAAGAACAAAAAAAAACAAAATCGCGACAGTGTTTATGTTTTAGTAAACACGTCTTTCATTAAAGCATTCATTGTAATATTTAAAAAAAAACTTGCCTTGAATGATATAGGCTCAAGGATGTTTGTATGCGTTCATTGAATCAAAAGAGAAAAAGAAGCACTGCTTGAGTAAGATCAACATGTTCTTTTGCGTTAGAATAGTTTTTTTTTCTGTAGAATATCTCTCAACTGTTTTCTACCTTATTTATGAGAAACAGAAAGTTTAGGAATGAATGCACGTCCTTTGTTTGTCTTTCGTGACTCTTTTTCCCCCGGTCAAAAACTTGACCCTTAAATGCAAATGATATGCTACTTAGAAAATATATGTAGCATGAAGAAAATAAACAGAAACAACCAGTTATTTGAGATCAAGTAAGCCTTGAAGTTGAAATAAAAAGAGAAACAAAAAGGAATTGAGGTTTTCTTTTTCTTGAGTTTTGCGGGGGTGGCTGACATTTGAAAGTTTTTTTTTTTTTTACTTTTTTTTTCTTGTTCTCTTTTTTTCTCTTTTGTATAAATATACATATAATATGTTGAGTACTTTAGGTAGACAAGAAAGAAAGAACGAGGCTGAATAGAGCAAGAAAAACTGACGACCTTATTTTGTATAGCTCAAACTACAACCAACTTTATCAGCAAATCTCTATCTCCCTTTGGACAAGCCTCAAGAGGTATGGCTACCAAGTTAAAATCTCACTCAGGGGCCAAGAAGAGGTAGGCCAAATTATGATATTTGCCGTTAAATAACATGTATAGATTTTTCCCTACATCCAATGGCAACTATAAGCGTTGGCAAGTCGGTCTTCGTCACTTGAACTCTGGTCTTTCTCCCGAAAGAACCAATAGACTTTCAAGAACGGTCTTTGTTGACAATACACAAAAGAGAATGCTTAGAAAGGCATTGCCTTATTCTTGTTAAATAAAATTGTAAATACATTTCGTACAACATGCATAGCTTCGTCATTATTTAAAGGGCCTACTTAATATACTGTTCCTGACTATCTGACGTAGATAAGGTTGTACAGATAATGAAACTGTTTATTCATGCTGTATAAAGGGAAACTTTATTCAGAATGGGTGGAATGCCCTTTATTTTTACATAATTAGTGGGTCAAACCCCGATATAACTAACGAGGATCGGAACCCCATGCTAAAAAAAAAATAGTCAGTACAAAACATAGCAAACAAGTCTATGCTCCTTAGGCTTTTTTGTATTCCTTTTGTTTTTGTTTTAGTGATGAGCAAAGAAAAAAAAAACACATACACAAAAATAAAGATATTAAGAGTGACCTATCACTAAGAAGTAAGAAATTAACTTTCTACTTGTTATAGAGCGGAATCTGGTTGTTATCGATAAATACCTTTTATATACTGGTGGACCCACTTTTTACAATAATTCTCGATTAGGCTAAAGTCAAAAACTATGCTGCTGGGTTTAATCATGACGGAGTTTCATTGATCTTTATCTATCAGAGTTGGTATATAAAGGACTGACTTTTTAAAACCCTTTCCCTTTACTCTGCAACTTTTTATTACTACTACCACTATGGATTTATTATTCCCCACAGAAATCATTTCCAATATTCTAAGCTACATGTCCATTAAGGACTTGACAAAACTTGAACGTACAAGCAGATTATTTCAAGCGTTCACATTGAATGAAATTGAAAATCGCATTATCAAATCCGGTAAAGACGAATGGGGCATTCTGGTAGGTGGCTCATGAAATAATGCAACCTTATACTTATATATGCAATTAGATTCATCTTGGTCAAGTTAGTGCAAAACCTCTTCGGTTTGATCCCAAAACAAAAAAGACATATTATTCTATTCTTATGGATCCAGTGAAGATCAAGACCATGTTTGACCATCGTAGATCAGTCCACTGTTCATTACTGAAAAAGAACAAGACAACAAAATTCCAATCATTCAATGAAAAGGGTTTTATTATTACAGTCGAAAAAGGCATGCAAGAAGGAAAAACGCTTGAACTGAATATCAAGAACGAAGCATGTCAAGTTCATGCAGCACTTACAAGACTCCCATCATCATCTGTCAACACAAATGATCAAGCCCTGTGTGGCAAACAAGAAATTAAAAAAGAAATTGTGCAGCCAATCAAATCCATGGCACCTGCACCATTACTCTATACCCTACAAATTACAGAATTAAGCTTACCATTATCCACTATCGCTGCATAATCAACACAAAGGAGACTGGTTCCCTTTTTCTTCTCTATTTATTTATTCTCTCCATATCGTCATAATAAACATAGAATTCAACGACACCATGAAAATAAAATTTGTCACCTCTTTCTATTTCAAAAAAGTGGTTTGATTTCATGTTCCTGTAAACCTGGACTTCACGTGAAGTGGGGTAAACCAACGTCACAAAGCTCCCCCAACAAGACTCTGAAGAACAAGTGTACCCTTTTTTGTTTTCTTCTCTCTCTCTCTCTCTCTCTCTCTCTCTCTCTCTCTCTCTCTCTCTCTCTCTCTCTCTCTCTCTCTCTCTTTTTTTTTTTTATCTTTTTTCTTTTCAGTCCTGTTTTAATGGCAGATAAACCTAAAAGATCAACTTCTTATCAAAGATTGGTCGCAAAACTAAAAAGGAATCCTTCTGAACGTATCGATCCAAAAGATTGGCCAAAGCCAGATACGCCTAAAGAGGTGATACAACATGCAATTAAAGGAGCTTCAAGTAAATACAATTTAAATGACAATGTAACCTATAACTTTGAATGATAGGGGCCTTCTTATTAGCTTATGGTGTAAGAGCATCTGTCAATTTCTGTCTTTATCTCATTCGCGTCTTGAGAAAAAGGCAAGCTTAAAACAATAAGCCAATTTGACATTAATGCATGAATTTTTTTAGAGCACCATGGGCTCATATATTTGAAGCTTCATTTGCTAATTTGGACTCAATTCGATTTGGTGCCATGTTTGGCTCATTTGCTTTCTTATGGAAATCAATTAATAATGGTATGCGAGTCTATCGTGGCAAAGATGATAGACTCAATGGGCTTGTGGGTGGCGCTGTGGCCGGCCTGAGTATCTTGTTTGAAAAGAAAGAACGTCGAGTTGATATTGCACAACAATTACTCGTCAGGTAAAAGTGACACAAGAATCACACATGACTAATCACATATATACAGAGCTTTACAAGCCATCTATAATGCCGGCAAAGCAAGAGATATATTCTATTTTGAAAATGGCGATGCGTTACTATTTGCCGTTACTTGTGCACAAGTCTTGTACGCATACACAATGAGACCCGAAACGTTGCCTCCTGATTTTTATGCATTTATGGTTAAAACGGCTAGATGCCCGAAAGGTGCGTTATTGTTGAATGAGAAAAACGTAAGAGGCATTCCTATCGCTACAACTGAAGCATTGGACATGATTCGCAAATTGCGTCCTACAAAACACGCTGTAGAAGTCGTGAGTCAATTGCCTGCTAATTTACCTGCTATTCCTTGGTAAACTAAACATGACAGCACAATGATTTGCTCATCTATATATGATTAGTGAAATGCTGCATCCTTGGATTAATGGGTGTCAAATGACTGCGGTGGAAAGATTTGCCAAAGTATTCAAAAGTCTTTTGCCAGTTTATGGTACACTTCATTTCGTGCCTATGTTCTTGCTTCGTACACAGCATTTTAAAAGAGAGTAAGTGTTGTTGTTTGTTTGAACGCTCTCTCTCTCATACAACATAGTCCTATGTCGATGCTTTCGAAAACTACCTTGGCTACTTTGAAATCAGGCGCATTCTTGGCTTCATTCGTTACATTGTATCAATACCAAATCTGTATGCATCGCCAGTTGCTTAAGACAGGCTTGATTGGCTCTTGGAACTCAAAATACATTTATTATTTAGCAGGCTTTTTCTGTGCTTATCCTTCTATCTTCCTGGAAGATAAAAAGAGACGCAGCGAATTAGCCTTGTATGTCTTGCCTAAAGCCATTCAAAGCTTTTACCATATTGCTTATTCTCATCATTGGATCTTCAAGATCAAACACTTTGAAGTTATGATGACAAGCTTTGCTATGGGTATCATCATGTCCTTTTATCAAGAAGAAGCAGATGTGTTATCTGCTTTTGTTCGTAAAATCATGTATCAGTTCTTTCAAAAGAATTAGACTATACCCTTCAATAAAAACATTCTTTTTTATTATTATTGTTATTATATTATTATTATTTAAGCCTTAGCACCAAGAGCCAAAATTGCTTCTTCAATACGTTGACCATATTCAGGATCAGCACGCTTAAAGTGACCGATTTGGCGTTCTTGAATATGCTTCTTTGCATTCTTCAAATGACCTGCAATATTGTTGACCAAGTCTGTCTTTTCTTCAGCAGACAACAAACGATACAAATCACCTGCTTGAACGAAATCAACATCTGTCAATTCAAAAGAATAACGACCTGTGAGACCCTGAACTTCTTCAGCAGTAAATGTAGTAGCAGCCACATTTGTTTGGTAAGGTCCACTAAATGAATTGGGTTCATAGTTGGGAGCAGATCCTCCGTTACCCAAGACAGACATCAAACCGTCACGTTGATGGTTAGAGACACGTGAATGGGGTTGGTTAATAGGAATTTGAGCATAATTCACACCAAGACGATGGCGATGCGTATCAGGGTATGAGAAAAGACGGCCCTGTAACATACGATCAGGAGAAACATCAATACCAGGTACAGTATGAGAAGGAGAAAAGGCAGCTTGTTCAGTTTCTGCGAAATAGTTTTCGGGGTTACGATTCAAAGTTAATTTACCAACAGGCTGAAGAGGATAGTCCTAAAACTGGTGTTACAACATCATTGCATAAATTTTCCCTTACCTTTTGTGACCAAACTTTAGTAACATCAAATGGGTTGAAGCGATACTTCTTGGCATCTTCTGGGTTCATGACTTGAATGTAAACAGTCCAAGAAGGATATTCACCGCGTTCAATGGCATTGAAGAGATCACGTGTGGCATAATCAGGATCAGTACCAGCGAGTTGAGCTGCCTTGTCAGCCTTCAAGTTTTTGATGCCTTGGTCTGTCTTGAAATGCCACTTGACATACTTGAAATTGCCCTTGTCGTCAACTAATTTCAAAGTATGGGAAGAGTAACCGTTAAGATGACGATAACCGTCAGGTGTACCACGGTTCGAAAACAGAATAGTGACTTGATGAATGGATTCGGGCACAAGTGACAAGAAATCCCAGAAAGCATCAGGATCAGGAATATTTGTTTGAGGGTTTCTCTTTTGAGTGTGAATGAAGTCTATAAAGAGATGAGTAACACTGTCTTTTATGCTTTTTTTTTTTTTTTTTTTTTTTTTTTTTTACCTGGGAATTTAGAAGGGTCACGAATGAAGAATACAGGTGTGTTGTTGCCGACCATATCCCAATTGCCTATTCAATGGATAAGTTTAGTGCGTCTTTTTTTTTTTCTGAAAAAATCTATACCTTCTTCAGTATAGAACTTGAGAGCAAAACCACGAGGATCGCGAGCAGTATCAGCGCTGCCCTTTTCACCACCTACAGTGGAGAAACGAAGAAAAGTAGGTGTCTTTTTACCAATATTGCTCAAAAATTTAGCCTTGGTAAGATGTGTGATATCATGAGTAACCTCTATGGATGCACAAGTAAGCCATCTTTTCAATGCATATATGGGAATCATTTACCAAAGACACCATGAGCACCAGCACCCTTGGCATGAACAACACGTTCAGGAATACGTTCTCTGTCAAAGTGAGCTATGAGACTGTATTAGATTCAATCAATAAGCACACACTACAACTTACAGAGCTTGTCAATCAAGTGGAAATCTTGCAAAAGACTATACAAATAATGAGCATAAATTTATAGATCTATCTTTCATATTTTACACAGGACCCCATTGGCCAGCAGTTTGAGATGTTTGATTGTTTTCGACAGGGTTACCGTTTGAAGTAGTCAAGATATTCTTGGACATAATAAATACAAGAAGAGAGAAGGGAGGGGTTAAAGAAGAAAAGAAACAAAATGAAATAGTAAGCACAATTTCATACTTGTACGTTGTACAAAGGCTGATTAAGCAAACAATCTTTAGATTTGATTGGGAATCATTATAGAAATATAGCCACCGAGTATAATTGTTCCATTGGCCATTATGACAAAGCGAGTTAGAATCCCGCATTCATTCACACACATTTATGTATATAGAGAGGGTGAGAAAAACAACTTTATTCTGTGATTTTACGTACACGATCAAATAGAGACTCAATTTGATCCTGGTGTGAACTTGTCCAGGCCCGTAAACCAGTTATGCCTTTCTGCAGATAGTCTGGTGTAGAAGACAATTTACTGATGATTTCTGATTCATCTGTTGCTTTTAAACAAGTGATATCAAACGCACTATCATGCATAATATACCGCATATTTGTTAATCCCATCACTTGGTTTTTGATATCAGGAAAAGGGTTGAATGGTAGTCTGAAATTGATTTTACAGATATGTTGACTTTGGTCACTCACAAGCAGTGTTTGATGCCATAATTTACGCCCATTTAAATCTTCAACAGTAGCTGTTCCTGTATCTAGTATGTGTGAGTTATATGAATGTATCAAAAAGAAACTTACGTAAGATAAAGACAACCAAATCAAAGTCTGATGTTGTATTTTGTTGACAAATATCTTTACAGCAAGTGATAGACCGTGGCACATAACCATCTGGCTTCATATTGCCAAGAGAGACAGGCTCCCAGCGAGTAGATCGAGTTGTCTTGAGGTCCAGTCCTGGATATTTTTTGTTCTTGGGACGATAGGGTATAACAAAAAACACTCTGTATCGATTGCCTTCAATAATATCCATATGGTGAAGTTCGTTTGCATTAGAAAGCACTAAAGTAGCCCATGGTTGGCTGGTAGAAGAACGCGTATCACATATACGCATCTTAAAATAACTGGATACACGGCGCTCTTGTAAGGGCTTGGTTTCTTTTAAGTTACGAGACATGGTTGTTCTTTGATAAGCTCGAAAATGAGGCACATCAATAGCTTCTCCTTGACCAGTACTGTACTGAACCATGCGTCGCATCTCTTCTTCTTCTCTGGCTGTACGTGTAATAGTGGTCCCATTAGGCAGATTCTCTGTATAGAGCATAGGGAATTTACGGCACACTACTATATCTAATGCTGTCACTGTACCGCCATCCTCAAAAATAGTCGGAAGAGAACGAATCATAAGCTTGCGTTTATGATAGCCTAGTTTGGCATCCCAGCGAGCAGGTAAACTACTGTTGGTTGTGATAGACAGAAATGTACTACTGTTGTGAATAGTCAAAGGTGACTGAGCTGCTCTATCGCCTGCAACTTGAGCCCCACAAATGGATAGCTTATGGCCTATGCGCAACTTCTTTTTGGTGATAGCATGCTCCATACGAATATCAATGCATGCTGGTACTTGATACCAACCATCCGACAATTGAAGTAAATATTTAGAAGCTATATAGATTGTTAACAGCATTCAAAGAAGACCAGTTTACTTACATGTATTGTAATGAACGGGTGTCTTGATATCAATAATGTCTGAAATAAACAAAATCATATGCTTAACAGAGATATCATCTTGCTCTAAAATCTTCTTTATTACAGGACGATGCCCATATTGATTTCACGCTCATATCGATAAAGGAGCTGGTCAAGCACTCTTTGTTTGTCCCAACAGTCTCTAAACTGGTCAGGATAAGATCGAATTAAACAGGCCATTTTCCATACAATCAATGTATAATGGTTTTCTACCCAAGCAAAACTCAAACAGTGTGGCAAACAACCCTTTTGGATCATGTCTTGTTCTGCTTTCTTGGGTCCCCAATCATCATCAAACACATACTTTTTTGCACTCTGTACAGTCATGTAGATGACAGAGATAGGACTAGAAAAGCATGAATACATGTTCATCATACACAACAGTACTTACATTTGCTTAGATAAGAGTTGCTCTTTGGTATATTGTAAAGGTAAGCCTAAAGAAGAAAGGGTATATCGGTTGTTCGGCACTGTCAAGTCAAACACTGAATTTCCTCTAGCCTTGATTGCGTTTCTATTGTTGCTGACAGCTGCCTTGGTCAATTCGATATTAGAGCGGATAATGGGTGATTTGAATGGTTTGTTTTGTTTTTGAATGGCTGGTATACGTTTATTGCGTTTGACTAAAGGTGTCTTGGGTGTTGGTTTGAGTGATACATTCACTGGCATTTCTGGTACAGTGGATACTGATTTCAGTGAGACATCATCTGAAGGTACTGTTGAATCTTTTTCAAACAGACTGACAGCCCTTCGTTTTGCTTGATCTGATACTGTAATAGATTCTTCACTGTATCCTCTTTTAAATCCACCAAACTGCTTCAAGACACTTTCATATCGATTGTCCGCAGAAAGTGGCTGATCCAAAGGTCGTTTCGTCTCTTTGAATTCCTGTAAATCCTCAAACAGCTTCTTAGCATTCTGTTTACTTTGAATGCTGGGTTCTTTGATTGGCTTTTTAGATGCTGTCATAAAACTAGTGGGCTGAACAGGCTTGCTTTCTTCTAATTCTTGAAATATCGATAATGCCTTCTTTTTGGATTCTTCTGATACAGGCTTCAATGATTTTCCACTTGCTGTCTGGAATCCTTTCATTGTGGGTACTTGTTCGTGTGGCATATGAGGCAATTCGTGATCTTCTTTGAGACTCTGAATAGCTTTCTGCATTGCTTCTTTTGAAGGTGGTTTTAATGCCTTTCCAGAAGCTGTTGAAAAGCCCTTAAAGGGTTCTGTCTTTTTTTCGTTGGATATTATCATGTCCATATTGGACAACAAATCGGCGTCAATATCTCCCCATATGGCTTCTTCTTGTGAATCATGTACTTTTTCTTTTACTTTGTCGTCTACTGGCTTCGTGTTTGTCATTTGATTGACAGAGATCTCGCCAAGAGGTATTTTTTTCTTTTTAGCTGCTGGTTTGTTTTTAAAAGGAATTTGTAAGAGTTGATCGAGAAAAACGTCAAAGGCTGATTTGCTGTCTGTCAAGTCCAAGGGTACGTTTATATCATTTGTCTATCAGTATTGATAAAATGAGATGTTGTTGAGCAATATTTCTCTATTTACCTCTTCTCTAAAGAAATCGACTTGACTGTCTAGCTCATCAAATATTTGATCTTGTAAACTAGGTGTAATGTCATCCCATTCGTAGTCATTATTGTCAGCATCGTAGACAGACATTGTAGAAAGAGAGAAAAGAAAGGATTACATAATGAATTTGATACGCAGACACTAAAAACTTTTTTTTTTTAGCTTGTAATTTGAAAGTGACAAGATGGCAGTGTTTAGGAAAACATATCTTTCTTTCTTTGTTGTTTCATCAAGAATGCACTCGCTTAATCTAATAAGAACCCATTGTTACATTCAAAGAAAAACAAAAATGAAATTCATCAGATACCGTTGTAGTCTATTTTAACCGCCATCATGCTTTTGGATATGGAGTTTAATATTGAAATATCATCATTAAGAATTTCGATTTCACCACCTGTCACAAGAAGGTAACAAGTGCGTTACCAAAATCATACGTATATTCCTAATTTGGAACAAAAATTTTTGGTTAAATATATTAAGAGTATTACAGTCATGTGACTTATGCCAAATTTGGAAATGATTTTATCGACTTTTGAATTTCCTTGGGGGTGGGATTTTTAAAAGCTTTAGTTTGCATAACATTCCTCCATTTGACCTATCCAAAGTTGCTATTTTCAACCTTAAAAATACCATGTATTATATATATATAAAGAAGTATAGGTCAACGGTCTCTTGGTTTTATGCACAAGTGCTCAAAGGAACAGCACCATAAATACATCTAGCAGACAGTAGCTCGTAATGCAACTAATTTCAAGTATGAGTCATCAGTAATGAGATCAAAGTGCGAAAAAGAAGAAGATAAAAATAAAGACTATCGGTCAATAAAGCCCTCTCTGACTCTGTTGTATTAAACAAAAAAGAAACAATTTTCGAGCTACTTTTCTTTAGAACACAAATCCTTCATTAAGGAATCAGAAAGTGTACATGCGCAACATTACAACTTGATCTGCTTTTTGTCTATTTATTGACTATCAGATACACATAATAAAGAGTTTTATTTGATTTATTTGTCAACTAACTGGCCCAATATCCTTCTAGAACCTACTTGATTGCGCAAACAAATGATATACGGATATTTCTGTTGAGCCTATGCCCCACCTCCTGAGCTATTTTAATCTATCAAAGATCTAATTACTCAAGCTGACCTGCTTCGTGCTGAAATTAGTTTACCTAAAACAGATATAGGCTATGTCAAGTAATTCAGAGAAACTAAATAAACTGGCGAATGTGTTATGAAGAAAGCACTTGATCTTTTGAACCTGAAGTTATTCCACTGAAATGTATAGCCTAAATGGTCTCCTTTCAACAAGACATCAGCTAAATGACATTGTATTTGTACATGTGTGTTTTAATGATATATAAAATGTAAATGTAGACATGAAAGTGTGTGTGTGTGTGTGTGTGTGTGTGTGTGTGTGTATAATGAATTAATCCTCTTTAACGTCATGAGCAAATTTTACTCTTTTACTTGTACCACCTTGTTTGCTGTATCCCTTGCGTTTCTTGTTTAATTGTTCAATATGTGCTTTTTCTTTCTCTACTTTTTTATAAGCCTTCTTGAGATGCTTATGGAACAGTTCCAACTTCTTTTCCTTATTCTTTCTAAAGATACGCTGTTCATTCTTGTGTTTATTTTCAGGGCGATAACTAACAAAACTGTGTTAATGATGTATAAACAGTCATACTGAACTTACGGTGCTAATGCCTTTAACCCAATGTATTTGTTGAGTTCAGCATCATCTGCCAACAAGATTTCTTCAGGTGTTAAGCCATAATCTTCTTTTTCAGTCTTTGCGTACTTGAATCGAGTGAATACATCTCCACCAATCACATCTTCATAATTCAGTTTGTAGTATTCATCCATCAGAGCATTGATCTTTTCTTTGTTCTCCTTGACGCGTTGTTTCTTTTCAGTATCATCTAATGAAATATAGTCTGCATCCATATCAAATCCAGCATCAATATCATCATTCCATTCAGGCTTAACATTTTCTTCTCCTTCTTGTGCTTGGTAGAATTCATCATCATACATGTTATTCATTTGAGCATCAAAAGTAGAAGGATCAAAGTCATCATCATTATCCAAATTGATGTCTTCTAATCCAAGTGCCTTTACACCAGTAATGTCACTGATTTCCTTCAGTTTATCACGAATCTCCTTCATCTTGACATTCTTTTGATGCTTGATTTCTTCCATCTTTTGTTCCTTCATGGCTGCCTTCTTAAGCTTTTCGCGTTCTCTTTTTCTGGCACGCTTGCTTTGTTTACGACGCACAGATCCTTCTACATCACGTGCATAAGTCAAGATCTGATAAGCGCCTTCTTCTTCAAAGCGGTAGTTGTACTTTGTCTCAAATCGATCTACATTATCTAGGAATTCTTCATCTTTCTCTTTATCTTCTGCATCATCCAAAGGCACAGGTTGATTGTCTTTTTCAACCCAACCACGGTTCAGAACATAATCCATCAAGAAAGCATCTTCTTCATTGATATTAGGGTTGTTCTTGAAATTACTCCATTCCTCAAAAGCTTGTTTTGAATGTTCGTCAGCCTTCATTTGCTCCAATAAGAATTTACTGTAATCTTTTTCTTCTGCTTCTAATTCTTCAGCACTCTTTTGTTTCTGTGTTAAAAAGCCTTCGTCTTCATCCTCTGAGTGACCATCATCATCAGCAGCAGTCTTGAATGCATTCTTCAATTGTTCCTGTTCTTCTTGATGAGTCAATCCAACTTTGTTTTCTTGTTCTTCATCGACAAATCCACCGTGCTTTAGAAGCATATCTCTTTCATAATCCTTTAAAGTGACTTTCTTTTCTTTCTTGACAGATGCAGTCTTGACTGGTTTATCTTGGAAAAACTTGTGTGATTCTTCATAGACACGAGGATCTTTAGCACGAATGGCAGCAATGGTACGAAAGATGTCAGAATCAACAGCAGGTGTCAATAGTCGAGCATCTTCATCTTCATCATCGTCTGATTCACTTTCTGAAGAAGAAGAAGCATCCTCTGCTTGTTTAGCAGCTACTTCAGCTTCAATTTCTATTTTCAATGTAAGTTATAAGTCCATTGTGTTGTATGTACCTTTGATAGCTTGTTCTACTATAGAATAAGATGAGTATGCATATCACAATAAAAAGAGAAAAAGAGGCAACTTACATAATTCAGGTCTTTTATACTCTTGAGAAGGATCTTGTCTTTCAATAATCTGTACTTCAACAGCCTCTTCTTTAGGCTCTTTGATTGTTTCGAGTTTGATGTCAGTCTCGGGTTCAATCGTTTCGAGCTTGATATCAGCCAATGTGTCATGAACAGGTTGTTCAGTGTGTTCAGATTTCACTTTGGATGCTTTTTTTTTACTTGATCTATCCTTGTTTTTACCCATAATGAAAAGTAGATGGAAAAAGAAAGAAAGAAAAAAAAATATTTGTATAGATAAGCCACTATGCTCGCCAGCATCGGAATATGAATGTAAGGGTTTTTATTTAAAGTGTGCATAGATCTAAGGAAAGATTTTTTTTTTTTTTAGAAAAAAAGAAATGAAAGGAGAGAGTATGTGGTATCTTCATAAAATGTAAAAAGAAAAAGAGAGAGAGAGAAAAAGAAAAAAGACAAAGAGAGAGAGAGAAGCATAGCTACATAAAGAAAAAAAAAAGGTTTACAATTCCATATGAACACCCATAAGCATAGTTGAATTTGTACCAGATGAACCTGTATTATTTGTCTGTTCTTCTGTTGTTGTTTCTCGCACAATAGAAGATTGTCGTTCAACACACCACCATCGATGTCCATCAGACCAAGCTTTGGATTGACATGCTTTGCTGCAATATTTGGCTTTACGACATCGTCTACATTTAGCAAACTCTCTCGGCTGTGTTTCCCATTTTCCACAAGTCATATTGGCACATTTTCGGATACCACCTCTTCCTTCATCTTTACGACATGCATTGCGCATAATCACACCAGCCCAATATTGAATAGGGCCTGGATGAATGCGATGACAAAACTTTTCAACGACACTAAACACTTGAGATGCATAAAAGGTATTACGAATATGAGGGTATTTGGAGAGATAGGCGAGCAATTGAAGACAGAGCAAGACATCTTCTTCACGACCAAGGACTTGTTCCATTTCTGTCTTGTCTTTTTGGCTACGCATAGAACGACGTTGAGATCGATTTATCTTGACATAAGGGAAAGTAGAACGACGCAATGGTTGTTTTTGTGTTTGTGTTGTCTCTAGATTGAATGGTTAATCGAACACATCTATAGACATCTATCTATACGTTGCATTGAATGACAAACCTTGAATGAAAGGAATAGGTGTATCTATACACTAAAGTCAATCCCAAGTCTCTTTTTGTTGACAATAGCTTACCTTTTTTTTCTTTTTTAGTACCATGTATAGTTTCATAAGATTTAGCAAAGTTGCCCAAGATAGTCAATACGAGAGGAATAACTCCAGCATCTACTACTTTGGTTCGTATCTGCTCAGTGCCTCTGACACCCACATTAACTATAATTTGAAATGATAATGTATATTTCCATAAAGTAAGTCGGTCAGTTTTGTTGGATGTCTGATGGAGTATACGAACAAGTCTTTCCAGTCCTCCATCTAGACACAAGATTTCTCTTATACGAGGTGAAGTGGAAGTCAGATAGGCTAAATGAGTCAGTGAGTTTACGAGTGGCAAAGTAGCTGTACAGTCCAATGCTCTTCTGTCATAAAGAGAAGAGCTAATAGATACAGCAGCTCTGTTTTGTGAAGGGAAACATAGATTGGGTTCTCTCATGATGTTAAGGAGAAAAAGAGAAAAAATAAAAAATAAAAAAAAATTGTATCACCGGCACAAATCATTCACTGCGGGGAATTAAATAAAAAGGGTAGTTTTTGCTTTATTGTTTTTCATTTGGTTGATATGTATTGGACGGTTTTGTCAGGTCATACATTGGAGGAGGAGAAGAAGATAGAGTAATACTGGTATAAGCAGGTGGAATAGGACTGCTACTGTTTTGATGACTAGAGAAATGATGCAGCAAATTATAGCGATCATCAAATTCAATAGTAATAGCCTATCATAAACCATTAGACAGAAAGAGACTAAAGTCACTTACATAGGTATAGGTAGGATGAGAAGACACTTGTTGTTCTGTATTCAAATAGCTCAATCTGAAGTTAATACCGCGTACATTTTCAGTTGCATTCATGCACTTGCACAAATGAATGATAGCACGCTCAAATCGATGCTTTTGTCTACGCCGATAATAGATAACCAACATACTACAAAACAAAAACCCAAATGGAAGAGCCAAGACAACACCCAATTGATGTGTATATTGAATACAAAATACAGTCATGGCTATCAAGATCATCAATATCAAGATAAAGAAATAGCCTATAGACCCATTCAAGGCTGTTGGAGGTGGGTAATGATAGGCTGCTGTATTAAATGTGTTGATGGTAGCAGAGAATTCATGAGGACTCATCTATTTTGACACAGTTAAACTTGAGTTACTATTCAGAGCCTTACAAATCCTTCTAAATCCAACGTATATTGGTCGGCAAATCTCTTTTTACTATAGACACAGTGTAATGATTTCATGTTGAAAGAAAAGAGAAAGAATAAAGAAATACAACTCCCTTTTTGTTGTATAAAATAAAGTGTCTCCTTGTTTATTGAGTCCCTGATTATCGTATTTCTATACAACACTCACTTTTTATATCTCTACGGGAGTCATATTAAGCTCACTCCTACACCTGTCAGTTCAGTTGATTTGATGAATAAAGACATTCTCTTAAGCTGTGTCGTCATTGACTGTAAAGAATTTCTGCAGAAATAGGAGTCAAGAAATGATCATCTTCCCCTTCTTATTTATATATATATATATGCATATTAAAATCTATAATACATTCCCTTCTTTTTCTTTTCCTTTTTCTTTACTTTAACTATGTCTATCCATGTTATTCCGGGAGAAATATCTACATTTACTATAGCCATTGCTATCTTGAGCGGGTTTATTTTATTCTTTGGCTATATTTCCATGTTTCTTAAAGAAAGGCTGTTTCTCTCCGAAGCATGTAACTATTTTATAGATACACACATACATTGTACTCATCTATTCGACCCCCCAAGTGGTGGCAGTAATCGTCGGAATAATAGCAGGTCCCTTAGTGACTAATGGATTTAACCCTTATAGTTGGGAATACCATGATGAAATCACAAAACAACTGACTCGATGTATTATTGCTATTCAGGTAACAAACTTGGCTTATTTCATCTCATCTTATTTTTATTTATTAATTTAATTTTTTCTATGAGATATAAAGGTTATGGCTGTTGGAATTGAATTACCAAAGTAAAGTAGAATATACTCTTATGATTGAATTGTGACTCTTGGTAGGCATTATTTAAAGAAAGAATGGTTAACAATGGCTATGCTATTAATACCTGTCATGATGTTTATGTGGCTCATTAGCGGTCTGTTTATTTGGGGACTCATTCCTCCTATCAACTATGTATGGGTTACTCTTAGTATAGACCATGGATCTAATATCTCTATTAGTTGGAAGCACTTGTTATTTCAGCTTGTATCTGTCCCACAGATCCTGTAAGTCATATTCTGATGTCGATCATTTTCCAATTGACACAGGCAAACATTAGATTCTAGCAAACTCAGTTGTCAAAGGAAGGTTTGCAGAAAAACATGTACCAACCCATATTCGAAATGCATTGTCTGCAGAAAGGTAAAGGGAGCAGGATGATTTTCTGTACATGGCATTGACTTAAAATAATAAAGTGGGGCCAATGATGGCATGGGGTTTCCCTTTTTATTTTTAGCCATTTTCTTGATTGCAGAAGATAGTGTAGGCACAGCGATTGGTAAATGGATCTATATCACTTGTTTATTTCAAATTGCTCTTTCTTGTGTGATTGGTGTGATTGTAGGTTATGTGGCTAGAAAAGTACTCCAATGGTCTGAGAGAAAGTAAGTCAATCCATGTTGAACAGACGATTCATAAGCTCTCTTTTTTTTAGTCATTTGATCGATAAACCGTCTTTTCTTGCATTTGCCATTGCACTGTCTGTAAGTTCTCCTTGAAATCGTTATTTTAATTCAAACCAACAAAAAGTTATTTTTGATGAGCATGACTGGTTTCTCTGGCAGTGATGATCTCTTGGCTTGTTTTGCTGCTGGCAATGCATTCTCTTGGGATGATTGGTTTCGCCATGAGACAGAAGAAGCTCATTTTCAAGAAGTGATCGATATGATGTTGAATTTAGCTATTTTTGTTTATATTGGTGCTATTATCGTAAGGATCAGAAAAATAAGTACTCTTTTTAATGATCGGAATAGCCATGGTCTGAATTTAGTAATGAAGCCTTGGGTCTATCTACTTGGCGGTTAGTTGTGATTGCTGTCTTGGTCTTGTTCTTTAGACGATTGCCTATTGTTGTTTTACTAAAACCAGTCATGCCTGCGATGAAAACATATCGTGAAGCCATCTTTAGTGGCTGGTTTGGACCCATGGGTGTCGGTGCTGTCTTTTTATCGATCATTGCCAAAGAAGAATTGGAGGTGGCCTATGAAGGCAAGCCTACGCCTGTGTCTATTCAAGTCATCAGTCCTGTTGTCCTGTTTATTGTGTTTTGTTCTGTGATTGTGCATGGTACAACGATTCCTTTATTTAAGCTAGGCAAACGTATTCGAACTCGAACATTATCCATCACAAGCATCAGCAGTAACCAAGTCTTGCGACTTCCGAAACTACAATTTGGACAACAGCTGTCTAAAAAGACAGACGAGAGCCCTTTTAGTTCTGAATCGCATGGCATGACACAACTTCAACGCAACACACTTTACAACGCACTTCAGCATGATCATATGAAAATAGAGTTGCCTCCACTTGTACCACTACATCAGGACTCAGATTCAGAATTAGCAGAAGAAGATTTCTTGCCTGATGATTCTTCAGAAACAGTGCATCAAATAGGGCTCAAAACAGACTCAAGTAGACCCACGAGTGATTTCTCGCTTGATCCACAGCAAGCGATTCGATTTCTTGAACCTGTGAATCCGCGTTCCAATATGGATCGCAATGAGACAAGTCTAAAGGGCTGGATAGCACGTCAAACCAGAGAATCGTCTCAAGAATCAATAGAGGGGCATGGACTTGGTATTAAACAGTTGTTTAAGCGTCGTAAAGAGCATGCTGAAAATACACCTGTCTGGCAAGATAATCCAACAGAAGACAGTCAAGCGAATACGAAAAAAGTTTATAGTATAATAGAATCACCTCCATTGGCATTGGATAAAACAAGTCATAGTACATCCAGTGCATCTTCTTAATTTGTAACAATAATAAAAAAAACAGCTTTGTCCATTTACTTGTTCAACATGAACCTTATCAAGTTACACGATATATCTTCTTTATTTTGTAAACATTGTAAATATAGATATAGATATATATATATATATATCAAAAAGAGAAAAATGTGACCTCTATGAGCTACATGTCTATTTAGACGAATTGATTGTCAAGATATTACACATACAAATTATCGTGTGAGTGAGTAGGGTGATACGATTGCTGAGACATATAAATATATATAAATATATATATAAACTTATGTTGGTGATACCATCATTGTGTCCCTCCCACCCCTTGTTTTATATAAAGATGCATATACATTTCCTCACATCTTCTTTCTTTCTCTATGAGTTCTTCAAGTAAGTAATAAACAAAATTGACATTTTTGTATATTTTGATTTGGTAGATCATCATTCATTATTTACAGAATCTGAACAAAACCATTTACATGTCTTTTTGAATGAATTGGAAAAAGACAGCCATGGTCAGACAAAGAAAATACATCTCAGCCCTGACTTTATAGACAACACAACATCATTTCAATCGAGTCAAAATACAAAAGTGAATCAGAATATGATTCAAATCAACACCATTCTTATTTCAGATCAACATAAAAAGCACATTGCAAAGCGACCATGTCATAGACACCATGAAAGGAAAAAAATGTCTCTGAAAAAGACACAAGAATTATTAACCGAAGAACAAAAGAGAGCAAACCATATTGCATCAGAACAAAAGAGAAGAGCAAACATACGTATTGGATTTGAAAAACTGATTAATATTGTGCCTACTTTAAGTAATGGTCATAAGAGTGAGGCACTCATTTTACAGAAATGTAACAAGATAATTTATGAGTATGGTTAAACATTCTTATTTATTTATTTTTTAGCGGTTGAATATTTAAGGCAGTTGGTGGAATCAAAGACAGCATTAAAAGAAAAAATGAGGGAACTTCAACTTATGTTGGGTGAAGAGTAAGTTTATTCAGTTCCTACACATGACTCATCTTTCTTTATAGTCCTGATGAAGACGTAATGTTGCTTACCATCTTTTTATTTTTTTTTTAAAAAAAAAAACTAATCCTTAATAATAGAGTTCAGAAGGGGAAATGGATTATAATTTTTAGAATTTACTCAAAAGTAATTTTTGTAATCTATCTCGAATTAAAGCAACAGGCTCATTCTGTATACATCTATTGACGCCTTTGACAAACTCTTCTTTTGTGTTACCTTCGACTAATAATACATAATGGTGAATTCTCTTTTTTTTTGTAAGAAAATGTAGACATACCTGAACATTTGGCTACCACTTGTTCCAACACATCCATAGCAGCAGATCGAATAGCTGAATACTTTAAATCTTCCAAACAGTCAAAACAAGATTTTAACAACATGTCCATGTTTTCTTTTTCGTCTAGGCTATGAGGTGCTGCGTGCTTCACAAATGTCTCTAGACTTTGTAAAATAGCCAACTGCACATTCCACACATTGCCTTGAAATGAGCGAGTAATCAGTCCCAATAAACGATGCGTCTCTTCTTTTTGATTTTCAAATACGCAAGGTCTAAAGGCAGACACAAGCGCCTTGAAAGCATTGGCCTTGATCATCAATAAAAGAGGCTTAGCATGCTCATTTTCATCTTCTTCTTCCATGACAGACGCTTCATCCATCTCACATAACTCGGTCAAAAAGGGCATCACATCGCCCAACAAGTCTATGGTTTCAGCAAAGGCGTCGGAGAAACAGATCAAGGAAGCCAAAGCATGGCGTTGGTATTCACGGTTCTTGCGTTTGGCTTCACGAATCATAATCTTCGTAGCCTCTGACAAAGAAGGTGCTCGACCTTCAAACGAGTGTTTAATAGACACACACAGTTGAACAAAGGCATCCAAGACATGTTCTTTGCCAGACCATGATCGTGTAGCCAAGGTGGATACTAAAACAGGCAAGAGTTCATTGGCATGGACTTGAATACCTTCGCCCAACATCTTGCACATATCTGCAACTGTCAAAGCAGCTGTTTGCTTGACTTTCCATGAAGACGAACTTAACAAGGGTTGTACAAATTCGAGAATCTCATCCGAGTGCATGACGACAAGACTACGTGTGCCTGAAGTCAAGTTTTCCCAAGCTGCTTTCCATAGCTTGTTCAAGTCTTGGTCAGGATCATGCTCACCAAAGAACACAAGTGGCACAAGCACCGTAACAATAGAATTAGCTCTGTCTGTAGCAAATCGCGTAAATTCGACAGCTGCGATAGTACTGCCTGCTTTTGCATCTTCATCTATTCTACATGTAAATATACCAAAAAAAAAAAAGCAAGATGGACAAGAAACAAACCTTCGTCTTCAATGTACAGTTTCTTCAAGTGTTTGACAAGTGAAATTAGTCGATCATAACTAGCAAGTTGACAAACATAGCCAATAGCAGTAGCATAGGATTTACGAATGACTGGATTCTTGGAGCGAATCGTACCACTTAGGGCTTTTAAATACGTATCTGCAAAGGGTGTAAAGACAGCCCTCTTGCTCATCACAAGCGTCACAATAAAACGTGCGCAACCAGCCTAGGATGGTGGTGGTGAGCTATCTATATATACTATGTCAGAATTACCTTTGTAGGAAGACCTGTGCCTTTTCTGACAATATGAAGAATGCGAGGTGTGAGCTCTTGCATGACATTATCATCAATTTGATGAATACAATGTTCAATGCCCTCCATCATGGGTGAGTTTTTTGCACCAGCAAGACGGGCATTATCTAATTGTTCTTGAGAAATATTATACTTGTCCACATGAAAACTGAGATAGTTCATCGATTGAGGTTCAAGTGCTATATATTCAAATGTGGGTAAATCTATATAATACGCAAAGTACTTACATGATAAGGATTGAAGTAAAGTGTCAATGAGCTCAGGTACATACTTTTTTAATAAAGTAGCGCCTGTCTTACACACTTTCAAGACTGCATCCAAACTAAACTTCTGAACGTCCTCTGCATCAGACACAACGCCCTTCTGTAACAAGAAAGGCATTACAATATCCATTACTTTATAACCATCTGCCATAGCAACCATAGTAGGGTCACAATAATGCACTGTCAACTTGGTCAAGGAACGACATGTTTGAATGGCTGCTTGACGCACTGAGTCCTTAATATCATCTAATGCACGGAAACACATTTGCCATAGCTTTTCCAGATAAGGTTCAATTTGAGCTAAAGAACGTCCCATCACGAGGTCTGTCACAGCAGCACAACTGGCTTCACGAATACGCCATTGACGATTGCCTAGGCCAGCCAGAATATCCTCCATGATTTGATCAAAATAGGTATCGACTGTTTTTTGATTATCCTTGACAAGCGATCGCCAAATGGACTTCATGGTCTGGTTCACTCGAGGGTTAGGGTCGAACTGGTAACGGTAGAGTTTAGGGATCAAACGAGGAAGATAAGGCTCCATTTCCTTTTCAGCCACAGCCATTAGGTTTTGAAAACCAAAGGCAGCACCTCGACGTGAAGTCCACATGGCATTATGATTAGCCAAGTTCATGAACTTGTAAATCAAGTCAGGCTGGTTCAATTCAGAAGCTAAAGAACAGAGTTCCCTGTAGGTAGTGATGGAGTTACCGTCGGGTGTTTCACCTAAAGCGCCTTCTTCAAACAGAACCGTGTTGTCTGTTACAGATTGTGCTTGAATTTGACGACCCTCAGTAAATGTGCCTACGAGTGAATACAGCATGTCTTCTTTGATTCTAGCATCACCGTATTCGTATACAAGACCGAGACCTTTAGAAGCACATTCTTGTGTAAAATCATCACGATCAGCCAAAAGACGAGAAAAGGAAGCATGCATATTGCTCAGATTGGTTTGCACCAAGGGACGTCCTTTACCAAACTTGAGGATAGAGAGTAGCCAAATACAGGCTGCTTTACGGTACCATGAACGATTGCTGGTGACATAGGTACGAATAATTTTTTCTATGTCTTGTTGAACATCGTATATAGGCGATGCCAAATTGTCTAACAAGGGCATTTCTGAAATATCTTTGTGTTTCTGCATGGCTTGAGAATCCCAGCCGAATGCAATGACAGAGAAAGCTTCACCTGCAGCAAAGGCTAACTCAACTTGTTTTGTGTCTGCTAAAGCATATAAGCCATCAATGATAGGCTTGACAAGGTCCAAAGTTTCCTTGTTGGAGACAAGAGGAATAGCTAAATGACCTAAAGCTAAAGTCGCTTTTTCTTGTACTTTGGCTTCTTTACATGTGTTTGCTAAACGAGATAGTTTTTCAACAATTGTATGTAATGCAATGCTATCTTTTTCTTCAGTTATAGGGAAAGGCAGTAATTGACAATGACCAATATCAGCTATGGATTGACATGCTGCACCAGCCATCATATAAAATGTAGTACTGGGTGCGCCTTCTAATAAATCCACCAAAAGTGCAACACACCGCTTCACAAGTTCTTTGGATAAGGTACGTTTGCGATAGTAACAGCGACTGATGAGACAACCCATGGCTAAAGTAGCACCATGACGATGATCCAGCTGCTGCTGATTTTTGCTCTCTTGTGCCTCGAGTACACCACAAAATTCAATAAGGATAGCTTCGATATCAGCATCAGGCACACTTTGATTACTTGCAATGATACCAAAGATATGAGACATTAAGGTGCGCGCATCTATCTTTTCTGAAAATGAGAGCGATTTGAAGAAACTGAGACGATCTTTGAATGCTGTGGATATAGAACTAGGACCAAGAGAAATCACTTCTAGAAGGCACTGAGCAGAAGTGGCTAGCAAAATAGGATCTAAAATATACCGTCAGTTCCATCACTTTATCTTATATGCATTACCTTTTAATTCAGGACTTAGGCCCAGTTCAACAAATGCCAACCAACGCTCAATGATCTCTTTGTCCTTGGAATCACTATGCCACATGTGAGTCAAGCTTGTCTTAAAATTCAACATAGTAATAGGATCTTCTGACATGCTGTTCTGAACTTTATCAATGACATATTGATCAATCAAGATATGGTCTGAATTGACTTGTAGAATCCAAATGATACGTAAGAAATGAAGAATTTCTGCATAGACTTCCACTGGATAGCCCTTGATGACAGGTGTCTTTGACATAAGAGAATATGTTTCATCAGGTTTGTGTGTATGAATATAGTCCACAAGGTCTTCAAACTTGGGCAATTCAGAAGGTGAGATCACATCCACATTCTCTACAAGGCCATATTTGTTACGAACAAATGGAATCAGACCTCGACGTGCTTCCTCCTTAACGTCCAATTTGACAACAGAAGAAGAACTACCCAAGAGACAGACATAACGAGCAAACACACAAGAGAATGGATAGATAGCATTAGCATATTTCAGAGCCATGTAGCGAGAATAAGGATCATTCTACGCTCAATGAATACATAGTTGCATAAAATATGTCTTTTACCTTTTGAACAGCTTTTAGTATAATGTGTTGAAGTTCCTGATAAATGAGTGAATCTGTGGGAAGATCCACATAGATTTCAATCATGGAAGATAATGCATCTTGAACATAGGTTCTTATGTTCTTGTGTTCTTTTTCTAAATTATCAAAGAACAAAGAAAGTATTTGTGTATCTGATAACCCAACCTTGGGAACTATCATGTAAGTGTAAGTTCTTGTCTATTGAGTGCATATATATATACCTTTCTTTGCTACCAAACCACAAGCTACATAGGCGTATCCTTTAACACTTTCAGCATCAAAACCTTGTACATGCTCATTTTCATTGATGTATTTCAACAAGCCAGAGATAATCACAGGAGCTACAGGCCCAATACTTGATTCTGTACTCTATACTAGAAAGTCAATAGAGTCGCATGAAAATTAGCTACAGCTTTACCATGCGAGCACACCATTGTAAGAATGACATGGCGGATCTCTGTAGTTTTGTGTTAGTGATTTCACCATAAATACCATCAAAAATGACTTGAATCATAAAAGCCACCATGTTGGTTGCCATGATAGATTTAGACAAGTACTGCAACACGCGAAGTTTGACTGAATTAGGTGCTGGTGTTCGAGCACTTTGACCAGTCGCGTTAGGCGAGCCCAAATACAGTTTGTAGAGGGATTGAATTGTTGCTTTGTCTTCATAGTCCACATTTCCTGTCCATCTTCTCATGCCGTCTTCACAAGCAGAAGTGACTTGGTGATTAGGATCACATACACCTGCTACAAGCAAAGGCAGACGTTCACTATCTGTAAAGATAGGTGTCAAAATAAAGTTCATGATGCCCAACTAAAAGAAAATTAAAAAGGCATGAATGAATTGTTTTCTTACTTTGGCATCTTTTAATTGAGCAGTAGTCCATTCTATCTTTCCTTTGTTTGTCACATCGTCTACAGCACGTTGGCTAAGTCCTGGATATTTAAATTTGTTTTCTTCATCTGCTAGTTCTCTTGCTGTCAAGGGCTGGTAAAGCATCACATCTAAAAAGAACCCCAAAATTACTGGAACATCTTGAGGCGTTTGGTCGAATTTAAATACTTCTTTTCTCGCTGTCAATTGTTTGCCTTGATCCATTTTCCATTTATTGAGTACCTGCATGTCAAATTGAGTTGTGTAACAAATCATGAATAGACTTACAGGCAATACAATATGAAGTAAAGGTACGCGTTGTGGAGCTGGTCTTGTGCTAATACCACTTAAGAATTCAGGCAAATACTGTACTATTTCTTCAGGATTGAGTCTATGGGCTGCCATTTCCAAGTACATGAGAGTAAAATTTTTGACAAATGTAGACACAAGAGGATCCGTGAATTGCTTCAATAAAGTATCAAAAGGTAACTTAATACTTGGATTGGTCTTTGTTCTCTTGTTGATATGAGACAGAATTTCCATTACTTTCTTCTTTGCTTCAGGATTTGTGCTGGCCAATTTGAGCAAGACAGGAGGCAAGAAGATCTGGATCGTCTTTTCTAGTTGTGCATCTGTATTGCACATGGCAAGCTTCAACTCGACATTTTCTATTAAGAAAAGTTAGATCGGGTTGAAATCGTTCTTTCTTACCGAGCAATTGTAACTCGTTGCTCATGTTCTGATGAATAATTAAAAAAGGGGATATGTACCTTTCCAGCATAAATATACAGGTCAGTCACGATTACGTACCCTCCCCCTCTTACTCGTTTTGGCTCGATTCGTCATTGTTCTGCGTAGTTTATTTCAAATGTTTGATCGTTTGACAGAAACACAAGATATCACTCTCTAATTCATGTCCAAAAGCCATATAACTTAAGGATTACTTTTCTGGACCATTATTGCTACTAAATCATGCAATAAATACCATATTTGTCTTTACAATATAAACCAATTGAACAGTATAGAAACCTTATAAACATGCTAAAATAATACTATTTATATGCTATAAGCGCTTCAACATAAATGTCATAGACATGTTTCAGTAAATGAAAAAAAAGCAATGTTCAATGATGGAGATTCTCTTCAAAGACACTGTTTACTGTTATATATGTAGCTTTACTGCAATCATCATTTTGTAGCAAGACATAACACTACCTGGGTTAATCAAGCGAAGCATGAACAGTAGAGTGCTCTAAGTAAAAGCGGATGTCGGTTGACCAATCTCTCAATATCAGTCAAGACTTAAATAAGTAAAGCTCTAAGAGCCTTTGGCAAAAAAAAAAAAAAAAAAAAAAAAAAAAAACTGGTAGTAGTAATGCGTTATTTCTGTGGTCTTTGTAGCACAAGAAGAAGCATGTACGGAAGAATCCACTAGTCTAGGAATTATTTTTTTTTTGAGTTAGCACGTCGTAATGAGCGGTGACACTCGATGAAACGGAGACCTAAAATTCGTGTCTGAAATGAAAATAATGGGGATGATTATTTTTTTGTTATTCCTTGCTTGATCTTGTTTGAGAGTAAGACATGGGCCAGTTCGTAATGTCGGAAATGTAGTCTAATGTGGCGAAATGTTAAACGGTAGTAGTGAGAGTTTCGATTAAATTTATGGACCGAGTGTGAACCGATAATAACATAAACTGTGAAGCGACGTGAGGGTTAGAGTTACCATGCTGCCAATACAAATTCCATAGTTGCCAGTGTATAGTTCCGATTATAGTGAAGAAAATTTTTGGTTTTGTGATAAAGCGGAGGACATGCAGATAGCAAAGTGCACTAAACACCATTTCAGAAGACAGAGTATTGTGCGGGAAGAAGTGAGATAAAGTCTGTTGCCAGACTTCCCATTTTTTCGGGCAATCGATAACGAAATGACGGAACGTGTCATCCGCCACACAACATAGAGAACAGCGAGGAGACAGCCCGAGATTGTACTTGTTAATAGAGACCTGAGTTGGTATGCGTTTATGGAGAGTCCGATAAAAAACCGTTCAAGCGTTAGGGTACAGCTTACAAGTCCAAAAGTGTCTAATGGTCGCTTGCTGAAAGCGATGCGCACCGATGGTAACATCTTGGTAGAATAAACGATATGCATGAGGAGTGAAACGAGACCAACGGGGAGACATCCGAATCTGGGTTGGTATGGGCAGTTCACTGAGTGTTACCGAGGCTTGACCAGCAGGCGCCTGCAGGATGTGATCCCACAAAAAGGCTTTCAAAGAGACCGAACGATTATCTAAAATATCCGAGAACAACTGTTGACAGAGACGTGGAAATCGTGTGTATTCAGTAGAAACCTTCAAGCGTAATCGATTAGCATTGGGATCAAAAATGAACATTGAGTTGGTCAGAAACCTAGGGTGACGATGAGCCCAATAATCGGGTGCTGCGTTCAAAACCATGTATAGTAGGAGGTTCATTAAAGTGGCCAAAGGTCATGGTTCTTTCGCCTAACAAGCCAACCCACAACATGACATCCTCCAAAGGGCGTCGTAACAACGATAATTTACCCAGAACTTGGTCGCAAGTAGCGGCTAGAACTATTGTGTCTGCTAACCAGTCGTCATCACTAGCTGCCACAGCTTCATCTGCACGCACTTCTGGTTCTTCCCAGTCGAAGTATGCTAGTACCAACACTCTTTCTTCAGGCACTATTACGCCTTATATTGTCGGTTTAGAGAAAGATAGTGTATTGATCGATATCACCAACATTCGTGATGTGAATGGCCTTAAGCAGTTTCTTGGGTCACTTAATACCCATGGAGAGTACTATTTCTTTGGTACTTTACTTGTTGAGCGCAAGTATTTGCAGAGACGTTTTATTGAAACTTGCTGGGACACCAACTCAGAAGTATACAATAAGTTGATCAACACCGGTTTGCAGATGGAAGATAATAATATTATCAAAGGTTACCGCAGCTTGCCCCAGAATGCGAAAATTGCTCGAGTTAAGGTTGAACGACTCCCCTTGATTCATCCTTCAACTCTCCGCGAGCAAATAATCAAACGTTTTTCCCATTTTGGTGAAGTCCTAGATCTGGGATTTCATATGGACGGTGCTGTATTTTTCGGCCAGGGCTACGTCGTTCTTGACCTAAACAATCCTCACAAGTCTGAGCCTGAGCAACTTGGTCGAGTAGTGGATTGGCCCGAATTTGATCGTGAACTTCTGCTTACGTGGGATGAAATGCCCCAATTTTGTCGTTTTTGTCAAAAATCCGACCATTGTCGAGCAGATTGCATGGAACTCATTAATACTCGTCGTTGTTATAACTGCAATGAGCGTGGTCATATCAGCCGTGATTGTCCTCGTCGTAGTCATGGATCAGGCCACCCTCCTAATAAGCGTATTGGGATCACAAAAGACAAAGCTAGTAGATCAGGATCCAACCTGCCCAATGAGCAACTGGCACAAAGTGCGAAGCCTAAGCAAATTGTCTCTCCTGCTGCATTGACTACCGTTCCTCTTAGTCAAATAGCAACCGAGACTATTCAAACACTTTCAAACGATATTACAGTAGTCGAGCATGAATTGATGGATCATGAAATGAAAGAGCAAGGAGATAGTGAAGTAGAAATCATTGGCTCTGATGGAGAGGATGATGATGAATATTTTCAAAATATTCCAAGCAATAATCCAACCCAAGAGGCTTTGGACTTAGAAAGGTTTATCCAGGAGCGTAAAAAGATCAAATTTAATCATGACGGTGAGAGACATAGAGTGGTGCCTAATCATAATACAGGTGGATCAACAGGTACCTCTCCTGACTTTCAATAAGATAATCTATGCCTAAAGACTCTATGCAAATTGCCACCCTTAATTGTCGTGGCCTTACGAAAACTTCAGATCCTTACAAACAGTCTTTATTCATCCGCTTTCTACGTTCAACTAAATATGACATTCTATGCTTACAAGAAACACACGCATCTACACTTAATATACAGAAACAGCTCAATCTCAAGTTCCAGACTAAATCCAGTCTTTGGACAGAACACTGTGGCATTGTTTTCTTAAAATCTCACTACAAAATCGCAGCACATCCCACCATCAATTCTACCAATGGCCGCTTTCTCTTAGCGTCTATCGCTCATGCCTCTGAACCCTCCATTCCTTTTATGTATATCCTCAATATTTATGCTCCTGCTTATCGTAGTAGTCGATCCACATTCTTTCGCACGTTATCTTCCAATCAACCATTAATGTCACATTTACGGTCAACGTCTTTGCCTATTATTATTGCTGGCGATTTCAACTATGACATTTACCGTAAATCCAACATTGATACGTGCTGGAATGATCTACTTCTTACTTCATTCCAAGATTGTTTTCAAAGTGATCCTCTTCCCACATTTGTCAGTACCACTGGTAGTCGCACACACATTGATTATATATTTTGCACTCTACCTCATGCTGACAATGTAATTTCTATGACTCAAAATTTTGTTAACTACAGTTGGACTGACCATGCCTTGCTTTCTATCAACTATCAACTGGTACACACTCCAGCTGGACCTGTTCCTTGGAAAGGTAATCCTAATCTTGCTCGACTATCTGCATATAGAAAAGGTTTGACAACACATATTGAGCAATACATGGATAACATCAACCGTTTGGATCCTGATTGCCCTTCAGTTCAAACTATTTGGGATGAATTGAAAGAACAAGTCAAAGTTTTTACTCGATCCTTCCAGATCGAGCGTAACAACTGGCGATCCAAATCTCTGAAAAAGCTTCAATCCAAACGCAACAGAATTTTACGAGATCATAAAAATACATCTATTTTATCATCTCTTTTGCCAAAGGTTGAAAAAATGATTACTATTTTGCAGGATGAATCTGCCGAAATAGAACATCTCAAAGCAGGCAAATTTTGGCGAGAAAAAGGTGAACGATCTCCTGGTCTTCTCAAAAAACTTGCACAAGATAGGTCTACACAGCGAACAATACCAAAGCTCTTTGATCCCAATTCTAGACGATTGGTTACTAATACAGAAGGGAAAACAAAGGTGATGGTTGCCTTCTATAAGGCGCTATATCGTCCTGACAAGATCCAATCCTCTGATGTCAACACGCTTTTACAACGTACCAACAGCCAACGACTTACTAAAGAGCAAGCATCTACCCTTGAAAGTCCTATCACTTGGCTGGAGATATCGAAAGCAAGTAGACGTTCACCTCGTCATAGTAGCCCTGGTAGCGATGGTTTGCCATACGAAATTCTAGGTATTCTACTTCGTGTCCCTTGTTTAAGGCAGCTAGTTCTACAAGTATACAATGATGCCTTAGCTCATTCTTTATTCCCAAGATCATGGCTGCTATCACTTATGACTCTTTTGCCTAAGAAAGGTGATCTAACGCGGGCAAAGAACTATCGTCCTATCCAGTTGGTTAATACAGATAACAAGATCTTCACTCGGATAATCAACCACAGGATTATGACAGTAGCTGCTACACTTATCAACAAACATCAGCTAGGCTTTATGCCTGGCAGATACAGTGGTTACATTAAGTGTCCCATAAAACTCATTTATAAGCATAAATTAATATATTTTCGTCGTATTGACCTTGTGTTAGTATCAGAAAAAGCACATTTTTTTGCTGGTTACTTCAATTTCCCTAATTAGTAAGAGATACCATTTTTGGACAACTTAGGTAAAAAATGACGTAGCGTTTTCAAAAAAATTTCCTGCAAAACCTGAATACCTTATTTTCTTCGGCGAATAAGCATTCTCAATCGTGCGTTTTCCACATTCTTCGGCAAATCCTAGCACAACCTACCCAACTACATATAGATACGGCAAGCTTCTCAGAAAAAAATTCTCTTTTCTTCATTCTATATACATACCTTTTCTCCTTATTATCATGCCTTACAGCCTCCCATACGATAAACGAAACAATGTCAAATCTGCACTTTTATCTGGCAAATCGATTTGTCAGGTCTCAAAACTAACAGGTATTGCCAAATCAACAGTTTCTCGTATTAGAAAAGAGTTGCCAGAAATGAAAACTTGCACTGGTACCGGTAGACCATCAAGAGTAGGTCATCTTATGGCTTGTTTGCTACGAATAAAAATCCGAACTGGAGCATTGAAGAATGTCAAAGAAGTCCAAACTTGATTGTCTGGACAGGGTATTGCTTTGACGTATAGTGGAACAGTCTCTCTGATGAAAAGGGTAGGATTATACTCAAAGCTTAAGTAGAAGAAATTTTTTTGAGAGTTTCTTAGCTTTCGAAGAGATACAAATGGGCCTTAACATATCGTAACTGGTCCGCAAATGAGTGGAAGAGTGTCGTTTTTACCGACGAGACGAAGATCAATCTTTGGGGATCAGATGGTGCAACATACACTTGGTTACAGCAAGGGTTTAAAGCGAGGCCCCATAACTACAAGCTATTGCTCAAGCATGGAGGTGGCTCTCTGATGATGTGGGGGTGCATGACATCTTCCGGAGTAGGATATGCCTCTCGAGTGCTTCAAAAGACAATGGATACCGATTGCTATTTGGAGATTCTAGGGTCGTCATACCTAGATACATTGGAGTATTATAGTATGGATCCACAAAAAACTATCTTTCAACAAGACAACGACCCAAAACACAAAGCAAAGGCTACCATTTCTTGGCTCAAAGCCCACAAAGTCAACTTTACTGCTGACTGGCCACCTAACAGTCCCGACTTGAACCCAATAGAGCATCTTTGGAAACAGTTAAAGTGCAGGCTAGCCGGATATGATACAAAACCAAAAAATCTGGACGAATTGTGGTCAAGGGTCGAAAAAGAATGGTACAAATTTCGCAAGTGACATGGAGGTATACTATAGCAGCATGCCTCAACGTATAGAAGCAGTCATCAAAGCAAAGGGCGGTTATACAAAATTTTGAGCATTTCAAATAAAGAATAAATTTTGGTGAAACACAAATTTTCTCTCTTTTGAAATTGAAGCACTGTTATTGGATGCATTTAGGAGTAATTAGCAGTGCGATTATTATTGTCAATGTCTAGTTAATCTATGTGCCAAGTTTCAGAAGGATCAACGGAGTTTTTGTAGAGAAGGGTAAAAAAACAGGTTTTATGGGACACTTAATGTAACCACTGTATATTGCTGAACATGGATTGCTCACCCAAATGATCATGGAAAATGCAGCAACAAACTATCGCCGACCAGACAAAGATCTTGGCATTCTTTTAGACCAAGAAAAGGCCTATGATCGTGTCAACCTTGACTATCTCAAGCAAGTGTTGTTACACTTTGGTTTTCCAAAGACCCTGGTTGCCAGCACTATTACCTTGTTTAGAGATAATTCCATTTGTATCAACATCAATGGTTGGCTCTCTAAGCAGTTGGTTCCAAAGCGCCGAGGCCTCAAACAAGGTGACCCACTCTCTTGTATTTTATACAATTTTGCCTTAGAGCCACTTCTCCAGTCGATATTGAATGACACTCAATTTTCTGGCTATCGCTTCAAGCATAATGATTTTAGTCAAGCTATCACCTTACCTGCTATCAAATTGCTTAGTTATGCTGATGACACTTTAGTTTTTCTTCATAATATCCGTGACCTTCGCAGAATGCAGTTTCACTTGCAGGCCTACAGTAAAGCATCCAATGCCAAGATTAACTACCATAAAGTGCGAGCAATCTCTCTCTCTGGCCACAATCTAGATGATAAATGGCTGACTACTCTACAAGCCATTGACATTCCCAAGATATGGTGCCGTACAGATGCTGAACCCATTATCTATTTAGGTTTTCCCCTTATCCAATCCTTGGACCAGCGCGCTCACTTTTTTTCGTCCCTCACTCGATCATTGACTCAACTGGCGGATATTCATGCCTCACGCAATCTTTCTGTTGTTGGTAGAGCTACAGTTGTCAGTTCGCTTTTATTGTCTAAATGCTGGTATATTTTGCGGGTAATCCCTACCACTCAAGCAATCCTTAATACCATTCGAACTGTCATTACTTCTTTTGTCAACCGGCAAATCTTTCCTCGCATTAGTTGGCAAACGATGACTGCACCAAAGTGGCATGGTGGCCTTGGCATTCTTGACTTGTTTTCTCAGCAGAAATTACTGTATTACCATTGGCTTCATCCTTTTTTGTGTCCTCAAGCTGAACGTTCTCTAATACAAGACTTTCTAGCAGCACATACCCGTGCTTTGCTTCAGACTGAACATCTGCTCTTGGGTCTGCTCTTTCCTCGTTCTCGCCCAGGCCAACTCAGGCAATTGGCAAGTAACACTGTCACAATGTGCTGCCAGACAATGGATGCTATTCCTAGGAAACAATACTCATACATGCCAAACCCTATCGAATGCCTTCTACTGCCATTACGCTCGATTGTTTTGCCATCTGACACCTTTGATTTGCCTCTCAAGCTACGCACAGTAGCAGTTTCCTATCTATATGAGTACCATCCACAGGGTCACTATTTGGCACCAATACCAGTTTCTTCCTTTCCCCTGGATATCCGTCGTAGTGTCAGAAAATATATTCAAGCAGTGAATCAAATTCATTGTCAACTGGAGCCATTCTTTGGTCAATGCCTTATTCGTACTTCATTAGACTTATACAATCCTGTGCATATTCCTGCAATCCAGCGGTCTCTTGGTTTCTTTTCTTTTGTGCGTATGTTGAAACTGCCTTTTGACAATGAAAACTTCATTGCCCTCAAGAATGGTGGCTATACTTTCCGTAAGGTCATCACGCAAGCTGACTTGTCTGATATCATTGCCCGGCAAGAAGTTTCTTCTGCTGCTTGGAAGTACTTTTGGTGTATACCTATCACAACATTGCAGAGAAATGTGATGTATCAATTTCTGACTCGCAAGATTCCCACTCGCTTATTTCTATCCAAGATTTTTCCTGCTCGCTTCCCTACTGCTGCCTGCATTTTGTGTGGTGATCAGGAGACTGTGTACCATTTCTTCTTTCGCTGCCCCCAAAAATTTCCGTTCTGGGATGCCTTGATCAGGGAATTTCTATGGCCAGGCACCTCTCTGGATCTAGTCTCTGATGCACTTGCATCCTTCAATTTTTCTCGGATTCGGTCTCAAACCAACTGTCCTCTTTCAGTAGCCATGGTAACCTTGATCGGTCTCTCTGAGATCTGGAAGGCCCATTGGGCCCATACCATGCAGAACCAACCATTCCATTATCTCTCTGTTCTTCACAGCGCTCGCTATCAAATTAAGCGTATAGCTGCTGAAAATGACCTTTCATCTTGAGAGGTCTTTTCTCGCAGTAGCTGCTCTTTTTTTTTCTTGATTTCTTTGTTTTTTGAAATTGTAGTACCCTTTTTGTTTCTTTTAATCCTCTTATAATAAATAATTGTCGAGCACCTCTTTTAGTGGGTCCCTCTCGAGACCACTAATACGTGCGGCAAATAAAATCATTAAAAAAAAAAAAGTGGCCAAAGGTATCGGGCTATGGAGGGGTTCACTGGAGTCAATCATAAAATAATCCATTGTAGCGAAAATGACCTTCCAAATGGACAAATTTTTGTCGTAAACCCGGCTCTTACGGTAGTATGGAGTAAGTAGTGGTAGCAGCGGGTATTCTGAGGAATTTTGAAACAAAGAGAGGTGTTGAAACATATACGGTAGAACGAAAGAGCGGTAGCTAATAGGGTCAATGATATAGTTCAACCAGCGTTTCTGAAGTATTCGATGTTGGAGTCTTGGATCAAGGACTTTGAGGCCGCCAAAGGTATGTGGCAGGAACATGATGTCGCGTTTCAACTTGGGAGACTTCTTTTGCCAGATGAACTGATACATTATCTTTTTAAGTTCAGAGAAGAATCGTGCAGTAGGTCGCAAAAGCCGTAGAGTGTACCATACTTTGGATAGTATAAGGATATTCAGTATCGTGACGCGGCTAAGAATAGAGAGCTGTCGTTGTGAGTATATAATACATTGCTGTTGAACTTTGAGCAGTAGGTTATCCTCGACTACCTTCCGTTGTTTAGTGTTATAAGGCAAATAGAATCCAAGATACCGGAAGGGTTGGAGCGAACCTTGATGATGAAAAGTGCGAATGTTCATAGCATGGAAGGGCTGATCCCACGAGGAATCCCAAGGACCTTTGTGATGATCTGACATTAAATAAGTCTTCAATTACATACTAAAATATATCATAATCAATTTACACCAGAAATAGACATAAAAGAACCTCTTGTACTGAATAAGACAATGTATCTTTTAATAGATCAAGACTTATAACCGAAATCCATAATTTATATTATTTAATTAATTTAAAGTAGTCTATGATAATAGAGACTCAGTCATTTGCATGAACTCTACTACTACTTACTCCGACATCTCTTCATGTATAAATATGCTAGAATAATTTATAATCAAAAAGAACAACAATAAAATTGTATAGAACAGTCTCAAAGTATCTACCTTTGTCTCTCTATCATCTTATTATATAGCTCTATTATCAAAATATCACAGCTGGGTAAGCAAAATGGGTAAGCAAATGGGTAAGCTGGGTAAGCAAATGGGTAAGCTTGGTAAGCAGAATGGGTAAGCAAATGGGTAAGCTGGGTAAGCAAAATGGGTAAGCTGGGTAAGCTGGGAAAGTGATGATGGTTACACTACTTTTTTTTTGGTGTTTTTTGGTGTTTTTTTTTTTGATTGAGTTTTGTGGTATATTCTATATACTAACTATAAATCGAGCAAAAATAATTTTAAATCCTTAGGCTGCAATACTTAACCAGCACTGTCAGCAAGATATTCATATATTTCAGACAGGCTGTTAATTTGACCTTAGCAGTCATAGTAAAAAAAATCTCTCTTAATGAATTCAGACTCCACGAAAAGTATTAATTACTTGATTCGTGATAGAATAGTGGACTCCTTCTTCTGTTTTGAATACTCAATAAAGAACCTAACGTTGTCTCATCGACTTGCAAGTTTTTATTGTTATTATTATTCACTAACCTATAGTCCACAAGTTTTTCCCTATTTCTTTCTTTTTTAATTGATTTAGTTGTAATTCGTCTTCAATTCTATTTCATTTCATTTCATTTCATTCTGCGTTCCATGTCAATGTCGTTGGAAACACAAAATTCAATGCCCCAACTGGTTGCTATAATCGACACATGTTTTGTTTGCTCAGAAACCCACAGCACTGTACAAAAATTACAGGATCATCTTTTGAACCACCAAATCAAAGCGAAAAAACGACCAAAAAATGTTAAACGACCAAAGGATAGCAGTGTTTGCATTGTACAGAGCGACGATGATCATCAGCAGATTGAAAAACACTTTGGCGGCTCTTCATGCTTTGAACATTTCAAGGAGTTGAAACAATTAGAGAATCATTTTCGTAAACATCATTCTGAATGCATGCCTCAACTACCAACGCAACAAACAAATGAAACTGAAGAGTCACAGCCAGAAGTAGATAGTGATGACGAATCTCAAGCATACGGAAAACGAAGTGCGTCGGAAAGTTTAAGCTTGGATTCGAAAGCAGAATTAATGAACCCATCATGTCTCTCTTTTGTTCTTCCATCCGCCGATGATCGTCTCGTTATTGATTGTTTTGATGTCTCAGCTGCATTTTATAACTTTCAGCAGTCAATTTTGACTCACAAATGGAAACTCTCTCTTGAGGATCATATTCATTGTGCCATGGCTTCAACTTCAATCTTACTCTTAGCACCCAATCGATACCCAGCTGACTTATTACCATTTTTTGACGAGCAACAAATTAACTCAACAATTGGTCATATTGAATTAAAGTATGATTTGAAGAAGCCAACAATGGACGTTGATTTGGTAACGAAAGCGGTAAAGATATTGCAAGATGTGATCTCGAGAACGATATCAAGGGAAACAGCTGAGATTAACTTGTTGACATTAGAAGCTGGTGAAAAAGAGCACAAATTTCTCAAAGCGATTGCGGCGTTGGTGAAGAAATTGCCTAGAGTATCAATTCAAGAAGAAGTAAAGGAATTGGAGCTTTGTTCCCGTTTTGTTGATCCCTTTTTATGCGAGTTATTCGACGATCCAGATGCTGGAACTTTTTTCAGGTGGACAAATGAATTGACAGTTGAATCAAAAAAGAACCAAAGTTCGTTAAACTGGAGACCAGACATCGCCATAACAAGACTACAGGGTTTTAGGTGGAGGTACAATCTTGGTTTTGGTGAGGCGAAGCCAGCTCAGCCAGATTCCAACCACTTTGCGATTTGTAAAGATCTTTTACGTGTGGGTGTTTTCTGTAAAAACTCAATTGATTCACAGAACATGGATGGTGTGATGGGGTTACAAATTGTTGGAAGAACCATAACATAAAACGTTATGGTTTTACCTGCCACTGGCATCTACGGAATGTATGAATTAGGGGAAATTCAAGTACCCAGTTCCGTAGCCGATATCCCAAAGCTCTTAATGGATATGGCTACGGTTTCATACATTCTTGATGTCTTTGGCAGGGTATGCGTTCCTGCAGTCACTCCCATCACTACAAAACAAACGCCAGCAACCATTAGTGATGAGATTTTGACCCAAATTTTCTCAAGTACTCAAAGTAGAAAACGCCCCTGTCACTTGAAACATCACTATAATTAGTATAGAAATAAATATGTACGATACCATTTTTTTTCTATAAATAGTCTTTTGTATTTTTTAAAGTGTCATTAAGTAAAAACTTACCACTTTTGGTAGTTCTTCATCATCAAAGAAAAATTAATTGCTGAATGGATCAATGGAAAAAAATTATTAGCAGTAGAAAAAAAAACCAAAGGAGTTTTTTATTTATTTATTATCTTATTTATAACCTTTCCATGTTGCGACATTTTGGAAATTGTCTTTGGGAATGTCGAATCCAACATCTACAGTTTTTTGCTGTAACTGTTTTTGCTGCTTCTTCAATTCTATCAGCAATCATTTCGTTCTTTCCAAGTGGAGTTTTGCGAACTACTAACTTGATTTTTGCCCAGCATTCTTCAATAGGATTCAGCATTGGTGAATAGGGGGGTAAAAGTAAAGCATAATGTCCACTATCCCTTATTGCTTTTAGGACTTCTGGTGTTCTGTGAATGGAGGCGTTGTCCATCACTATGTACATATTCTTTAATCCAATCTTGTTCAAAACAGAAATGATCTCTTCTACAAACAACACAAAGTGTGACGAATTAGTTCCATGAGGCAAGGCTCTTTTTGTACCAAGGGGAGTTTTTTGTTTCTTTCTACTTGATTTTGGAACTTGTTGCGAAAGAGCAATCAAGCCATAGGCTGACATTCAACCCAGGATACTCAGATTAGTTCCTTCTGCTTCTACATCCACTTCTGCAGGCTCACCTTTCTTAGACCACGCCACAGGACGTACCATGTTTTTCTTGAACCCATTTTCATTCACGAAAATGCATCTTTTTTTGTAAAAGTTCTCTTCATTCATTACATCGATATCTGTCGTAACGAAAAGAAGATTCAAGCCAACTCCAAAACCAAGGCGGTCACGTGACATCTCGAAGGTACAAGAAGGTTCTGGAAAGTAAAATGCTAGAAGGTTCTAGACAGCAAGTCACTTGATTACTAATCTCCGATTAGTAATCATGGTTCCGGAACTTTCCACAACTTTCTTATTTTCTTTATAGAATTATCCATAGTACTTAGTAGAAAAGTATAAATATAAGTTATCATCGTTATTCAATAAAGGAATCAATTAATTATCTCTTTACTCTTAATTAGTATTACTTAATACTATTAGTTGTTATAATATCAAGACGACATATCTTCAATAAATTGTCTACGTTGTTCAAGCGTATCATCAGAATTTCTATTTACAGACCTTGCTTGTGTACGAGTCAAAGTAAACTCAAGCTTTTCAGTAATGTGACGATATACAGTGGACTCGTTAATTGTTAAGCCTTGAAAAGTCTCACAAAGGGATTCTGTAGCATCTTTCACAATACATGTTGGATGCTTTTCAATAAATGCATGTAAATATTGTGAATGTTCCTCTGTCAATTTCACGGTATTTCCTTTACGTTTAACTTCAGAGGCTGGTTTGTAACCAGGTAAGATTGTTCCACCATTTTTTTTCCATTGATCTTTGAACTTATAAGCAGCTTTTAATCCAATGCCAGCTTCCTTTGCAGCTTTGGAAACCTTTAAATTTTTGTTTTGCAACAGAGAAATAAATTGAGCAACATCTTTTGGTTTATACTTAGTTGGTGTCCAAATCATACTAGGTAGAGGCGTTGCCTCTAAATCAATTTCTTCCATACCCACTGCTGTATTAAAATGACTATCATCTTCATCCTCGGACGAAGACTCATCCTCTGGAATACCTTCCATCTGGTACAACGACTTAATAGCCGCTCCATCTTGTTTTGGCTGGTATTCAGGTTCTTCGTCACAAGCGAACTCGCCAGAGGGTAGATAATGGTAGAATCTGGTTGTGGTGTACATTGCAAGTAATAATAAATAGGTTAATTTTATAAAAAGTATAAGAATGTGCAGAGTATTTATATCATTAAGAAAACACCTCAGCCAAAATGCCAAGACTCGTTACACCAGATTTGGAAAAGCTCTCAGGAAATGTATGCGACTCTAACTCTTGAGATATTTATTTCTGTATTAACCCACTGGTTTACAGTAATTCTACTGTTGGTTTTTTTTTCTACTGCTAATAATTTTTTTCTATTGATCTCAAGAAACTCTATTGTTAAAAAAAAATATCTATTGCACAGTAAAAATTTCTATTGCACAGTAAAAATTTCTATTGCTCAAATAAAATTTTCTATTGGTTAAGAAAAATTTCTCTATTTTTATTTTCCAAAAATTCTATTTTCAAACGCAATTCACTGTATCGAGACATCTATCCCAATAAGTTTCAACATGTCGTACCCATCCCTTACAGTCTTCTGTAGTGACTGTAGCGATGGCCTCAGCGATACGTGAAGTAAGAGTATCTGCTTTATCAAGAGGATTTCTACGTATATGTTTTTTGATTTTGTGCTTTTTTTATTGACACAAGCTCCATTTCTTCAGTGAGATCATTCACAGCTTCCTCCATTTCCACCTCTTGAGCTTGCTTCATTCCATCATAATCGAGAATCATTTCTATTGCACCATACTCCATGGCAACTATTTCTAATTCTATGTCATCGTCACTATCTTCAGACATATAATTATCGGCAGTAGGTTAGTAATGTATGAAATCCATGGTTTATGACGAGATTAATGAACTTTCAGTGAAACTAATCTAACTCAGGAACTAATTACGTCTAAAATAAAAAATGAGTAGGTCCGAAAGTGAAGTGGGTTAGTCTGAAATTGGAAGTGTAAAATGTCTGAAATTTAATTTGATTTCGTGTGATATAATCACTAATAAAATGGTCAAATCAATAAGTCGATTAGAACCAAAACGGCCAAAAGAAGTCTGCTTTATTAAAGGTTATATTTTGTATTGTATTTATACTGTTTGTATGATAATTGATTATCCTTGATTTGGGACTGAGTGTGTATACACTAGCTAATCGGTTGAATGGATTAAGGTACACAAGAACTGGGTACATGATCAGGGCACAGACCTCGTCTACCATTGGTATTGATGCAGATGTCAATTTGTGATTATGTGATGGTCTGATCTTTAACATGTTTAAACTAAGATGGAAGACATCCATCGAAGCTGCGGATAAAACTGTGATTGAAAGATATATTTATACATGATATTAATACTTGCTCTTTTAAGGCATAACTAGTGTAAGAAGGGATGAATAATGCTGTGTATACAACACTAGTGACCGAATCCGACGTCTCTTACCTGGATTCAGCATACTCTGACCACGCTTTAATTAGTAGTAGCTTCAATTTCGGGCCGTCTAAAATGGGACCTGGACTCTTCAGGGGGAATCCGGGCTACGCCAATAATCCAAAGTTCCAACAACAACTGGCAAAAGCAATTGTGGTGATCTGAGCACTTTCAATACAAAATATAATAAATAATCTTTCATCATATAAATGAATAATCACTTATAGCACTATACATCATAAATATAAGGTAAGCATTGTATAATGACAGTAAATAACGATAACTGGGATAATATGTATATTTACAAATAAGGAAACCATGATTATACCTTTTAGGTAACAAGGAGAATTAAAGGAAAATTTACATAATCAATTCCCAGGCACACGCTGTCAAGGTGTTAAGTAATCAATAATCAGTAATCATAATTAGTCAATAAATCAGGTAGTATAAAAGACAACCTGGAAAAGATACATTTTAGACAACAATCAATTTATTTTTGTAATAAAGAAGTACTGAACAGTCTCACTGTATTTCTTTGTTTTCTTTCTATCTTCTATTATATCTTCATTCACAACCCAAACATCACAATCGCAAGAGTAACACGTAATACTAGCGAGAGCTTTAGGACAAGCATATTTCGTGTGTCCTTCAGCATGACAGTATCTGCACCAAGTGGGCATGTCGGGGAACGTAGCATGGCAAAAATAGCCTCCCTCTTCCCATGTTAAAGTATGAGATAACTGTGGGTAACTCTTTTCAGGAGTCTGTTGAATCAATGCATATCCGGCACCCATGAACACTCGCCATGTTGCATCATATTTAAGACCGACGTCTAGAACCGTGCCGTAATGTTGTAAAGTTTGGGTGAGTCCGCTGAGTATATCGTCTTTGGGCAAAAAGGGAATGTCGGACAAATTTAATTGTATCACTTTGCCCTCACCTTCCAATGCCTTACATGGTAAGAGCCTAATATTGGCTTCTTCGTAAACAATGCCGTTCTGACAAAATTGTTTCTCGATCTCAGGAACAGGATTAATTTCAATATAACGACCGTTATTACGGCTGCCGAGCGCTTTGATTCCATAAAAATCGTCGGGACTAAAGGACGTTTTAAGTATCTGGTCAAAATGTTGAGCATCGGTGAGATGAGAAATCTTTGAGATGTCCAAAAAGTAAGCATTAGGTGCCAAGGAATGGCGCCAAATTCTTGTTTGAATTTCAGTCGGTTTATTGGTGGATACTGCGGTTGCTACAGTGGCTACTGGATTCATAAGAGAGTGCTGGGTAGTCGGTCGACGAGACAAAGGTATGGCTCGCTTAGCAATAGCAGCAAAGGTTGGTTTGGTGGTTGGATTTGGCTGGTTAGTGGACTCCGCCCTGGAGTGTAACGTATCGTTATCGGGAAGAACCATGAGTCTAGGAATTATAAGAGCAGAGGCTACAGTATTTTTACTTGGTTTTCGGACCTTTTCAAATAAATTTAGGACGTTCTCAAATTTTTATTGGACGAAATCAAATTAAATTTCAGACATTTTACACTTCCAATTTCAGACTAACCCACTTCACTTTCGGACCTACTCATTTTTTATTTTAGACGTAATTAGTTCCTGAGTTAGATTAGTTTCACTGAAAGTTCATTAATCTCGTCATAAACCATGGATTTCATACATTACTAACCTACTGCCGATAATTATATGTCTGAAGATAGTGACGATGACATAGAATTAGAAATAGTTGCCATGGAGTATGGTGCAATAGAAATGATTCTCGATTATGATGGAATGAAGCAAGCTCAAGAGGTGGAAATGGAGGAAGCTGTGAATGATCTCACTGAAGAAATGGAGCTTGTGTCAATAAAAAAAGCACAAAATCAAAAAACATATACGTAGAAATCCTCTTGATAAAGCAGATACTCTTACTTCACGTATCGCTGAGGCCATCGCTACAGTCACTACAGAAGACTGTAAGGGATGGGTACGACATGTTGAAACTTATTGGGATAGATGTCTCGATACAGTGAATTGCGTTTGAAAATAGAATTTTTGGAAAATAAAAATAGAGAAATTTTTCTTAACCAATAGAAAATTTTATTTGAGCAATAGAAATTTTTACTGTGCAATAGAAATTTTTACTGTGCAATAGATATTTTTTTTTAACAATAGAGTTTCTTGAGATCAATAGAAAAAAATTATTAGCAGTAGAAAAAAAAACCAACAGTAGAATTACTGTAAACCAGTGGGTTAATACAGAAATAAATATCTCAAGAGTTAGAGTCGCATACATTTCCTGAGAGCTTTTCCAAATCTGGTGTAACGAGTCTTGGCATTTTGGCTGAGGTGTTTTCTTAATGATATAAATACTCTGCACATTCTTATACTTTTTATAAAATTAACCTATTTATTATTACTTGCAATGTACACCACAACCAGATTCTACCATTATCTACCCTCTGGCGAGTTCGCTTGTGACGAAGAACCTGAATACCAGCCAAAACAAGATGGAGCGGCTATTAAGTCGTTGTACCAGATGGAAGGTATTCCAGAGGATGAGTCTTCGTCCGAGGATGAAGATGATAGTCATTTTAATACAGCAGTGGGTATGGAAGAAATTGATTTAGAGGCAACGCCTCTACCTAGTATGATTTGGACACCAACTAAGTATAAACCAAAAGATGTTGCTCAATTTATTTCTCTGTTGCAAAACAAAAATTTAAAGGTTTCCAAAGCTGCAAAGGAAGCTGGTGTTGTGATGTAAGAGAGAAGATAAAAACAAAAAAGTCGATTAGAACTTGTATAGGTTTATTATCCAAAAATATATCTCTTCCTATATCTAGCTCTTCATTCTCTAGGTATTTATATATGAAGAGATGTCGGAGTAAGTAGTAGTAGAGTTCATGCAAATGACTGAGTCTCTATTATCATAGACTACTTTAAATTAATTAAATAATGTAAATTATGGACTTCGGTTATACGTCTTGATCTATTAAAAGATACATTGTCTTATTTAGTACAAGAGGTTCTTTTATGTCTATTTCTGATGTAAATTGATTATGATATATTTTAGTATGTAAATGAAGACTTATTTAGTGTCAGATCATCATATGCATATAGATTCTATATGTTCACAACATTACCCTCCACCAGAGTCAATCTATCTTTGATAGTTGTAGTCGGCTCTTTAAAAGGTGAACATATCAATTCATGCGCATAATTATCATTTATGTCAGCATTTACAAGTTGACTGTAACATATGTAATGCAATTGTGTACAGAGTCTAGCGTGATATGTTTTCTAATCGTAAGGAAATTTTATCTTTCTTCTCTTATCATTTCACAAGTTATTTTCTTAGTCTTTTACTAGCTCTTGTTACAACAGATGCTTCTTCTCTACTTTGTCTGGTAGGAAGAGCCCTCTTGCTTATTTCTGTCTTCTTATTTACACTCTTATTATTTTTTATAGATGCAGATATGTCCTTAATTTTGGCATTTGTTCTTTCTTGCTCTAGTTGTTTGATCTTTTCAATTTTAGTCCAGTAACGATCAATAATGGTTGGGTCAGTGAAACTGGAGGCAGGTTCCCAAGTGTTGGCCTTCTCTCCGAATCCAGCCCATTTAACAAAGAACTGTCTGTTACCTGGTGGACCTCTGTGATCACGAATATCTTCTACTACAAAGTATTCGTCCTCAATAGCTGATTCATCGATTGTCACGATTTTCAACTCCGAAGGTGCGTAGTTGCGATGCAATAATTCATTTTGCTCGTCTTTTAATTCATATGAGCCACCTTTGTTTCTTCTTACAACAGTATAGGGGCCTTCATATAATGGAGACAGTTTACTCGGTCTCTTTTGCAGTCTTACCATAACATATGTTCCGGGTTCAATATCGACAAGCATATTCTTCGTATCAAACCTCTTTGTGTGCTCCTCATTTATCTTTTGAGTTCTTTCAAAGATAGCGGGAAAGACAATCTTCTCCATGTGATCAATGCGCTGCTCAAGATCATCGCGCGTCATCATATCTCTAGGAAGTGGATATTTGTTCTTTTCTTCATAGTTTTTAGGTAAGCCAACTTTGCGTGCAAACATCAATGAGAAGGGTGAACTCAACGTCTTATTCTTGATAGCGTTGTTGATAGAAAGCTGGACTACTGGTAAGTAATAATCCCAGTCTTTACTATTCGATTGACACATCTTTCTCAGTGTGTTTTCAACAATTTTTACACTAGCTTCAGCACTTCCATTTCCTCTAGGATGATAGGGAGTGGAGTATCTGCGATCAATGCCGAGCTTTTTTGAAATAGTTTCAAGTAACAAGTTATGGTATGCTCTGCCATTGTCGGATTGTAGAATACGAGGAAATCCATAGTCTCCAAAGATCTGCATAAGTGTATTGGCAATGGTATCTGATTGTTGATTCTTGAGCGCTCTGACGACGATGTATTTCGAACAGATGTCAGTCAAGACCAAGATTTCAGTATTTCCAGTTCCAGTGACAGGTAGAGGACCTAACGAGTCAACAGATACATGATCAAATGGTCGCAATGCAACAATGCTTGTCAAAGGATGGTAACCTCTTTTAGAAATGTTATGCTTCTGGCACTCAGTACATGAGCTTACTAATTCCTTGGCTTCTTGATACATATTTGTCCAATGAAGTCCTTGAGAGTGCAGTTCACGAACAATAGCATGACTGCCAAAGTGTCCAAAAGTGTGCACATCACGCAAGAGCTTTTCTCTTTCAGTCTCAGGCGGTGTGAAGTAATCTAATGATTTCTTAGTCTGCTCAACAAGTTGTGTGGTAAGAACATGCAGGTTTTTGTCTCTGCTATATTTCTTCCTACGAATAGTCACTCGTTTTATTCTGGCAGCTTGTTCATTTCGTTTTTGACTGTCAGTGCTACCCTCCACCAGTTTGTGATTACCATCGAAATTATCGAGAGGGGAATACAAACGACTCAACAAATCTGGCAGTTTAAGAAGGATACCAGGAATATGCACAGCGTCAAAGTCATAAGTCAGAATTTCTTCTACCAATTCAACATCATATTGTTGCAATCTCGTTGAGTATGCATATAAATCAATGCTTTGTGATCTGTGTGCAATGTAAATCTGCGTCCCCAAATATATTGATGGAAGCGACGAAAAGCCATCAGAACACCATATAACTCACGATGAGTAGCACTCCATCTGCGTTGTGAGGGTGATAGAGCATTGGACACAAAACTAATATATTTGTCTCTACCCTTATCATCTCTCTGAAATAATACAGCGGATATACCATACTGAGAAGCATCAGAGGCAACAAAGAATTCTTTGGTGAAATCAGGATAATGCAAAAGCATATTTGAGTGTAAGATGGCTTTCAAGGCATTAAAGCTCTTAGTTTGCTCATCAGACCACAGCTCTTCTACGTTCTTTGCATGGCTCAATCTAGTCAAAGGCTCAGCAACAGTAGAGATCATCGGTACAAATTCTCTAAAATAATTGATTAACCCCATGAACTGTTGAATGTGTTTCGCTGTCTTTGGTACTGGCCATGATTCAACGTTAGTGAGTTTGGCTTTATCAACCATAATCCCATCTGCATTGACCACAAATCCAAGCATCCTAACTGACTGCTGAAACCAAACACATTTCTTTGGATTCAAAATCAATTTGGCTTGTATCAATCTGTCTATCACCATTTTGACATCTTTGGCATGTTGCTCGGGTGTTTCACTGGCCACGATACAATCATCAACAAAAGATTGAACGCAATCCATACCCTCAAACAAAATGGCCATAACCTTACAGAATTGAGAAGTTAGGCTCTTTAGTCCAAAGCATCCCTTGATGAAGCAGTATTGCTGTCCTTATGAGAAAATGTTAATTTATGCGCATCTGGAGGATGGATTTTAAAGCGATGATATGCATTAGAGAGATCAAGAGTTGAGAAAATCTTCTTGCCTCTTAAGTTTTCAAAAATGTTTCTCACCAGTGGCACTTCAAAGTTATATGTTGGTGGTAAGATCTTATTTAAAAGTCTAACATCCAAACAAGCTCGATGGCTGACAATTTCACCCTGTTTGTTCTTTTTAGGTACAAGTAACACCGGGCTATTAAAAGAAGTATTGACACCACACTTCTCTATTGTTTTTGTTCTAAGCCATTCATTTATCTGTTCATCTAGGACAGGCCTCAATGTATGCGGGATGCTGTACTGACGACGATAAGCGGTTGCTCCTTCAGGTGTGGGCAACTTGATAATGGATTCTGGAATAGGACAAAATGACTCTACTGGTATCTTTTGATTTTCATCAATAGCATCTTGGATGGAAGCCATAAACTGTGCAACCTCCTCAGTAGATCCAGCAGGTGAATTATCAGGTTCAGGTGTATCAGTTGTTACGATGTTTGCATTAGAAAAGATAGAGTCTTTATCATTTGGATCAGCACTATCATTTTCTAAATTGTATGCAACACCTGTAAGTGCAATACCCAATTTACCCATAATGTCCGTACCAAGAAGAATGTCAAAGTCAAAGCTATCATTAAAATCTATGACTTCCAATTGGTGTCTGAATGAAATTCCATTTGTATATTTTATAGTCAAAGGATCTGTAATACCAATACGAGAAATTTTATTGTCTTTAGACAAGCAATTAAAGAAACCACTAATATTTTTGTTTATTTTGCTTATATTTAATTTAGCTCTAAGCGAGTCTAACTTTATAAAAGTATGTGTGCTTCCGGTATCAACCTTTGCCATCATCTTGTGGTTTTCTATAATGATAGGTGTCAATAAGTCAAAAGTGTCTTTATGTAAAGCATCTTTCGCTTTGATCTCGTTTGTGTACTTACAGTCAAAGCAATCGTCTGTGATCATCTCTTCGATGTCATCATCCGTCTTTTCTTTTTGCTTGTCCTCTGTGCGTTCGCTCATTGAACTCGACGCCAGGGCAAGGATATGATTTCTTGTGCAACGGTGACCCGGTCTCCACTGTTCACCACAAGACCGACAGGGATTATCCTTGGATTTTCCGAAGATTTCTTGCGCCTTCTCTTTTCCCTTGTTCTTGTTTTTGTTAATGGTATAACAATTCTCAGTGCCATGGGTGGGATTGGAGCCGTGCATCTTGCAAAAGTAGGTCTTATTAGTCTTGCTGTACGGTGTGCTTCTTTCTATTTGCTTCTTCTTCTGAAGACGACTTCTTCTTTCACTATCCCTTGAGCCACTAGTAGACGAAGACAGAGAAGAGCCAGCACCACCAGAGAACATAGCAGTAGTGGAGCCATAGTTGACCACATCATCACCTAGTATATCCCGAGCAATATCAGCAATGTTTTCCACCGTCCACGAGTTATTTTCCTCCTCTTGCTTGCCCAGTACATTCATACATGCAAGACGAGTGAGAGCCTGTACCGGTGCTGTAAGAGAAGCCAAAAATCTGTCTGCCACACGAGGATCATCCTTGGGGATACCAGCATTATACACTGTTTGCATAAACCTATTAGTATAACCTCCAATGGATTCATTGGTACGCATAGTCATAGTGAACACCTGTGTATTGTATTCCCTGGCCTTGAACTTGGACCCAAAGTGTTTCTTGAATGCTTGCCGAGCTTCAGACCATGAGTTACAATTCTTGAGGTTGGTTTGCGCCCACGCATCGTCGCCATATGGTAAGCAGAGCAGGATATATCGCTTCCAGACCGTTTCTATGTCTTGTGATGATGAATAGACTACATTTTCAAAAGTTCGCAGAAAATGCTCATCAGATTCAAAGGCTTCTTCTCCTGGGAAAGGTTTGTGCGAGTTTGATAGTAACTGGTACTTGGGTAGGTCTCTTCGGCTTAGTGATAGTCCGCCTGTCAATCTTGAGGTAGCATTTACCTTGACATCAGAGTGATTGACCCAAGGTGTGCCTTCAATGTTTCCCAACATAGATCTGTACTCATCAATGCATTTGATGCTTGACTTGATTTGTTCTATGTTCTTGAGAGCCTTGTCAGTGCCTTCAGTATCACCCGCAGATCTTGCAACACCAAAAGCACGCAGAGCCTCCACCATTTGACTACGTAGCAACGTCAAGTTATCTTCAATCATTCCACGCTCTTGCACAGCAGAAGTACCGTCTATGCCAGACGTGACCAGATTATCGAGATCAAACTCTAGCTGCTCATCCATCTGACTATCTTGATTGTTGACCAAGCTAGGAGCGGATAAAGGAGAAGACCCATCCATGAAGGATTGACCAGAAGAACCAGTTGAGTTATTTGAGTTTATAGGAGTATTGACCATGATAAACAACCAAGCAATTAATCGAAAAAAATGTTGTGATGTAAGAGAGAAGATAAAAACAAAGAAGTCGATTAGAACTTGTATAGGTTTATTATCCAAAAATATATATCTTCTATATCTAGCTCTTCATTCTCTAGGTATTTATATATGAAGAGATGTCGGAGTAAGTAGTAGTAGAGTTCATGCAAATGACTGAGTCTCTATTATCATAGACTACTTTAAATTAATTAAATAATGTAAATTATGGACTTCGGTTATACGTCTTGATCTATTAAAAGATACATTGTCTTATTTAGTACAAGAGGTTCTTTTATGTCTATTTCTGATGTAAATTGATTATGATATATTTTAGTATGTAAATGAAGACTTATTTAGTGTCAGATCATCATATGCATATAGATTCTATATGTTCACAACAGCTGGCATTGGATTAAAAGCTGCTTATAAGTTCAAAGATCAATGGAAAAAAAATGGTGGAACAATCTTACCTGGTTACAAACCAGCCTCTGAAGTTAAACGTAAAGGAAATACCGTGAAATTGACAGAGGAACATTCACAATATTTACATGCATTTATTGAAAAGCATCCAACATGTATTGTGAAAGATGCTACAGAATCCCTTTGTGAGACTTTTCAAGGCTTAACAATTAACGAGTCCACTGTATATCGTCACATTACTGAAAAGCTTGAGTTTACTTTGACTCGTACACAAGCAAGGTCTGTAAATAGAAATTCTGATGATACGCTTGAACAACGTAGACAATTTATTGAAGATATGTCGTCTTGATATTATAACAACTAATAGTATTAAGTAATACTAATTAAGAGTAAAGAGATAATTAATTGATTCCTTTATTGAATAACGATGATAACTTATATTTATACTTTTCTACTAAGTACTATGGATAATTCTATAAAGAAAATAAGAAAGTTGTGGAAAGTTCCGGAACCATGATTACTAATCGGAGATTAGTAATCAAGTGACTTGCTGTCTAGAACCTTCTAGCATTTTACTTTCCAGAACCTTCTTGTACCTTCGAGATGTCACGTGACCGCCTTGGTTTTGGAGTTGGCTTGAATCTTCTTTTCGTTACGACAGATATCGATGTAATGAATGAAGAGAACTTTTACAAAAAAAGATGCATTTTCGTGAATGAAAATGGGTTCAAGAAAAACATGGTACGTCCTGTGGCGTGGTCTAAGAAAGGTGAGCCTGCAGAAGTGGATGTAGAAGCAGAAGGAACTAATCTGAGTATCCTGGGTTGAATGTCAGCCTATGGCTTGATTGCTCTTTCGCAACAAGTTCCAAAATCAAGTAGAAAGAAACAAAAAACTCCCCTTGGTACAAAAAGAGCCTTGCCTCATGGAACTAATTCGTCACACTTTGTGTTGTTTGTAGAAGAGATCATTTCTGTTTTGAACAAGATTGGATTAAAGAATATGTACATAGTGATGGACAACGCCTCCATTCACAGAACACCAGAAGTCCTAAAAGCAATAAGGGATAGTGGACATTATGCTTTACTTTTACCCCCCTATTCACCAATGCTGAATCCTATTGAAGAATGCTGGGCAAAAATCAAGTTAGTAGTTCGCAAAACTCCACTTGGAAAGAACGAAATGATTGCTGATAGAATTGAAGAAGCAGCAAAAACAGTTACAGCAAAAAACTGTAGATGTTGGATTCGACATTCCCAAAGACAATTTCCAAAATGTCGCAACATGGAAAGGTTATAAATAAGATAATAAATAAATAAAAAACTCCTTTGGTTTTTTTTTCTACTGCTAATAATTTTTTTCCATTGATCCATTCAGCAATTAATTTTTCTTTGATGATGAAGAACTACCAAAAGTGGTAAGTTTTTACTTAATGACACTTTAAAAAATACAAAAGACTATTTATAGAAAAAAAATGGTATCGTACATATTTATTTCTATACTAATTATAGTGATGTTTCAAGTGACAGGGGCGTTTTCTACTTTGAGTACTTGAGAAAATTTGGGTCAAAATCTCATCACTAATGGTTGCTGGCGTTTGTTTTGTAGTGATGGGAGTGACTGCAGGAACGCATACCCTGCCAAAGACATCAAGAATGTATGAAACCGTAGCCATATCCATTAAGAGCTTTGGGATATCGGCTACGGAACTGGGTACTTGAATTTCCCCTAATTCATACATTCCGTAGATGCCAGTGGCAGGTAAAACCATAACGTTTTATGTTATGGTTCTTCCAACAATTTGTAACCCCATCACACCATCCATGTTCTGTGAATCAATTGAGTTTTTACAGAAAACACCCACACGTAAAAGATCTTTACAAATCGCAAAGTGGTTGGAATCTGGCTGAGCTGGCTTCGCCTCACCAAAACCAAGATTGTACCTCCACCTAAAACCCTGTAGTCTTGTTATGGCGATGTCTGGTCTCCAGTTTAACGAACTTTGGTTCTTTTTTGATTCAACTGTCAATTCATTTGTCCACCTGAAAAAAGTTCCAGCATCTGGATCGTCGAATAACTCGCATAAAAAGGGATCAACAAAACGGGAACAAAGCTCCAATTCCTTTACTTCTTCTTGAATTGATACTCTAGGCAATTTCTTCACCAACGCCGCAATCGCTTTGAGAAATTTGTGCTCTTTTTCACCAGCTTCTAATGTCAACAAGTTAATCTCAGCTGTTTCCCTTGATATCGTTCTCGAGATCACATCTTGCAATATCTTTACCGCTTTCGTTACCAAATCAACGTCCATTGTTGGCTTCTTCAAATCATACTTTAATTCAATATGACCAATTGTTGAGTTAATTTGTTGCTCGTCAAAAAATGGTAATAAGTCAGCTGGGTATCGATTGGGTGCTAAGAGTAAGATTGAAGTTGAAGCCATGGCACAATGAATATGATCCTCAAGAGAGAGTTTCCATTTGTGAGTCAAAATTGACTGCTGAAAGTTATAAAATGCAGCTGAGACATCAAAACAATCAATAACGAGACGATCATCGGCGGATGGAAGAACAAAAGAGAGACATGATGGGTTCATTAATTCTGCTTTCGAATCCAAGCTTAAACTTTCCGACGCACTTCGTTTTCCGTATGCTTGAGATTCGTCATCACTATCTACTTCTGGCTGTGACTCTTCAGTTTCATTTGTTTGTTGCGTTGGTAGTTGAGGCATGCATTCAGAATGATGTTTACGAAAATGATTCTCTAATTGTTTCAACTCCTTGAAATGTTCAAAGCATGAAGAGCCGCCAAAGTGTTTTTCAATCTGCTGATGATCATCGTCGCTCTGTACAATGCAAACACTGCTATCCTTTGGTCGTTTAACATTTTTTGGTCGTTTTTTCGCTTTGATTTGGTGGTTCAAAAGATGATCCTGTAATTTTTGTACAGTGCTGTGGGTTTCTGAGCAAACAAAACATGTGTCGATTATAGCAACCAGTTGGGGCATTGAATTTTGTGTTTCCAACGACATTGACATGGAACGCAGAATGAAATGAAATGAAATGAAATAGAATTGAAGACGAATTACAACTAAATCAATTAAAAAAGAAAGAAATAGGGAAAAACTTGTGGACTATAGGTTAGTGAATAATAATAACAATAAAAACTTGCAAGTCGATGAGACAACGTTAGGTTCTTTATTGAGTATTCAAAACAGAAGAAGGAGTCCACTATTCTATCACGAATCAAGTAATTAATACTTTTCGTGGAGTCTGAATTCATTAAGAGAGATTTTTTTTACTATGACTGCTAAGGTCAAATTAACAGCCTGTCTGAAATATATGAATATCTTGCTGACAGTGCTGGTTAAGTATTGCAGCCTAAGGATTTAAAATTATTTTTGCTCGATTTATAGTTAGTATATAGAATATACCACAAAACTCAATCAAAAAAAAAAACACCAAAAAACACCAAAAAAAAAGTAGTGTAACCATCATCACTTTCCCAGCTTACCCAGCTTACCCATTTTGCTTACCCAGCTTACCCATTTGCTTACCCATTCTGCTTACCAAGCTTACCCATTTGCTTACCCATTATTGTTAAAAAAAATATCTATTGCTCAATAAAAATTTCTATTTGCTCAAATAAAAAATTTTATTATTGGTCGTACCTACAATAATCTCAGTTTCCTCCGCTTCAGCTCCTAATGTGATAAATGCTCTCATAGCCACGCTTTATTTTTTATAAATATAATAATAACCAATAAAATCCCTTTCTTCCCTATATCTTTCAAAGCCGCGCGTCGTGGAACAAACTATGAGTGATATCAATAATGATGAATTCAACAACATGGAACGAGAAACCACACCCCTCTTGACAAGGGAAGACGTTGCTAATATTATCAAAGAATTTGAAAAACAAAAAGATGAACAAAGGGAAAACAGTTACAGAGGAAAAGACCTCCCAGAAAGGATCAGAGAGATTTTGGACGAGACACCAACCTCTGATCTCAAAGACGATATCAAACGTTTTAAGAGATGCATCCCTAAGTATAATCACGGCGAATGGACCAGTACTCCACAAATCAACAAGGAGTTCACCAACGACCTCAAGAGGTGGAAAGTCGACTCCCACCAAGTCGTCACAGCAACCAGTAGACATGCAGATGAAGCACGAGTCCAAGCAAGAACATCGACTGAGATCTATGAACTTTTGGAGTCTATCAAAGAGAAATATATCTTTGCTGACGAAGGAACAAAGCAAATCTTCATGGATGCTATGTCCCAAGCAGAACGTGCAGCAGTCTTTGGATTTTCCCATGCAAGAGACTTGGATCACGAAGCAAAAGAGCTTAGTGCCAAAGCGCTTAGACTACCTGCAAGTCTTAGACATTTGGAACAAGAAGAGGATGCTAGAAAATCCAACATCTTTGACACTGAATTTGTCAAAGAACTCCATGAAGCACGATTTGCACAAAGAGTACTTTCAAGCGCTGCAAACAACAACACCTACAATAACAGAGGAAGAGGATACAGTAACAGAGGCTATGGAAGAGGATCGAGACCTTTTAACAGATACCAACATGGAAATTTTCAGCCCAGAGGACGAGGTCGTGGAACATTCGGAACCTCAACAACCAATCAGCCTTCCACAAACAACTATACCGACAATACAACAAGCCAGCAATAAAAGTAACACTGTTGAATCACATGGACTTAACCAATCAGAGAGCCGAACCATCATTCACTACACCAACATCACCAGCTACCACACCACTAACAATATCATCACTAACAACACCGGAAACCACCTTATCCCAAACAACAACTTCAACACATTTAGTACCAACACAAGTACCTCTGACGCCAACACCCCAGTTAGTCAACACGACACAGGTAAACTATACGATACCAGAGGATGGTTTCTTACCAGGTGGCCGTATTACAAATTTCTTGAAAAATTGGAAAAAGATTACTTCTCATCCTTGGCCCTTACACATAGTAGAAGAAGGATACAAAATTCAGTTTATCACCAACCCAGTTCCATGGAGAACAGTGCAACATCCAGTCAACCAAGTGGAGCAACAGGAGACGAAACTAGCAGTGGAAAAAAATTTGACAGCAGGAATTATAGAGAAATGCAAGAATCCAGCATTTTCAAACCAATTCCTGTCAAAGTTCTTCACAATTCAAGAACCAACAAAGAGATGTCCAATTCTCGATTGCAAGAAATTAAGTCAATTCATTCAGGTTCAGCACTTCAAGATGGAAGGGGTACAAGCGCTGAGAGAGTTAATCGAAAAAGGAGATTTCATCGTAAAACTCGACTTAAAGGATGCATACACAGTAGTTCCCATTCATCCAACCTCCAGACCTTATCTGGCATTTCAAAACCAAGGAACAACGTACACTTATTGAGCTTTAAATTTCGGTCTAAATACAGCTCCCAGGATTTTTTCAAAGCTACTAAGGTACGCTTTAGAACCAATCAGAAGAGAAGGGATACGGCTAGTATACAGTGGTTACATTAAGTGTCCCATAAAACCTGTTTTTTTACCCTTCTCTACAAAAACTCCGTTGATCCTTCTGAAACTTGGCACATAGATTAACTAGACATTGACAATAATAATCGCACTGCTAATTACTCCTAAATGCATCCAATAACAGTGCTTCAATTTCAAAAGAGAGAAAATTTGTGTTTCACCAAAATTTATTCTTTATTTGAAATGCTCAAAATTTTGTATAACCGCCCTTTGCTTTGATGACTGCTTCTATACGTTGAGGCATGCTGCTATAGTATACCTCCATGTCACTTGCGAAATTTGTACCATTCTTTTTCGACCCTTGACCACAATTCGTCCAGATTTTTTGGTTTTGTATCATATCCGGCTAGCCTGCACTTTAACTGTTTCCAAAGATGTTCTATTGGGTTCAAGTCGGGCCTGTTAGGTGGCCAGTCAGCAATAAAGTGGGCTTTGTGGGCTTTAAGCCAAGAAATGGTAGCCTTTGCTTTGTGTTTTGGGTCGTTGTCTTGTTGAAAGATAGTTTTTTGTGGATCCATACTATAATACTCCAATGTATCTAGGTATGACGACCCTAGAATCTCCAAATAGCAATCGGTATCCATTGTCTTTTGAAGCACTCGAGAGGCATATCCTACTCCGGAAGATGTCATGCACCCCCACATCATCAGAGAGCCACCTCCATGCTTGAGCAATAGCTTGTAGTTATGGGGCCTCGCTTTAAACCCTTGCTGTAACCAAGTGTATGTTGCACCATCTGATCCCCAAAGATTGATCTTCGTCTCGTCGGTAAAAACGACACTCTTCCACTCATTTGCGGACCAGTTACGATATGTTAAGGCCCATTTGTATCTCTTCGAAAGCTAAGAAACTCTCAAAAAAAATTTCTTCTACTTAAGCTTTGAGTATAATCCTACCCTTTTCATCAGAGAGACTGTTCCACTATACGTCAAAGCAATACCCTGTCCAGACAATCAAGTTTGGACTTCTTTGACATTCTTCAATGCTCCAGTTCGGATTTTTATTCGTAGCAAACAAGCCGTAAGATGACCTACTCTTGATGGTCTACCGGTACCAGTGCAAGTTTTCATTTCTGGCAACTCTTTTCTAATACGAGAAACTGTTGATTTGGCAACAACTGTTAGTTTTGAGACCTGACGAATCGATTTGCCAGATAAAAGTGCAGATTTGACATTGTTTCGTTTATCGTATGGGAGGCTGTAAGGCATGATAATAAGGAGAAAAGGTATGTATATAGAATGAAGAAAAGAGAATTTTTTTCTGAGAAGCTTGCCGTATCTATATGTAGTTGGGTAGGTTGTGCTAGGATTTGCCGAAGAATGTGGAAAACGCACGATTGAGAATGCTTATTCGCCGAAGAAAATAAGGTATTCAAGTTTTGCAGGAAATTTTCTTGAAAACGCTACGTCATTTTTTTACCTAAGTTGTCCAAAAGTGGTATCTCTTACTAAATAGAGAAATTGAAGTAGCCAGCAAAAAAATGCGCTTTTTCTGATACTAACACAAGGTCAATACGACGAAAATATATTAATTTATGCTTATAAATGAGTTTTATGGGACACTTAATGTAACCACTGTATACGATACCTTCGAATGCAGAATTTCTCTATATTGTGCTTTCAAGAAACTCATGCTTCCACTCCTTCAACTATAGATAACCTCAACATCCTCTTTCAACCTACACAGTCCCATTGGACCAGTCATGTGGGCATACTCTCCTTCTCTACCGATTACAACATCTCTATCATCGACACTTCCTCATCCTTTACATCCGATCGATTTCAACTATGCATGGTTGAACATCCACATTATTTCTATGAACCTTTCTTTGTTCTGAACGTCTATGCACCGGCAGGCCTTGCTACAAAACGTCGAACATTCTTTAGCAATCTAACACAAATGCTCCATGATTTTCGATCAGTTATCTCTTTTGACAGACTGATTATTTCAGGAGATTTTAATTACTCAGTCCTCAGCCGCCATTATGATTCGTCTTCAACATCAACGCAATGGTTAGCTCTCTTGCAAGCAAATTTTCAAAATGCTTTGGCCATCAATGGCCTTCACGAAGTTCCCACCTTTCAACGCACCGTCTCAAGTGAATTAGTGATGACTGTCATAGACTATATATACTTGGGTAAAATTTTGTACCAATGCGCATCAGAATCATCTATTACCATATTAGGAGCGAAATGGTCAGACCATTCCATATTACACACATCCTTACTCTTGGGCCAATCCCAGTTTGATCATGGACTATGGCGTGCCAATCCAGTGTATGCTTCCCACCCTAAGCTACAAAATACATTAGAGAGGAATATACAACATTTGGTTCAGGGATTTGATGAGAATATATCGCCCCAAGAAAAATGGGATGAAGTAAAACACAAAGCCAAGTCAATCATTAGAGGATATTCAGTGGATTACGTTGATTGGCGTACTAAGAGAATTCGTGCTTTAGAAAAGAAACGCAATCGTTTACTACGCACAAAGCCTCCTCCAGACGTTCAGCGCTTGGTAATTCCACCTATTGACAATGAGCTACAGATACTACAACAAGAGCTGGCTGAAATAGCTATTCTAAAGGCTGGTCTTCGCTGGCAAGAGAATGGTGAGTGCAATGCTGGTGTTGTGATGTAAGAGAGAAGATAAAAACAAAGAAGTCGATTAGAACTTGTATAGGTTTATTATCCAAAAATATCTATCCCTTTTTCTAGCTCTTCATTCTCTAGGTATTTATATATGAAGAGATGTCGGAGTAAGTAGTAGTAGAGTTCATGCAAATGACTGAGTCTCTATTATCATAGACTACTTTAAATTAATTAAATAATGTAAATTATGGATTTCGGTTATACGTCTTGATCTATTAAAAGATACATTGTCTTATTTAGTACAAGAGGTTCTTTTATGCCTATTTCTGATGTAAATTGATTATGATGTATTTTAGTATGTAAATGAAGACTTATTTAATGTCAGATCATCATATGCATATAGATTCTATATGTTCACAACAGCTGGGTACTTGAAAAAAATACATCAGAGTCGAACAGTCCAACAATATATGTCTGGCTTCAAGGATAGCAATTCTGAAACACCAACAATTGTACATACCACCAAATCGACAATGCAGAATATTGTACAACGGTTTTATAAAGACCTATATGCGATTGATGCAGTACCTATGAATCAAATACAAGAGTATTTAGGTAATATTCACTTTCCAAGTAAAGTTAATCAGGATGAAGCAAATCTGCTCCAAATGGAATTTGATTGGGAGGATATTGTCAGAATGACAAAGCGTAGCCCAAAACAAAGTAGCCCAGGTAGTGATGGACTAGGGTATATATACCTTCAACTCTTGTTTGGTTTTCCTTGTTTGAAGCCCCTGATACTCCAGGTATACAATGATGCCATGACAAAAGGAATTTTCCCTCAGTCATGGAAGGAAATCAGAGTGCGCTTGCTACCCAAGAAAGGTGATTTGTCAGAATTAAAAATTGGAGACCAATTTCATTGATCAACTGTGATGGTAAAATTTTTACAAGGCTCATTACCCAACGTCTAGCTCCTATAATGAATCGAATTATCAACCCGCTTCAAAAGGGCTTTATCCAAGGACGTTTTATTGGCGAAAATGGGATGTACGTCCACTTGGTTCTACAACAAGCAAGATATGAACATCATCAAGGTGTAGGTTTGCTTCTCGACCAGGAGAAAGCCTATGATTGAGTATTACCAACATATCTTCAACAAGCTCTTGTGTCCCTAGGTTTCCCTACCTTATTTATACAAAGTATCTATAATTTGTTCTTTGATAACTCAATAGCAATCAATGTCAACGGATCCTTTACGGGTCCAGTACATCAGCAACGTGGGTTAAGGCAGGGCGATCCTTTGTCCCCTTTATTGTTCAACATCGCTTTGGAACCGCTGATCCTTTCAATCCAGCAAGACCCTACATATCAAGGTTATGTCCCGACAATGAGCACTACATCTCAACAGATCAAGTGCATCGCATATGCTGATGATATCTGTGTGTTTGTGAAGGATGCCACTGATTTTATGCGTCTCCAACATCACTTGACTAAGTATAGTGCTGTATCAAATGCAAGATTTAACAAGCACAAGACGGAAGCTTTCTCACTGAGTGGAGTCAAGTCAGAATCTTGGGAATCTTTGCTTTTGAGTCACGATATCGAAACATACTACCACCATTATTCCCCTTCTGCTTTTCGATACCTTGGCTTTTATATGCCATACACAAATTCTCAACGGAATCGTGTCCAGAATACGTTATTGGAACAAGTGCGTACACGGGTTCATGGTTACTCTCAGCGTTACCTCTCGCTTCAAGGAAGAGCTACCGTTGCCAACACTTTGATTTTATCCAAAATTTGGTACTGCTTTCGGCTGTTTGCGCCTACCAAGCGATTTCTGAATGAACTTCGTTCGATTATCTATGCCTACGTGTGGCAAAAGAAGTTTCCTTATATTTCTTTTGACCAGTTATGTCTCCCTAAGGATCAAGGTGGTGTAGGAGCTCTCAACCCTATCACACAATACTTGGTGCTGCAGATGAGATGGGTCTTTACTCTGTTTAGTTCGTCTAATCTACCTACTCAGCTCCGAGTGCTTATGACAGAACACTTTGGCATCATGTCTCCGGATGCTGACAATACATTGCTACCCTTTTTCTCTAGAACTCTTCGCCGCCATGATCTTTGTCATCCCACTTCAGTTGTCAATGGTATTTATGCTGCCTTTGATCACTTTGGTATCAACTTCAAACTTGATAATGTGCCCCTAGCCAACTTGCTTTACTTTCCGCTAATTAACATGTTTCAAGAGGTACCTCAGAACCACTGGCTTCATCGACATTCAAAAGTACCAGCATCTCTCTTCTTCCTCTTTGACGAACAGAGTAACCGGTTACGCCTGAAGGTTCGCCATGAATATGGGACATTACCAGGATTGTGCCATCAGCTCTTTATAGACGTTCTTCGCAGACGAACAGTAAAACTTCAATCTTTCCTGTGGCAATATATTACACAAGATGTGACA